ATATTAATGTAGCATTTCTGTTAAATGTTCAATCTATTTAAAATAAGATTATGGATATTGATTTGGAAATAATTGACTTAATTTTTCCAATTCTCTATCCTTACATCTACATGTAATTTATAAGAATTCTATAAACTTCCCTTATTAACTTTGGTTTAATTTGATTGTATAATCTAATTATTACATCAATTCCATTGCTTTGTAAGTATCATTTACAAATCCTTTATTGAGAGCCAACCAGACTTGATCATAATCAATTGCTTCTATCTTTGTTTATGGGATAAAGGCCTATATTTATCTATCAGTTGGACAGATTTCATCTAATGATTAATATAATTCAATGATTTTTGAACCATATATTTTAATTTGAAGAACCATTTTTTCAAAAAGTTCTATTTCTGTTTCGACATTGTCTTAAGGAAGGACAACTAGATTAGAATTTACCTATTTGACATAATTCTAAATTTGATAAAAGTCTTCATCAAATTCAAGGTACATGTATACAAATTTAAATTTATTATTGTTAATAATAAAAATTCACCATCTTTTTTATTTTTATATTTCAAGACTTTCAAGTATCTATTTTTAATATTATTTTTCGTCCTCTGATAGAAATTCAAATCCATTAAGTATATTAGATTAATTGGGCTCTCTTGTTTCCTCATAATATTGATATGTTCTATTTTAAGTAGATTATTATTTTTTGGCATTTTCTTCTAACATTTTATAAAGTTCTTATTATTCCTTAATTTATTATGGTGTCATTTATAAATCATCAGCCAATATTTATTCTTATAATTTTCTTGCAATTAAGCTATCGTTGTTCTCTAAATTCTAAGGTATATTTTATGTTCCATTATTTTAAGGTTATTTATCATCAAATTTATTATAGTCATTTTATTTTGTTTGAAAATCTTACTTTTTTTTTAATTCTTATTGTTAATATTAATTTTAAGATTATTTTTAAGTCTCAATAGGTGATTGTTTTGAGTTTTAATATGGTTTAGGTTAATATTCTTATTATTTTTGTTAATATTACTAATGTTATGGTTAAGATGTAGAAAAATTTTTATATTTTACTTCTTAATAAGCATATGGATTTCTGGAAAGTTAAAATTGATTAGGTTATTCTGGCAATTCAGGAGCAAATTACATTTTGTCTAATTTTCTATCTTAATTATCTAATGGTTTAGAAAAAACAGGTCCTCGATAATTATTTATTTATTTATAATCTCTATCATTTAAACCAATTTCAGGTCGATATTATTATTAAGTTTAAGGATTCTAATATTTATTATCTTATTAATATTAGTTTGTATTTTTATTATTTTAATAGTAATTTTAAGGTATTCCATATTCAGATTATTTATTTGGTTAATAACCTTTAGTATTATCTTATGGTATGTTTGTACTATATTTTTAACCTTATCTATTTTTAGATTATATATCAGTATTATATAGGTTATTATTAGGTAGTTATCTATTATCTTATATATCTTAAATATTTCTATCTTTTAAATATGTATTAGGATATTTAGGTTGAGTAGAACTTATTTAATTTTATTAAAATTATTAATCATAAGAAGGATTTGATGTTTATTTAAAATATTAAGGATATTAATTAGATCTTTGATCATTTTAAGAAATTATTTCCTAAGTATTATTAATAATGGGTCTTTGATTTTATTTATAATCTTGAAATTATTTAGAATCTTGTTATTATTTATAATTATTATTATTATTTTCATATTTTTCTTCAATCTTGAATTTAGAATTATTAATTTGTCTATTACCATATTGTTATTCAACTTCATGTATTTAAATTTTATCAGATTTTTATACAAATTCTTAAGTTTATTAAGTGGATCTTAATCCTTGATTATATTTAGGATCATTATTAAATTCTTTATTTAATATTTTATCTGATACTTAATTAACTTAATTATTATAATTAGGTTAGTTCACTTCTTTTTTATAATTTGGTTAGATATCTTTATTATAATCTCCTCTTTTTTCTTACATTCTATATTATTAGTCATTAGGATAATCTATTTTTTATGATTTGACAGGAAGATTATTAGATTCGATGGGTTATTGAGTTTAAATTTTCAAATTATTTTATTTCTATTACACTTATTTTTCTTTGTTTTATTGATCTAACTTTGGAGAAACATAGGTTTACTTTACTTCTTATAGAGATGGAAAGTCATTAAGTATTTCTCCTCTTCCTAACTTATCAAATTTTTTTTATAGACAGATTTCTTAATGAATATTTTGATCACTCTTTTTAATGTATTACTTACATGAATTACACATTTCAGTTCTACTACCACATTATATTTCATGTTATGAAAATGATTTTATTGAAATTTCTAATTAACAATACTAACATTGTATTGGTGTTTCTTAACAATAATGCTTATTTAAATCTATAATATAAATATATATGAAAAAAACCTTAAAATTCAAGTTTACAATGAGGACATTAATGTAATTTATGAAATTCTTCTTCATGTGATTCTGGATCATTTTAATCATACATTAAACCACATCTATTACATTTAATGCAATTTCTTTCACAATAAACTTCATGCAACATTATCTTATCCTCTTCTATCTACTTTCTACAGAATTAGCATATAGCCATTGTTATTATTAATTTTTAATATTTAATATAATATTCATCACTGAATTTGATGTCTCTCTCTTAAATATTCTTTTAAAGTCACAATTTTATCTTACATATGATCTATTATTTTTGAAACTAATGACGATGCTTCATTTCTTGATTACGAATCGATTGAATAAAGATCTTATTGTTGTCTACACCATATATCTTGATTTTCCACATTTTCCTAATTAAATACTATTATACTTTATTTCTAATAAACTCAATCTAATGGTATTATGACTTTTCTTTAGACTCTTCAATGATACTCTAATAATTAAGTATAGCTTATTCTAAATTTTGTCTTTGATCAGAAAGAGTATTTTATTCATTAATCAAATCATTCGAAAATTGTTACCAATTCAAAGCAGCCACTTTTTCAAGATCCTCATCTTTACTTTTGACTTCCAAAATTTAGACTTTCAATCCACTTAATAAAAGAAGTAGTTTTTTTGCTTCATCTGTATTGCTCGCTAATTGGGACATCATATTTATGATTGGTAAAAAGAGATGAGTAATTCCTGATGATTGTTAAGTGAGTCGATTTATAACTTTATTGAAACGGCCTTTCACTTAAATAAATGATGATCCATTAGCCAAATGCTCAATAAGTGCATAAGCTTCATCAATGGCTGAAATAGCTTCATTATGATCTTTAATAGTAGTTTAGAATTCAGAATATTGTAGATCCCTTTCACTCTAACCAGCATTAGTTTTCATTATATTTTATTCAATTTCCACACTAACTTCTGCTATTTTATTTAATGCTCTTTGTAGATTTTCTGTGTTTTCCTTAAATGAAACCAAGTGTGTACCTACATAATCTTTTGATTTGCTAGTAATTAACTACTATGATATGCATAATTGGTTGAAAAATCATGCAATAATCTCTAACATTTGGCTTATGTACTTTAAATAAAGATATCTGCCTCTTTCTATTCTTATTCAAGCATGAACCTTATTTAGAATGAAAATTAGATACCTAATATTATTTAAGTAACTCTGAATCTCATTAACAGGCGACCCACTTGATAAACCTATTTGTAGAGCATTTAAAAATGTTTAGCCAAGATGATGTTAATCTATTTATGAAAGTATCACTTAAAAATCAACGCTTTTGGAACATGAAATCCACAGAATATAACCGATAATAAGAAACAATTTCATTATTATAAAAAACGATTCATATTACTAATAAATAAAAATATGTTAAATCTTGAAAACATAGATTTAGTCAATAGCACTTCAGATCAAGTGAAAGTTATGAGCTATTCATTCTTTATATGGACTTCAATATTTGCAATTATAAATTAGAAGTTCCATTTAAAGAATCATCCCAAGAAAGTTTAAGATGATATCAAAAACAGAATTGTGTCAATCATTCATGGTGCCTTAACATTTTGGGCTGCAGCATATATTATTTTGGGTAATAGAGATATGCATTTCCAGTTGAATAACCAAGTTTTGGTGCATCTAATTCTTAGACCATGCAATTTACAATGATAATTAGTGCGTCATACTTTGTCTATGATTTCCTTGCTTGTCTCTATTATGATCTTGCAGATATGTCTTTAGTCTCTCATCATTCTTTAGCCATATGTGGATATGCAGTGGCAACCTTTTCAAGGTTCGGAGCTCCATCTTCAATATGTAAATCTTATTTAAATTATATTAGGGGGATTGATGTCAGCTGAAGTATCAAATTTCCCTATGCACATGAGAGTGATCTTTAGACAAGTGGGATTGAGACATACTAAATTATATGAAGCATGTGAATGGACCTATTTTGGTAATTAATCTAGTTAACATTATTAGCTTTATATATTATCTTCAGAGGTTCTTTAGTCCCTTATATGGTATGGAATACATGGCCAGAGAGTGAAGTTCCCTTATTGGTTAAGATTACAGCTACTGGATTATTCTTATAATCAGTATATTTCATATTTGAGTAATTTCATAAATAAATATTATAGAATGAAAAAGATTCTTACTAGATAATATTTCCAATATCAAGAAAGAAAGAAGAAAAATATCCATTATTATTGGTTTAGTGTTAATCCTAGAATTTAAGAATTATCTTACATTAACAACTAAAAAAAAGATAGAGTGTTTTGAGTATGTATTTTTAGCATATATAAATTTAATGTTTCAAATAATTATCAATATCTTATTGTAAATAATACAAAAATATGAAAATAATTATGATTTCATAAAGTTTAAATTTTTTAAGATTTAAATTCACAATTAAATTAAATATAAATAGATTAACAAAATATTAATTCAAAATTACATATAAAGGTTTTTAATCAAAACATGTAATTATTCCAAATATGCCACCTACAATTCCAACTAATAAAACAATTGTATTTATGATCTAATATATTGGTTTTAATGCATAATGAAAAGTCATACCATATGGTATTATGTATCCAAGTTATACACAACAAATACATCAAACTATAGATAGAACTATAGCAAAGTTAGGATACAAGAATGCAGTTAACTAAATAATAATCAGATTAATAATACCATTTAACAGAGTACATAGATCATTTTTAAAGTGAATTTCTTGATTTTATCTGGACTTAAATTTACTAAAAGATAGACTGGCTTATTAACCATTAAAGTATTGATAATCAAGATAGAGACATATGAAATCATTAATATTGAAAGAGTGACTTTTATTGAATAATTTCCTTTATATTCTTCTTGAAAATTAGTAATAATTGATTAATCAGTGTTTGATTAAAACAATAATGAGCTTGTAATTCCAAAGAATAGGTAGAGTATAGTTTCTAATATCATAGCAATCAAAACACATTTCTTAAATGAAATTGTATCTTCAATTTCAACTCTTATTTCTTTCAAAACTCCATTGATGTCATAAGCAAATATCATAATACCAAAAGGCATCATAATTTTCTTAGCATCAGGTTCAACTAAATTCCATTTCTCATATTGTATTATTACCATTGTACACCATGATTTATATTACATAGCAAAATTAATAATTACAATAATACACCCCAAAACAATCCAGACTAAGAATAGGCAAAAGGTATAGCAAATATACCTGATCCTAATGTGATCTTGATTAATTTTGTAGTGGTCTAAAAATTAGTTGATCTTGGAGTAGGTTGATCATCTGTAATTAAAAATGGTTTCATAAATTATTATAAATACTAAATTTTTTATTTGATTTATGTAAATATAGGGAAATAATAATAAGAAGCCTACTTTTGAGTAGATATTCTGTTACAATACTAAAATATATTATATATATATATTATATTATAATATAAAATAGATATATAGTATTAAATCTACATTGAGTATTGAATACTTCTCATAAACTATCATTCTTATTTGCCATTTAAACATTATAAAAGTAACATTCCTAACTTATACTTAATCTTCTTGTTCTTTCTTCTTATATCATTCCTTCACATATCCTAAATGTATATTAAATGTACTTATTATTCTTCTGACATTTTTCTACTTCTAATTTCTAATCTAACTGAATCTTAACTTAAATAAGCTAAACAATTCAAGAATCCCCAAAAACTTAAAAAGGCTAAAGAAACAGATGTCTATGTCAATCCAATCTAAGACATAAATAGACTTTATATGTCTTCTACTGTAAAACTTAAAGTACAAATAAATGTAATTATAGGAAATAAGAGAATTTATTTGATCAATTTCTTTACTTCAATATAGATTTCCTATTTTTCTTCATCATCTTTCATTACATGTTTTATCCTATTTAAAATACTCAAACTATAAATTAAGTATAAACTTATTGGAATAATCCATAAAATTAATTTTTAAATATTTAATTGCATCTTTTACAGTAATGGATCTGTCTGTAAATTATAAAATAAACAAAGTTATGAATTTTTTGAATCATAAATTAAAGCTGTCATTAATGGATATGTTATTAATAGTAATGGAAGTCCAAAAGAATATAAACAAAACTTCCTCTCCAATTTAACTAGTTTGTTAAGAATCTCTCTAATATCTATAAATTCTGATGAATTCTAATTATTAAATACCATAAACAACTATGTCATTAATGAATTAACTACTTATTTTATTGAATATATCAAAATTGAACTCCATATTATTGAACTTAAACCTCCATATAGTCTAAACAATCCAAAAAAAGTACAATTTAACTCATCAAAGCTTGATCCCAGAATTCCTATAGTCTATTCAATAAATTAATATTAATTTATGTACCTAAATAATTCCACCTATTGTGAGATAGAGAATTATTCTTGGAATTAGTCCATTTCTAAGTTTTGTAAAATAGAAAAAAAGTATTACTATTATCATCTATCCAATTAAAGATAATGTGGCACTTGATATTATTGCAATATGATTAGTCATATTAAATAATAAATTTATTAAAAAATAACATTGAAAATTAAAATTACCTATATACAAATCATATAAACAACTGTTAATCATGACATATTTAATCATAATACTATATAAATGAAATTCAAAATTTATAATAAATATTGTAATAATAAAAGAAGACTTAGTAATAAGTTAAATATATATTCTGGATTTTCAATTGAGTTTATTGTAAATAGTTTTAAATATATAAAATAATAAAAATTATAATGAATTTCACTTTAGAGGGAAAACTCAAAATAGATTAATTTCTACAAATACTCAAAATCTTCTCTTATCCTATTATAATATGTGATGATGAAAGTATTTAACTGATTTTAACTAAAAGAAATTCAATTTTCAGAAATACCGGAGAATTAAAAATTTAATGAACTCAATAAATCAGATAAACCTGCTAGTTTTGCATAAATAAATAATGATTTCTTTAATGAATATTAATCATAAATTAGAGAAAATCATCTAAAATTTGCAGAAACTAGTTGTCTAAACATTAAAATGTAACAAGATGTTTGTTTATTAAATTCTTAATTGAACTATGTTTGTTGTTAAATTCCAATTGATATTATATATAAAGCACTCAAACCATTAGCATAATCTCATATAAAGATTTTAAAATTGTCATTTACTTACTTATTAATAGAAAAAGGTTATGATAACAAATCAATTTAGTTACATTTTATTGTAGGAGCTTATTCAGAAAAAGGTTTCTTTACTATTATGAAACCTATAGCTATGCTTTAATCTAGAGATGTAGAACTTCCAAATTTAAAAAATAAATTAATTACAATAAATTATGAAAATTGCAAAACTATAACTTAACAAATGAAAACATATCCTATAGGAATAACATGTAATGTTGATGAAATATCATTTTCTCCATTATCTGTTGATTAAGAATAAGTAGATATTTGGTCAGGAGCATTACCATATTATAATTCTTCTTTTGTAGAAGAAATTTATGGTAATTTAAGTATTTAATCTATTTACACAAAAACATATAATCCAATTTTGAATTACAGTTCAAAAGTAAAACTTGATTGCACTATCTATATAAGTCCATCTGAAAATGATCCAAAAATGGCTATTTTATATTTTGTTGCTAGTGAATCTAATGTGATTATTTGCAATAGGTAATAAGTAATAACAAATGATGAATCAAAATAATAAGGCAAATTATTTTAAGATATTAGTGAGGAATTACTTGAGGAAATAGAATAAATTAGTAGCCAATTTGAGAAAAAGTTTTCTTAAATTTAAATAACAACTAATGTTAAAGATAATTAAAATAGTTGTTATGATAATTAACCATTAAAAATGGCATATTCAGCTATTGATGAAAATAATAATAGTAAAATGTATAGTACAATCAATTAGAAGGAACCATTATTGTTTATCCCACCAAAAGTCACAGGATCAATCAATGATGCTATTTTAGATTACATGACTAGAAATTCTTGTAAATAGACTACAAGTACTTTACCAAGATATAAATCAAATTATTAGAATTGAATAATATATATATATATATTTATATAATATCATAGTTTCTTATTAGAATATTAAAAAGTATATATGTAATGAATAAATATAAATATTCCTGCGACTAATCTTAGTAATTATAAAAAATTAATTCATATTTAAATTATGAATTAATTGATTATAATTGAATATCAATAAATTTATAATCGAATTTGAATAGTAAAATAGAGTGTATCTGATTATAATTGCATTTTAAATTAACTTCTCATTAAATCTTAATTGATTATCAAAATTTAAGAAATTTGAATCCAAGAATAGATATCAATTATAAAAATAATATTATTCACTAAAAAACAGAATTTTAGAAATATAATATAATTTAATCAAAAAGTAGTGCAGATATTCCAACATCCAGTATTAGATTTATTGTTTGATTAAATTTGAAAATTTGGATTGCTAACATCAACATTATATATTTTCCAATTTTCAACGATAATAACATCATCATTTTATTTAAAAGAAACAGTGAATTTCTTCTTAGATTCATCTTATAATTGTTTAGCTTCTAATTATCCTATGCTAGCACAAGGTCCAAAAGTATGACTTTTCCTATTTAGTCTTTAACAACTTTGCTCATGATGTTTTTCTGAATCCATTTCGATTTTTAATTATATATATATATATATATATATATATATATATAAAAAATGCAAAAAAGACATCAACTAAAATAATGAATTTGGAATAGAATAGGTCCTATTACAATCTACATTCCTTCATGTAAGACATGGCATTTGCTTGGCAAATATAAATCATATTATTATTAATTAGCTAACATAACAAATGTTCCAAATTGAGTTGGATCTAAATGATTAGATTCTTTCGGTTAGATTAACCATTAATTATTTTTAAATTTTATTGAACAATGTTCCTTTTATAATGTAGCATCTCTTATTACTATTGAACATGTTTTACCACAACCTAATGTATATTCTTAATTAGGATTTAGTGTGAATTCTCTTCCTTTCATAGGTCCTCCAATAAATTCAAGTATTAAAATTGGTTCCTCATTGTGTTATATTAAATTAACCTTTCTTTCTCTGTAATCTTATACAGATTTATATTAATTTAATTATTTTAGAAGATCAGGTAAAGAATTTTTGAGACTCTCCTAATTAGTTGAAATTTAATTTGAAAATTTTGGTATTGGTTGTATATACTTAACTTAAAATAAGGTTTCTTAATTGAACTTAATAATCATATATGCATCTAAAATTAATTATTATTTAATTCTTTAACATGTTCTGAATGACTTTGAATTATCTTTTATTAGGAATAGATTATTTGGAGTCCATATTAATTTAGTATGAATAGGATTAACCTTTAAATCATTCAAAATTTAAAGATCACAATTTTAACCACTTCCAATAGTGAATACTTCTTCTTATTTTAAAGGAAGATTATTTTATGTAGTTCTTGTTATTTGTATATCTCTAAATTAATCTGGATATCCATTAGTAATGTAGAGTACCTTTAATTAAATACATCTCAAAGTTTGTTTAGGAATCTAAAAAGATTGAAGAGTAAATTGATGTTTGAATAATGCTTATCTTTTAGACTATATTTTCCAATACTAAACATAAAAATTATAGAAATACTATCTCATAGAATATAATATAGTCTCCTATTTTAATTACATTTCTGTAATCAGGATCTATAATCTATTTGATGAATAGTAATTATTCTTCATCCAAAATTATTGATCCAAATTATTGTATAAACTTAGAAAAAGAATCACTAAATTCATCCCAACTCACTTCTATTTGATTATTGAAATACTTTTCCCAAAATAAAAAGGCTGAGTCCATATAATTTATAAGTAAAATAAAAATTAACATATAAGAACACTCAAAATCGTAATAAAATTCATTATCCTGAAAAGCTAAGTCTTTTAAAATTTTTTAAAAGCACTTCAACTTCAATTATAACTTTCCCATTTGAAATGCTATTCAAAATCTTCCTCCTTGCAAAATCTCCTTTATCTGTTGTTAATGGTGCCAATGTTGTTAATCTAGGTGGGTTTTCCATATAAAATGATAAAGCTTGAAATCTCCAATCTAAAGATCTATCAAATTTTGAGAATTAATCTGTATTTGTTGCTAAATCTTCATTTGGTTTTCTTATTTCAAGATCTAAGTTCTCTCCAGTTGGTGTCCATGTTTCACTAAATAGATATATTATTTATACCATGTCATTTAATGATAACCAGCACTTCTTGGAAAATTTGCAGTACCATAAGAACAAGCATCAATTTTATTTGATGAGTCTAATCTCCAAATTTTTAATAAAGCTTTAGGCCATCCAATTATATTTGATACAGAGAAGTGCAAATCAAATGGATGTCCCCATGAGAAAAGTTATCCTGGCTAATTAATATATTTGATATTTTTACATTTGCATAACTTGTTTGAGTTTGAATTCCTTTATTATTTCCTGGTTATAATAAATCCCATCCATCTCCACAATCTATAGCTAATTCACAAAATAATCCATCATCTGTTTGAAAATCAAGTCCACCCACAATCTATCCTATTAAGTGTACTTCTGCCTTTAAATCAGCTTTAGTTTACTTTATTTCTTAATAATCTAATTGATTCCCAGTTTAATGATAAGGCATACTCATTTTCAAATTTTATAATATATAATAAATTTTAGATTATTTCTAAAATATTATTCTTCAACTTTGTAAGGATTATATAACAATCTTCTTATACTATTAAATATAATAATATAATATATGTTAATAGAAAAAATTAAAATTAGATGAAAATTAAAGTATGATTTAAATACGAACTTCTAGATATTTTTGGTTGAATTTAAGAAGGAAATTTATAATAAACGTAAATTTATTATTTAATTCAAAATTATTATGTGTGATTAAAAACGAAAAAGACTACTTACAAATGATGATTTGAATAACTAAAGTATTATCCCTAGAACACCTGTAATAAAGTACTATTATATTTTATATAATCAAGACCATTAAAAGATACTTCCATTTTATTACCAGAACTATAATTAACTTATGAAATTCCGAATTGCTTCAAATATATTCCACTTACAATTATCCCTGAAGATGTTAAACTAGAAAAGTACTAGTTGCCCTAGGTGAGCAAATACATCAAAAAAAGATAAAGATTTTAAAGTGAAAATCTTAGTCATACAGTCATAAATATGATGGAAAGACAATTATTGAGTAGAAATTCTTCAAAAATGCCTATAGATAACTATAGATTTTGATTTTATTTGATAACTCTGTATATTAATTTAGTTAATATTTAACCAACATTTTATTTAAAAATTATAAGAATCCCTCTAATGTTTAAAAACTTTAAACTATTTTACTTCTATATATTCATTATTATTTTGATCCATATATAAAAAATTTATGATGTAAAAATGACTCTAAATTAAATTAAATATTTATTTTTTTAAAGAGAATTTCATTATCTTATCTTATCTTTAATTCTTAAATTAGATTTACAAATAAAAATTTCTCCATCTAATGATAAAGTAAGAGATTCTAACAAACAACTTAAATAATCAAGAAGATCATAGCATGCCAATCGTATTAATCATACTATTTAAACAAAACTATTTTCAATTCAAATTTTTAATAATATAGAGTTTATATATCAAAAAATTTGTATGATTCTCACTTCCCTCATTGATTACTCTGTGGATTAGATTATGAAATCTAATTTCCCCTAATAAAATTAGCTAATAAAGTTCGTGATTATAGTAATATTGTGGGATCTTCAAAATTTATTCTAGAACTTAAAATTCTTATGTTTCTTTAGGTTTCTTTTTCTTTATTTCTTTTTAAAGGCTATATTTTGACTGTATCTGCAGATGAATTCATCTTAATTGAGGAATATAATAATTAATATATTTGATATGATAAATTTCGCTCATTTTTATTGAAAATCTTATTAAGGATTCTAAAGAACATTATACTTTATATTTAATTCATTAGATGAGATTAAGGTAAATCAATATTTGAAACCATTTTTATTTAAAATTGAAAACATGTAAGATTTTTAAAGAGTAAAATAATGAACTGAATATTTTGATTATAATAATTTGGAATGAATAATAAATTAATATACAAATATTATATTGAATATAATCATGATTACATAAGGAAACCATCAAAGTAGTATTGAAAGTCAAAACTAGATTATGATATTATTATATTTAATGTGAAATTTATGATTTAGAAATTATGAAGAAAATCAATAAATTTTAAAAATATAACTAGTAAGTAGGAAAATTTGAAAGCATATTACAAGTAATAATCATTGTAAATAAATAAAATTATGGGAAATGAATGTAAATGCTTTCAAGCTTAAGAAGAACCATCTTAAATATTGATTACAAAGAGTGAGAGATCAAATGGCATACGAAAATAATTAATTAGCGAAAGGAAACTTTTAAATTAAAGAAGACATAATACTGAAACAATATATCAGTCAACCAATAATTGTTATCAAAAATCTTCAAAGTTTTCATAAAGAAACGAAGCACCTTAAGGATTAAATTGTTACTTCTAAAGTATTAAGTCTTATAAAGAGTTTAATTCACTTTAAACTCCTTATCAAAAATTTGAACTTACTTAATCGTTATAACAATAGAATACAGAGAAGAAAAAGTCTGATAGTAATTTGCTCTATGATGGGGATTGGGTAATTCAATAAATCATAATAGTTAGGAGAGGTTAGAGATGGTTTTGGTGAATAAATTTGGAAAGATGGGGCTAGATATATTGGGGAATGGAGAAACAATTAAGCAAATGGTTATGGAATATTCTATCATGTTGATGGGGATATATATGAAGGATTTTGGAAGGATGATAAAGCACAAGGATATGGAGTATACATGCATAAAGATGGATCTCGATATGAAGGGGATTGGGATTAAGATCTTTATCATGGAACTGGTTGTGAAACATGGATAGATGGTAGTAAATATGAAGGTCATTACTCAAAAGGTATGAAAAATGGATAAGGAATTTATAAATGGGCTGATGGGAGTTTATATGATGGATAATGGGAAGATAATAAAATGAATGGTTTTGGTAAATATACATGGGCAGATGGGAGATATTACGAAGGTTAATGGAAGAATGATATGATGCATGGTACTGGAACTTAAATATGGCCAGATGGAAGAAAATATGAAGGAAATTATGAATTCGATTAAAAAAATGGTTTTGGTGTTATGGAATGGAGTAATGGAAAAAAATATGAAGGCTATTGGTTAAATGGTAAACAGCATGGAGAAGGTAAATTAATAAGTGCAAATCAAGAACCAGTAGTATGCTAATGGAGAAATGGTTAGAGACTATGAAAATTAAATATGTAATTAATTATATGATTTTAAATATTGAAAATAATACCTTCTACTTTTATAATCTAAACCAACATATATCATACTTTCTAATTCAGTACATTAAAAATATAGAATTATAAAATAAATAATTGAATTTTGGAATATACTTTTGGTTTATCAAATGTAAGATGATCAATAGGTTATCATTTTTTAAATTAGTTATTAAATGTAATACTCATAGATATGTATCATAAAATTTATATTTGGAAATAAAAAGCATAAAAAATACATTATCAATTAGATCTATAAGAACTTTAGTTGTTATTATCCCATCCTCTAACTGAAGGTAAAACGACTAAATTTGTGAATTTAAGAGGATCAAGATTTAGATTAGATATTTTTTTATTATTATGCAAATGGATTGGTTTAGCATCTTTTGAAACATCAGGAATCTTATTTCTAATAAGTTCTGATTTCATTAATTTAAGTTTAAAGATCTTCATTTCTTCATCTTAATTGAAATGAAATGAGGGCATTTATAATTTGATTGAGAATTTAGATTCTTTTTAATCATGACAGTTCTCTTTTGATGATTTATATTCTCTTCTATTTTTGAAGAGCTTTTTATCATATAAATAAAGATTTCTATATTTTTATAATTAACTTCTTTATGAATTTGGTTATTTAAGTGTTGAAGGGTGATCTTGAATAGAGTTTTTTCTACATGATAATTCTACCAAAATTTTAAGATCTTCAGTTTAATGTCTATCCTAGATTGAATATAATCTATTAGGTCGTTATAATATAGTGTTTTTTCTTGAAAATGATTCTTATCTGTTAAAATTCATCAGAGAAATAATAAAATTAATTAGTCTTAATAATTTGTTATATATAGAACTATTCTTTTTTATATTTCTATTTAAGTTTAAATTTGATTCTAAAATATTAGAAATAATGTCATTGTTTTTATGAATATAATTAATACTTTTAATTTCATATGAATAAACTCTAAGGTATTCTAGATTCTATTATTTTTAATTGTGTTCATTACTATTATTATTGAATATTATTTATTATAGATTTGGTTATTTAAATAATATTCTTATTGAATTTGTTTTAAGTTTATTTAAATTATTATATAGAACTCTTAACAAGATTTAATATTGGGTTATTAAATTAGAGATAAGATACAAGAATTGATTAAAGTATATGTACATTATAATAAGACAAAGAATAATTATTGTTTTTTTCTGTTTAAAGTGATGAGTTAAGCTTAATAATTATAAAAAAAAGTGATATAAAATTATGAAACCTTTAAATAAAAATGTATAAGTAATTCATAATTGGCATGATGGTCCAGTTAGAGTGAATCTAAAAAAATATTGGAAAAAGAATCCCATGGATTACATTTAATTACCTAAACCTTATTCTTAAAAGAATAAGATAACTTATTCTAAAAGAATCATTAATGATTTCGTTGAAGTTGTCAATAATAGATAAGAGATGGTTAATGGTATTGTTGAAACAGCCAATCATTTTTAGATGGCATCATCAAAAATATAAGATTGTTTTGCAGAGTTTTATGGTCCTGAAACAAAATGTCAATAAGAATTAGACAAAGTTTTAGATAATGTAAAACCTGAATTTAGATACATAAAAGCAATAGCACATTAAAATCTAAAAAAAATACATAGTCTTTTAAGAAAGTAAAAATAGGAAACTCAATAAGAATTGCATCCATTTAAAATAATGACTAAGAAAGATAAATTATTTTTATTAAGTGATCCAAAAAATGCAGATATTCTAAAAAGTGATTCCAGATAATCTAGAACAGAAACTGTTACTATTACTCCTGGAGAGGATAAGTTTACATCTTAATATAAAATGATGATACAAAAAGAACATTAAAGAGAATAACAAAAATAAAATATGATTTAAATTAGATTGTTTGATAGTTAACTTAAATATTAAGGTGATGACTATATTAAATAGAATATATTCAAATCAAACATGAAACATACTTACACTCCTAAAAATAATGATAAAAATTATTATGTTAATAATTTGAGACATTCTACTTAAGAATCTATTGAATTTAATACTCCATCACATTTTAAAACTACTATCCATAGTCGTTAAATAAGCAATTATATATCCCCTAATGGTTCTCAAGACCTATGTATTGGTTATGATACTATCAAAGAAAATAAAGATAAATCATAACATATTAATGAAACTATTAAAAAGAGATCGTATCGCTCTTTTAAAGATTTAATAAGCTAAACTAATACTTTATAAGTTAGAAATATGACAGATACTAAATAATACACAAGAACATCATCTTAACCTATACTTATGTGATGCTTTTAATTATCATTTTAATTTTATTTACAAATTATAAAATACTTATTTTCATAATATTTACAGGATTATCTTAAGTTTTGATCTTTATAAATGAAAAACCTACAAAACACTTATTAATTATGATATAAGAAGCTTATTTCATTTGTGTGAGTGCCCAATGTTAGTAAGATAGAATATTAAATGATTGGGAATCAATTGTGGCTCATCAAAATGAAGGTCATGAAGTATTAGAAAAAGAGGATTTAATTAATACCATAAATGCTAAATTAAATAAGAAAAAGGCTACATTGCTTTAAGATTTATTGGCTAGAATCCACAAAATAATGATTAATTAGGAAGATGCTTTGATATCATTTATAAATCAAACATTTTTTGAAACCTATAAAAATTGGAAAGAATAAATCTAATCATATTAACAATTTCAAGATTATCTACTTCCTAATCAAATTGATTAAGATACAACAATTTCTAAACTAATAGATGTATATTAGAATTTAGATAATGAATAACTTCATTTTTTTAAAGATTGTTTATATTAGACAGAATATCAATATAATGAACTTTAAAAATAAATTAAGTTGCATTTCACTAAAACTGATTAAGAATTTAAATTACTCCAATAATCTTTATTTAATTAAATAAAAGAAAACAAAAGATAAAGAGAATTTAAATTATAATAATATCAATAAAATGAAAATAAAATTATAAATCTTCAAAGTGTCTAATCATAATCTATTCCAATAATATAAAAAGATAAATTAATCATTAATACAATTGATAATAATAATATGCTTAAAGAAATTTAATTAAAAAGCGATTTTCAAAATCAAAAGGATCCCCTTATTATAACTGAATAAAGAGATTAATCATAAAAGAATCATATCAATCTTTAAGAAAATGGAAATGGTTAAAATATGAATAACAACAATAATAAATAAAATGAAAAATAACAAAAATATATTGTATTAACTAAATAAAATTAAGCTCGTAAAAATTAGAATTTTGAACAATAACCCCATCTTAAATAAAATATCTAAGAACAATCTTAAAGTCCAATTCTATCATAAGAAATCTAATACTAATAATAAATCCAATCATCAGAAAATATTATTAATTGTAATTCAACAAAGTAAATTATTGATACTATCCCTTAGAATCAAAAATTACCTTTAAGAGGATATAAAGATAATTAATAATAATTATAATAATAAAATAATAATATTGTATAATAGAATACTCAAAATAGTAATAGTAAAATCTAATTACCCCCTGATTAATCTATTAAAAAAAATAATGAAATTGTTCAAGAAGTAAGTTTGTCACCACAAAAACCTCCACCTTTAAAAGGATATAAGGATAGATAAACTGAAGAATAAAAAGTGATCAAATTGGCAAGATCTAATGATAAAAGAAATTATTTAGATACTGATCAAATAAAAGAAATATAATAAAATACATCTAAAAGATTTGATATTGATAAATCTGAAAAACATATGAAATATTCTAATAAATTTAGCACAATATTTAGTATAAAAGAATGTTTTGCTATTGTGGAGGGTGTTTTTAAATTAACAGAATAGAATTAATTTCATATTTATATAAGATCTTCAGTTGAAAATTATGAGATAGAAGCAGGAATGGTTAATTTAACTTAAATTAAATAAAAGTAAGTCTTTCCAAAAATTTATGGAATCAATGAAAAAGGAGGTAATATCTATATTAATATTATTAGAATGTTTATCAACTTAAATAAAAACTCCAATTTAATTGCTTTTGAATTGTTCTTACTTATTTGCTTTTATAAAAGAAGAGAAAACTCTTGTGTGTTTAGATTTAATGAAAAATATTCAATATGCAATTAAATTACCAAACGATGAAATTTCAGATTATGTGTTTTTTATCAAAATGAGCAACCTAGAAGTCTAACTCATTTGAATTATTGAAATATTTTATAAAATAATCAAAAATTATATATTATATTATAATTTTCTTATTATTCTTAAATTTATAATAAATGAGAAAATATAAACTAAAAAATTTAATTGTTAAAAATATAAAATTAAATTTGATTTTCTTCAAAAATTAATTACTTTATTTAATATGAATTATTAGGAATCTTTAATATCAATAAAGTTAGTTCTTTGTTGTTTATATAAGTTATAATTGTAACAATTTATTTTTATAAAAGATGAATTCATTTTCATTTAATTAATGAATAATTTTAAAACAGGAGTCAAGGTATGTTTCTATATTAAAGAGATAGTTTGGGAAAATCAAAGTACTCAATGTGGCAGAGAAACCATCTGTAGCCAGGTCAATTGCAAACGTGCTTGCTCGTGATCATACAGTAGAAGAAACTTAATCTCCATATAACAAATTATTCAAATTCAATTATAAGTTTGGAGATTAGGAAGCTGAGATGTGGATTACATCTGTTACAGGGCATTTAAAGAGTTTGAGATACCCAAAGAAATATTAGAAATGGGATTAATGGGATCCTCTCATTATATTAAAAGATGCAGAAATTGAAAATATAATTCCTAATGACAAGAGTATTGTAAGATACTAAAAATAGGATTTTTGGAAGGGAATTTATAAGTATTTGCAAAGGAATGTAGTCAATTAATTCTCTGGTTAGATTGCGATAGAGAAGGTGAAAATATTGCATTTGAAGTTCTGGAGGTTTGTAAAGATTCAAATCCATAAATTTAAGTACATCGAGCTCATTTTTCAGCAGTCACCTATGTTGATATTAAGAAAGTAGATTATAATCATAATATAATATTATAGGCTTTAGATAATTTAAAATAGCCAGATGCAAATTTATCTAATTCTGTACTTGCTAGATAAGAAATAGATCTTAGAATAGGAGCATCATTTACTAGATTTCAAACTCTGTTATTATAATAGCAATTTAATTTATCATCTATTATTAGTTATGGTCCATGTTAAATTCCTACATTAGGATTTGTTGTATAAAGATAAAAAGAGATTGATTCATTTGTGAAAGAGAAGTTTTGGTTTATATAATGTGAAGATTAAACTGGATGTGTATTTAATTGGAGTAGAGGGAATATTTTTGATGAAATGATTGTATTAATATTATTTGAAAGATGTTTTACAGAATAAGCAAAGATAATTGATGTTTAATAAAAAGAAGTTTAAAAATGGAAACCTTATCCTTTATCAACTATTGAATTTGAAAAATTGGCTTCAAAAAAATTAAAAATATCTGCTCATAAAGCTATGGAATTAGCTGAGAAATTATATAATAGAGGTTTTATTAGTTATCCAAGAACTGAAACCAATAAATTTCCACCAACTATTAACTTATAAAATATTATTAGAGATCAAATTAATCATCCTGTATGGGGAGAATTTGCATAAAGTTTAATTAATCATAACTTTGATTAACCAAGGGCTGGTAATAAAGATGATAAAGCTCATCCTCCTATACATCCTGTTAAAATGATGCGTTAATCAGATGCATAAACAGAATAAGAATGGGAAATTTATTAATTAATTACAAGACATTTCTTAGCATGTTGTTCTAAAAATGCTAAAGGGTCTGAAACTACACTTAATCTATAAGTATAAGAAGAATCCTTTTATAAACAGGGCTTGGTTATAATTGAAAAAAATTACTTAGAAATTTATCCTTATGATGAATGGTCATAATCTTAAGTTCCAAATTATAATAAAGGAGATATGGTATAAATTAAATTAAAGATTCAAAATGGTAAAACATCTCCTCCTAAACCTTTGACTGAATCTGAATTAATTGGTATGATGGATAAAAATGGTATAGGAACTGATGCTACAATTCATGAACATATTAATACTATTTAAGAAAGAGAATATGCAATTAAAAAAGGTTAAACTATAAAACCAACTAAACTTGGGTTAGCATTAGTTGAATCCTATGAAATACTAGGCTTTACATTGCATTAACCACACCTAAGAGCTGTTATGGAATAAAGAATGAATGAAGTAGCTTAAGGAACGAAATAAAAAAAAGAAATAGTAGAAGCAACAATTACTGAAATGAGTGTAATTCTAAAAGAACTTTAAGGAAAAAGAAATTAAATATTATCTACATTTGGTTAGTATATAGAAGCATTAAAAGATTATGATGAAAATAATGATGATGATAATACATAAAATAGAGACTTAAACTAATAATAAAATTCATAATAAAAAAAAAAACATAAATTACCAAAAAAATAACAACAATAATAATAATAATAATAATAATAATAATAATAATAATAATAATAATAATAATAATAATAATAATAATAATAATAATAATAATAATAATAATAATATTAACAATAACAATAATAATAAAATTATTCATAATAATGTAATAAATGTGGAACATAATTAGTTGAAATTAAATAAATCAATGGTTAAATTCTTGAAATTTGTTTAAAATGTTGTTTAGGTTAAGAAAAATCTTAAAATTTTAATAGTATAAATAACTTTGAATCAAAATCTTAAAATAATACTACTTCTAATTTTCAATCAAAATCTTTTAAAACATCCAATATTGAAGAAACTTTCTAATGCAATTAGTGTAAAAATTAAATGAAAATTAGATAATCTAAATTAAAGAATTCTTATTTTTTTGGTTGTCTTGGTTATCCTTAATGCAATTAAGCAATATTCTTACCTGATTATATTAAATCTATATAGAGGATAGATAAAAAATGTAAAAAATGTAATTCCAATTTATTTCAAACTGAATATTCTGAAAATTCAACTTTATAATAATAAAAATCTCAATCACTATGTCTATATCCTGAATGTTCTGAAGGTTTGAAGACTGAATGGAAAAATCAAAATAGAGAATCGTAATAAACAAATATATATAATTCAAAATCAAAATAGGGCTTCTTAATGAGACAAATATAATGCAAGAAATGCAATTAGTTTGGACATTATGAAGATGTATGTAATATTAGTACTAAAACAATGATTTCTTAAGTAGATTCTAATTAAGAAGAAAAAAAAGATAAACTCTGTCCTTCATGTGGTGTCATAGGAAGGCATCCTAAAGGTTCCGTCTGTCCTATGAAAAAGGTTAAGAAGAAAAATTAATGATCTCAACTTAATTCATTTAAATTTATGAAGTAAAATTATAGCTTCAATTACTTTCATCAATCGGTATCGATATTCCAAATATTCTGGGTGTTGTTAACAAAATTCTATGGCTAATTAAGCAGCATCAGTTTTATCTTGTACTTCTATCAAGTCAACCTTTTATTCTTTAAATTTGATTGATATAAAAAAGTTTTGATTTTAGTTCATTCAATTTTCTTCTGCTTCTAGAATTTAATTTAAATTAAAAATACTTTTCATTAACATAAATTATTGTCAAAAACATAGATGAATCTAGATGATCAAATGGAAAGATGTGATGTAGAATATTGTAAAAGAAGAGATTTCTTACCATTTAAATGTACATTATGCAATAAAAAATTTTGTCTTGAACATAAGGAATTAAAAGAACATGAATGCCCATTTTAATTTGCAGAAAGGAAAGCTCTTAAATGTAATTAATGCAATTAAGTTATAAATTATCTTTCAACTTAATTTGAAATTGATGTTTTGAAGTAGCATGTCTGTTAAAAGATTAATGTAGAAAAATCAAGATGTCCACAATGCAAAATTACTTTAAATGATCTTAATAAATTTCATTGTACTTCATGTAAAAGGCTAGTATGTTTAAAACATAGAATGAAAGATGATCATGAATGTGAGAAATTCAGTAAATTTAATTATTGCATACTAATGTGATTTAAAAGTTATTTGTATATGTTTAACTAGTACTAAATATTTATATTAATTACCTATTTATTCAAAATTCACTTGTATAATAATTTTATGCTAAAAATGATAAGAATAATCTCTCCATTTTAATATCGAAAATTAAAAAATTTTAATTGATTGTTAAACTCTAAAATATATAGATATTTAAGATAATAAATATCAGAATGAATTATTTTCAACTTTTTAATAATACATATATTTTCTTAGAAATACTTTTATGTAATTAATAAAAATATATAGTTAAATACATATTATTCTCACTTAAATTATCTACTTTCAGATTTATCTAAAGATTTTGAATAAATTTATATTGTATAAAATGAATTGCAGGGTTATCTAATAATCCTTTTTTATTTAGCTAATTGTTTATTAATTGTGAATTGTAAATTATAAATAGCAGGTTATCTTTATGAACTCATTTTAGTTTGAGGCATGATTGTAGTTTCGTTTGTCTCAAAAACAAAATAGTCCAAATATTCAGTCTTAATTTGAAGTTTATTTTGTTTGGCTTTTTGAATTCTTTAATCTAAGGGAGCTCTAATACCTTCAATATATATTCCATTGAGTCGCTTTGACTTCTACTTAGAACTTAAACTTCTTCTTTGAAGTAAGTGATTGAATAAATTTGTTCTACCCCTTAAAGGAGTTTACTGCATAAATTAATATATAATCCCATAAATTTTATATATGGAAAAGGTATATTAATTGAAGTATTAAATCATTAAATAATTAAGATGATGAAATTTGATAGGGACATCTGCTTATTATGATGAACATATCTTCGCTAGCTCTGATTCAATATACTATTTTTATTGAATTTAAAATAATATATATTTATCATAAATATAATATTAGGATTGGCAATACTAGTCAGTGTAATAGCATAGAATGCAATCATATGTAGTGGTTTCATTAGAATTCAAAAGGAATATAAATAAGATATAAATGTTAATCAAATTGAAATGAAACTATTGGGATCAAACAATCAATTTATTAAATATATCGAAAAATCAGAAAATGGTTTCTACTCTATAGAAATATAAGAAGATCCTTCTTATTTTATCGATTATATTATTTTCATTTAAACAAAAGAAAAAGGTTTTGTAGCCACTCCAAGCTAAATTAATTTAAAATTCCATTCAAAATCATTTGATGAGGCAAGCTCTTTTTGTAATAAACAGTTAAATTTCTCTATAAAGAGAGTACCTATGGAAGAGCCAAAAGGATAATAATAGCAATAATAATAATAAATAAATAGAAAAAGAAAAAGAGGTTTGCTAATAGTTCTATAAGAAATTAGTTATTATTTAGAATAATATTAAGGAAGATTCTTAAGTTTTTAGAACTACTTTGAATTTGAAACAAATGAAGCAAAAATTTAAAAGTATAATTGGTTGTTGAGAAAACAAAAGAAAAAGGAGAAAGTACCATTAAGTAATTAAATTTCGAATAAAGTATATCAAAGACAGAATTACTAACTAAATAAGTAACTATTGATCCAGTAAAATACTATTTATATTTAGATAATATTTACCATAAAGAAAGAAACATCATCAAAAGAGTAAAATAAGGGATTTTAAGTATTTGCTTCATTATTTATTTTTGGATTAGTTTTGGCTATGTTTAATTATGATAAAATATTTAAAAAAAATGATTCTATATCATTCTACTAATAGATGAATCTTAAAAATCAAACTATCATTTAAATCTTCATTTATTGAAATAATTAATAGATTTTCATAGAATGGATATCATGTAGCTTATAAACTTCATTATGGATTTTAATTAAATCTAATTTCAATTAATTAATTCTCTTATTGCAAGAAGATTTCTATAACATAGTACAAATTTCTGATGCTACATGACAATATTTTCTTATTTTTATACACTTATCATCATAATCTCTTAATTAATTAGTTTCTTAATTTAATAAGTATTTAAATTTTCCTAAAAATTCAGAAAAAGTATTTTCATATTTTAAAGTTTTGCAATGTCTTTGATGGAATTAATTGTGATTGTTTTTATACATTCTTACAAATTATTAACATTCTGAACAAAAGATATAGAAATAGTCATCATTTTAATTCTAAAATTTTAATTCTGACTTATTTTGTTTTCTATCAAAACATTATTCTTATTATTAATAATCGTAGTATCTATCAATATATGATTGAAAACTTTGATTTTAAGATAAACTTAAATCTTTATTATTACTGTATTAAACTGATACATTTTCTTACTCTACATGTTCTATTGTTTAATTTACTTAAATTCCTATTGATGATTTTGGTTTTTGAATTTATATAGATTGAATCGGATGTTAATTATATAATTTTTCTTCTTTAAAACTTGTTTAACAAATCTTATCTTCATGATTTTATTATAGAGTATTTGGTTAATAAGATGTTTAAACTAAGCTTATTATAAGAGGATGTGTAAAATGTAGAGGATCAAATATTCTCTGTCTTATTTTCTTAGTAGTTGAATTAAATGGTTCTGCATTTAGAGGTATTATTTCATTATTCTTTTTTATAGAGATTTATTCATCTTGAAATTGAGAAAGTTCAACTAATTTTTAAGTTGAATTTAAGAAAGATCTTAAGGATTATTATTCAGTAAGAAATATTGTTCCTTCATGAGGAACAAATGGATTTGTAAATTTTTGTTCTTCAATCTAATCATACATTAGTTTGAATTTTTCTTTCAAACTTTCTTTATATCTTTGAAGTGGATCTCTGTTAGAAGATACAAATCTTGAGTTGTTACTATATGTAGATTAAGAGTTATTCATTTTAGTTTGATTTATTGAAATAAATATAATGATCAAAATCCAAAATTTTTATGAGTAATTTAATTAATTGTATTATTATAAACTGATTATAGTGATTTATTATCCTAATTAACTTCAACTACATGTAATTCTATACGAAAATCTTTTTAGAATGTTTTACCAGATTTGTCCTATATGAAAATAAAATTATACTTTGCAAGCTTTATCCAACATAAATTTATCAATCATGAGAACACCGGTATAATCAAAGAAATCACAATTAAACCAAGCTTGAAAGAGTTTCTCACTCCTTCAAAATTTAATATTATATATATATATATACCTAGACCAAATTCCTTAATTTAGAAATTGTAAAAGAACATCACCTTATAGAATAATATCTTTGAGTTTGAATTCAATATATGGTTCTAATTTATATTCTTTAACAGGGAATTAATTTTTAGAATTGTATTCTTTATCTTTATTTTAGATTCTAAACCAAGGGGCACAACCTCCAAAGAATTTAACATTTGGTACTGGAATCAATCGGATTTTCACTAATTCCACTTGTTTATTGGGCATATTGTCAGGAACCCATTTATTATTAAGAGCTTTTTCAAAATAAAAGATATATCTGATTTAAGATGGGATAGTGACTCCCTTTAGAATTAAATAAAATATTACTTTTTTATTTTTGGTTCTTATCATACCATAATATCTCATAGAATCATAAGCATTGGTGAATTATTTTGCATAAAGCATATAACAACATATCATGACACCTGTACGTCCCTTAAGTTGTAAAATTATGTATTTACTTTTCCAGCTTTACAATGAATGCCTGCAACATTTTTTTCGTGTGTTTTTAACCAATTATCCTTATTATATTATAAGTATTAATACTAAATCAAGACAGAATTCATAAATGAGAGAGAAAGTGGGTGCTTAATGATCTTGGAATGGAAATTCTGCTACCTAATTAAAATTTGAATGATCATATTTTCTTTCTTCACAAAGATTGTATACTTTATAATGTCCTGGATGTACAGAATCAAAAAATCTTCTAACATCTTACATTGAATTTCTGTAAATAGATTCTATATTTTCAGCAGGGAAACCCATGGCTATAATCTTTTCAGTTATATCTAACATAATTATTATAGAATACATGTTAAATCTAAATTAAATCCATTGTAATTGTATCTTCTTTTCTATTTTGAAACCAGTAATTTGATTGGATTAGGAACACTCGTTATATTTTAATGATTGCCACTGATATGTTAATTTACTTGATTGACTTCTTATCTCAATTATTGTGTGCTCACTCTTTCTCTTAAATTTATTTCTTATCCTTTTTAATCATCTTAGCCAATCCCATTAGCTAAAGCTGTAAAATCAATTTAGGACATATAAAAATTGTAATTTTCAGGATCACATTCATCTCCAGAATCTGATAACAACTCTTCTTCTCCAGATGAAATCTCATTCTATTTTGCTCTTGATTTTAATTCTTCTTACGTTGCATTATGCATTATTAATATTATAAATATGAATGATTAAGTGTATTACTATATTTATATTCAATATCTTATCAAATCAACCATTAGTAGTTTCTCCAATTCCACAATTTAAACATTCATAAAATTTAGTAGAGGGTTCATCACTTGCTCTTGTTTATATTTCATTGACTAATTTCATTTATTTTTATCCACAATTATTACATAAAGCCAAAGCTACATCCTTATTTATTACTTAAGCTATATATTTATTATGATTCATATCATTAGCTGATAATATTTCTCTACCAACTCCTCCAGCAATAGACAATCTCTATAAAAAATTAAATATATATAAAATACTGTTGCACTTGTCCAATCCTCTGATCTCAATTAAGCTGCTGTAGGTATATCAATTAATCCTGTTAATAATCTATTACGAACACTTCCATCTTTATCATTTTATAAGTATTTCAAAATCTCTTTTATGGCTGTTTAATATTGGCTATGTTTATCTTTAAATTTCATTCTAATCTGAAATAAACTTATATGAAATACTTCATTTTCTAATTTCTTACAAAATGTTATGACTTCTTATTAGGGAGTAGTTTCATTAGTGAATCTCTGAATAATATTCTATAAAACTTTCAATCTTATTTGATCAAGATCTTAAGGTAGTCCCAATTAGTTCATAAATTGATTTTGATTAATTGGATTTTGATTTGGAACATCTATAGATTATTTTCTGTCTGTTGTTACAGAGATCAGAGTTACTTTTTCTTGTGGTATAGATTTTTGATTTTTCTTCAATTTTTATAATGTTTCTGTAGCTTTTTCTTAAATTTGCTTGAGATCTTGTTCACTGAAAACTGAATCTCCTATTATTTCTATTTAAGTAAGTTTCTTTACAGTTTTATGAATCTTAGACTCAGCAAGAGCCCTAATTTATATCATTAAGAATACTTTTAATCTATCTTCGGATCCTCTAATTGATTAAGAATACTAATGACTTGTTTTTTTCCAATCTTTTTATATGCGTGAAGTTTCTTTCTCATATCATATAAGTCTATTTGATCCATCAAGTAAATTATTTTATATAATAAATATAATGATTTATTTCTTTAATTTTAGATTAAATAATATTGAGATTGCCTAAGACATTAAATACAGATATATCTGATAGAATTTAATTCAAATGTAAACATATGTATATATTTACTGAACTTATACTATTATCAGACCAACTCAGATCTCCAAAAATATAAATTGTCAAAATCTATTATAATATAAACACATGTCATTTTGTAATTTTATAATATATTCGAAAATAATTTGTGAAAAATCATCACTACGAAAATTTTCTAAATAATACTATATATACTATTTTCAATATCTAAATGAGGAATTTTAATATGTATATCTGAGGAGTCCAAATACTAATATCTTTCTATCTAAGTTAATATTTCAAATTATCTGATTTCTAGAAAATTGTAAATCAAGCAGCATCTAAAATGTTTAATACCCATATATTAATAAATTAAGGTTGTTTCTCAATGATAGATAGATATCATAAATGAAGTTTCTGATGCTATTTAATTTTTATAATCTTAGATATATTTACGTTTTTCCCATTTCTTTATGAAAACCCTCTTAATAAATTGGAAACTCTTTATACATGATAAAAATATGTTAAGAGATGCCATCATGTCATGATAATAGCATAAATAAGATGGTAGGGCATTTCTTAGAATAAAATAGTAAACATGTTGATAAATTAGTTTAGAGTTGATTTACAATAAAACAGCAGAAAAATTAATTAGAGATATAAGCTGTTGGATATGTGTTTATGATATATGATATTTATCAAGCGGTGACAACATCTCCTCTGACTGTTTCAGCAACAGCGACAGTTTATTCAACCAAATTAGCAGCGACACCAGCTGAAGTCAATGCACTTCTTAAATGTCCAATGACTGTTGTGAATTGGGCATTTGTGACTCCCATATTGGCATGGACTTCTTTCAAGTTCTAATTTAATATAAATGTAATTTTTTACTCTGCCTCCCCAAGCTTTTGGTCCTCCAAGAGCAGCACATAAAAATGAAGCTGTCTTGCTTGTTTAGTCAGCCATATTGATTCCATTGAAGAAATTGGCAACTGTGGCATCAGCTTGGATATTAGCATAGAATTATGCTGTGACTGCTGAGACGGCAGCTTCTCCTCCTAATTATTCAAAAAGTGTCATGTTAATTTTATGGATGATTTTATTAATCAAAATACAGGATATATGGGTTAGTTTTGAACCTAGGAAAATTAAAGATATTTTATAATATAAATTAATTTGAGATTTCAATGTTGCGTATTATAAAATTAAATTAGTAAATATATTTATAGTTTATTTGCTGGTTTATAATATCAATAAGCTTAATCAGAATTATCTTCGAGATTCTTTATTTTATCATCTCCAAATAATCTACCTGAACATTACATAAAGGGATCCAGCATTCCAGATTCAAAAGATCCTACTTTCTCTATTTCTTTATCTGGTGAAGAAGGAGGCAAATATTAATAAATACTGAGTTCATTTTCAGGTACTTTATAAGCAGTAAAACTGAATTAACTCTTTTTTGGACAGGATTCTAATCTCATAGAACCCATATTTGATATTTATTATTAAGTTTATTATAAACGAGTTTCCTGTTGTAATTCCATAGAATGAAGATTAATTATCAATTATTAAGAACCTAACAATATTGATTATTATCTTTTATTATGTCTCTATTTTAGAATTAATCTAGGATCATTCTTTCTATGATTTAATCTTTTTAATAGACTCCTTTGACTTTCTAATAATTTTTAATCTTCATTAAACCATTCATGTTTCAATGCTTAATCAGGATGAGGTCTTAAAGCCCAATCTTTTTATAATAATTGAGTAATTAGATCTTTAGCTTCTTCAGAAACTCCTTCAAATAATTCAATTGGGAAACTTATCTTAGCTTCTTTTATATTATCTATTAAATCATTGAGACTAATATTATATATATCTATATATACTAATCAGCATTGAATGGTAATTATCCTGATAACATTGAATATAAAATACAACCTGCACTCCACATATCAACCATTTAACTAATATTTTATAGACAATATAATTACTTGTATCCTTCTCCTGTGAAAATTTCAGGAGCAGAAAATGCAACTGTTCCAGTATATGTCCACATTTCAATTTTCTCTCTATCTTTTAGATCTCCAAATTCTTTATATGAATCACTAAATTTGCTAACATTAAAGTCAGTCACTTTGATTTACTTTTTATCTAATAACAAAATGATTAGTACTATTTACACAAAGAATATTATTTGGTTTTAAATCTCTATGACAGATTCCATTTCTATGCATATATTCAATTGCACTTAGCAATTATTTAAATATTTCTTTAGCATCAGCTTCACAATAATGTCCCAAAGAATTTAATACTTCAAACATCTCCTATCCTTCAATCAATTACATCACAACATAAGCTTTACTTTCAGATTAGAAGCTGTTATCAAAATCAACATATAATTTATGAACTTTAACAATGTTTTCATGTGATAATTTAATTAATCTCTTAAATTCAATGATCATCTAAAATTCAATTCAATTTTACATTTCTAATTATTTCATCATCTTGAGTTTGTACAATTTTTACAGCATATAAATCTTAAGTAGTTTTATGAATAATCCTTTTTACTAATCCTAAACATCCTTCTCCTAATACTTCTAAAATGTCATAATTTTCATGAAATTCTTTTGTATTAGGACATATGAATTCAGAGTCAATTGTATTAATTTCTATATCTAATTTCTTACCTAAGTCTAGTAATTCTTCAATTTGATCTTTTGTAACAGGTAGAGGTTTATTTAAAATGTGCAGAATCTAACCTACCAGTTATTAAAATTCAATACCCTTTAAATTAGATTTTATGCGATCTCGGTTATTTTAAACCTATTATTAACGAGGATCTTCTTATTGAGTTTTAAGAAATGTAAATCGTCCACTTGGTTTTTTTTCCATCCTTGCTTTAAGAATTTCATTTGGAGAGTCTCGTTTTTAAATAGAAGGACTTAAATGCATAAATTATTAATTATAATTTGATTTTAGTTTAACATTGTAATATTATATTATCTAAAAAATTTGAGATATTTAAGATTATTGTTATATCAATAATTAAAGTGTGTAATGAAAGTTGATGATATCAACAAAACTATCTTAAAGGAAAGTCAGATGAGTAATGAAGAAGACAAAGACAATGAACAATAGTAATCTAAATTAAAATATATAATAATGGTTCTTGGATGTTTGTTAATGTTTGGAAATAATTATTCATTTGATAATCCATAAGCACTTCAAAAATAATTAACATAAGATTTGGACATATCAATCTCAAATTATAATCTATTATATTCTGCATTTTCATTTCCTAATATTTTTTTAACTTTGATTGGAGGATTAATCATAGATTTTTTGGGTATAGTTTTTAACTCATTTTTAGGTGTTAGATTTGGAATCATTCTATTTAGTGCAATAATAGTAGTGGCTTAAACAATTGTAGCATTGGGAGGAGCATTTAAGATATTCTGGATTATGTTAGCGGGAAGAATAATATTTGGATGCGCATCAGAAAATTTAGTAATAGCATAAGCAGCTATTATTGGTAAGTGGTTTAGAGGAAAAGAGCTATCAACTGTATTTTGATAATTCAAATCTATATTTTAGGCAATTGGTTACATCATGACAGTACCTGAATTAGCTAGTGCTGCTAACTCTTTTCTTACTCCTATAATATATGAATCATATAAAGGATTGACATATCCATTATTTTTTAGTGTGATTTTGTGTATATTTTCATTTGTGTGTGCAGTTGTTTTATGTATTTTAGATAAAAAGAATGAACTTAATAAATTAAGTATATATTTATAATAAGAAGAGGGTTAATTTATAATTGAAGAATAAGAAGAAGAAGATGAAAATGAAGATTAGAAAGATGATATTGAAAGAGTATCATTTAAAGATATTAAAAATTTAAATGGAACATTCTGGATCTTAGTTCTAATTTGTACTTTAACATTAGGATCATATACTCCATTTCTCGATGATGCTAATGATTTTTTATAGGAAAAGTTTGAATTCACAAATGTGTAAGCAGGAAAAGTATTGACTATACCATATTTAATGGCAGGTATTCTTGAGATAATTTAGCTATAACAAGTCCCTTTTTTGGGCCATATATAGATAAAGTAGGAAAAAGAAGAAAAATAATTTTAATAACTTGTATTCTATTCACTCTAACTCATTTTGCATTTGGAATCATGCCAAATGGTAAACATGGATAACCTAATTGGTTTTCTGTTATACCTTTGATGTTATTAGGATCCAATTATGCTTTATATTCATGTGTTTTAATACCATCTATATAATACATAGTTGCATAAAAAGTGGTAGGAACAGCATTTGGTTTATTAGGAATGTTTGAGAGTATTGCTTTGGCTTTTTTTCCTATTATAGCAGGATATATTGTTGAGATATCTGAGAATCCTGAAATTGGATATTCAAATGTAGGATTCTTCTTTTCAGGAATCTCTTTTTTTGGAATTATATTTACACTCTCTTTATATATTTTTGATAAGAAAGGATCAATAGTCTTAGATTTTGTTAATCCAGAGGATCCATCTGAATTAGAAAAGAAAATGCTTAGAACTACAAAATCAGAATCTAGTAGTGATGAAGATGATGATGATGAATCAAGTGATGAAGATTCGGATGATGATTAATATAAAATGAAAAAGGTTTGTAAAAGTTATGCAAGTTTAAAAAGTAAGAAGTTATTAACATCTCCTTTACTTAGAAGTAGAAGTTTATAAAATTGATTATGATTGTTTTGATAGATTTGATGTTTATCTATATTATTATTATAAATAATAGATTATTTTTATTAATATCTCAATCAAAATAAATTATAGAATTATTTCAGTTTTGGAGATGTAGATTGATTAATAAATTCTATATTGAAAGAGTTAATAAGTATATCATCAAATATGAAATTAAAATACATTATCCAATAAGCACAAGTTTATATTTTGGAATTTAGAATTAAAATTATTAAACCAAGATATAAGAGGAGTTTTAAAATCCATCAATGAAAAGGAATCTATAGTAAAATAATTTAATCACTATTGTTAGATTGGATTTTCTATTATACAAATTTATAATTTAATCTTAATCAAATATAATTAAATTTTTTGGTTAATCATTCATTTAGAATTTAGAATTTTAGAGAAATAAAAACATTTTTGGTGCCACAATTAGATTAATTCTAAATAGTAGAAACTATTCAAACAGAGAATAAATAATTATGTTGGCTAAGAATAAATTAAGATATTTTATCATCTTATTCTAGAATGGAAAGTTTAAGATGAACTATCATAATTAAAAGATTAACCTAACCAAAAAGATTGTTTATAATTAGGTAATATATTATATAAATTATAATCTTGCTTATATCTAGGAACTAAATTAAATATTAATGTCTGCAAAAAATGTATTAGTCTGATAATATAAAAATAATTAAATTAAGAGATAAGATAAATCTTCATTAATTTAATTCAAATCAAAATAAAATGAGATCATCTAAAACCTAGAAAATTATTTAAATTTAATACTTAACCATTTACTATATCTATATAGGAAATCTAATTCTTTATATTTCTAATTGTGAATCTCTAAATAATTTATATCTACAATTCATTTTTTTCTAATTATTTATAAAATATTTTTTTTGCATTTTTCTTTAAATTAAATTATGAAACAAATTTATTAATATCTTTCTAAAATCATTTTGAATAGAAAAGATGAAAAATTAATACTTTTCTTTCTAAATAAGTTTTAATGACGTTAATTATGATTTTTGATATAATTAAACAAAATATTTTTTTTTATTTATTAAAAATGAATAAGAATTATCACAGAATATGATTCTAGTCAGAATACAATTACTTAAGAGTGTTTCATAGATTAATAATATAATCACACTAATGTACCTGGTTATTTAGAGAATAATTCAATCTAATGAATATGTATTAATACCTTATTAAAGATTAAAAACAGAGAAATAGCTACCCAGAATATATAGTACAGTTTAGAATAGAAAATATCTTAACAACCATTTTTAATTGCAGACATTCTCTCTATGATAAATTATATTGAATCCTCTACAAGGAAATTATAAAATATTAAATGCAATTTATATTAATAAATATCTTGAAAATAAAATAAAAAAGATTTAAAACCAAAAAATTGAAAAAATATTATAAAATAAAAAGCATAAAATCAAATTAAAAATAGGGTTATTGAAAATGAGAATACTCAAAAACTCCATTTGTGAAGAGAAGGATATATATAAAATTAAAGAGGGAAATAAAGAAGATTTTAATGAATCTAAATATTTTTTATATTTTATTTTATAAAAAAAGATTAGTGATAAGTTTTCCATAAAATTTTCAGCTAGGGACCTAGAAATTATGATAATGGAGATTTCATAGATGAAATAAGAGACCATATAACCTCTGTTTAAGCAGAAATATGAAAATAATTTAATTATTATGCTTAATTTCTTTTAATCAATTTGTTGCTTTTCTAATCGTGAGAAACTCGATAAAACTAATATTTTTATCTAATAACGAGCTCAAACTATGTCTATTTAACCTATAGCATATGAGAATACATTAGATCAAGTCCTAAAAAATGATATTATTGAAACGGATTAATACCTTCAATTAGACAACCAAAATGAGATTGAATAATTCGAGTATTTATACATTATTATATTATTAGTTTTGAGTCTTCTAGTGACATACCATCCACTCAATAGCCTTCGGATTTCATGGTATTGAAAGATGAAAAACTTTAGTAACAAATTCAAGATAAAATTGAATAAAATGCCAAAAAAGAACAAACTTTTACTCGAAGAGTGAGTATCCATTTCTATTTTTTTTTAGAAAAGAGTAATAAAACTTTGGGATTCCACTGAAGATGCTCAATTACGTATCCAATACTAAAAGCATAATGGAAAATGGAATTAAATCGTTAAACATATGCCAGGAAGAAATGTTTCATAATGTAGTTAAAGATGGAGAAGATTGCAACCTGTTAAGATTGTAATTGTATTTGTAAATATTCGTAGTTTAAAAGAAAACAATGGACTTAAGAAGAAGATGAAAAAATCTTAGAATTAGTCAAGTAATATGGAAAAAATTGGAAATTAATCGCTTTACGTAAAAATTAATTTAACTATAGTGCCTTAGACTTTCCAAATATTTTGAGTAAACAAATAAGAGAACGTTATATAAATAAAATCAACCCTGAAATTAATACTGGACCTTGGACTGAAATTGAAGATGCAACCCTCTTCAAATTATATTAGTAATATGGGGGAAAATGGAGTCTTATTTCTTCTCATCTTTAAGGGAGGCCTGTATTCTTATATGATTATCTATAGGAAAATATGGTCAAAAATAGATTCTATTGTTATATCAGAAGAGTTCATCTTGGTGTTTAAAGTCCATATTAGATAGTTTATCAAGAGAATTCTGATAATAAAGCAGAAAATTCTAATGATAATATCGAGTTTGAATGAAATATTATAACCATAATAACATTATATTTATATTCTATAAGATGGGGGTATATTATTTTATATTATAAAAACATATTTTCATAATTTTGTAAATTCAACATCTAAACTTAAAGCTTAGATAAAATCATATATATGTGTGTAACAATTTATAATCTCTTAAACTTATATTTAAATACTACATGAAAAATAGTATTATTGATATAAAATATATTAAGGTAGGCATATGAATTTTTTTAATGGCTAATTGAATCATTACTACATTCCTATATAAATGTTTAATATAAGTGGTGGTGTTACCTTTTAATTTATGTTAGAATAAGTTTAACATAGAAAATTGAAAAATAGTTTAATTAAATGAACTATTAATCGTAAAAATTGGATAGAGAAAAATGTGGAAAGGATTCTAGAATTCTAAGTATCTTAGAAACTGGTGGTAAGATATTAAAATGTTATATAGAATCCATATTACTTTCTACTTGCTTATGGAAATTTAGTCACATTAATAAGTAATAAGAAAGAATATTGTTAATAACAAACAAGAACATATACAATATAACACCATAAAGCACACTTGTAAATTTTTTTTCAAAAGTTGTTTCAAGTGTTAGAGTGAAAAGGTAATGATTGAAATAACAATACTTTAGAAAAATTGCAATATAAAATATAGTTGGTATCACTATTAGTAAATGTGGATTTGAATTTGTTATTCATGTGCCAGATGAATATGATTATAGATATTCATCATTAGATTTGTATGAAATTAAATATCTAGATTAGTCGAGAAAAAATATTGTCAACACTTTCTGATTCTTATTAAAGACTTGTAAAAAAGTATTTGGCAATTTATCTTACAGATGATTTAACATTGATACCATATACTACAACAAAAGTTGATGCTAAAAAAGGTATATGTAGAATGCATGGACATCCTATTAATATAGATCCATAAACTCTAGCAAATTATGATTTTTCAACAATGAAAGCATCTGAAGATAATTAAAAGTAATCAATTAGAAAAAACTATGATTACACTCAATAATATAAACTCCTTAAATATTTGTATTAAGGAATGTTAGGATAAGTTATACTTGTTTAAAATATAAAGACAGAAAAATATTATATCTTTAAATTAATGTAAAAATAGGATGTTATAACTACAGATCATTTAAATCATGCTTAAAATGAAAGAAAACTATTAGAAATATTTGATCATCCTTTTATAATAAAATTAGTATAAGCATTTGAAACAGATGATTAATTAATTTTTGTATTGCCTTTTTATTAAGGAGGTGATCTTTACACTCATTTAAAAAAAGAAACTAGATTAAAAGAAGAAAGAGTTAAATTCATAGTTGCCTAATTAATCTTGGCTTTAGGTTATATGCATGATAGAGATTATGTGTATCGTGATTTAAAACCTGAAAATATTCTCATTGATTCTATGGGGTATATTGCTTTAACTGATTTGGGATTGTGCAAATAACTGCCTAACAATCATTTATCTTATAGTTTTACTGGATCTGTTGAATATATAGCTCCTGAAATGATTACTGCTGTTGGTTATAATAGAATGATAGATTGGTGGATGTTAGGAATATTAGTATATGAATTGATATTTGGTATTACACCCTTTTATTGTGATAATTAAAGTTAAGTATTTGAGTCTATTTAAGAAAGAGAAGTGAGATTCTCAACTAATATTGCTATCTCTATTGAGTGTAAAGACTTTATAACAAATCTTTTAAGAAAAGATCCAAAAGAAAGATTGGGATATAAAAGAGACTTCTTAGATTTATAGGCAAATTAATGGTTAAAAGATGTTAATTTTGGAGAAATAATGAGAAAAACAAATTAAACTTGGAAATTAAATTTGAATGATCCTTTAGATCTAAAATTTTTTGAACCTGAAGATTTAACTTTAGGTATATAATTATTTGTATTAAAGAATCTTTGAATTCTTAATAACAAGATAAAGCACTTATACAAAAATTTAATTAAGAATTCTAAAATATTGAATTTAATCTGTGAAGTTTAATGTTTTATGTATGTTTGATTTCAAAATGAAGTTCAATTATATAATAATAAACTACTCAAAGTTAGATCTAAGATTTAAAATAAAAACTTTCATGTTTCTATTTAGATATAATAAATTAGAAAATTCATTTAATAATTCTTACTGTTCATTCTATAACTTAGTCTTATGATAATAACTTATTAATTTTTTTATTTCCTATCATTTTTTCAGATCTTCCTATACTATCAGGTCTAAAATTTAATAATTATAGTTAAGATACATCTCTTTTTTAAGAATTGCATTAACCATAAGTGTTGCATTTCTTTAAGTTTATCTTCGAACGAACATAGTTTATTAATCATTATTTTATTCTACTTAGAATTTTATCTAATCAGTCTCTTTTGTTAAGAAACTTAAACTAGATAACCTTCTTAATTATGGTCTTTTTTCATTTACTTGTATATTTAAATTTTCATATTAGAGTTTGTCAAACTTATTCCTTTCCTCTTACATAATTTTAAAATCATTATGATCTCTAGTGTATTTAACTTCTTAATTTTTCACTATTGAAAATCTTTTTGAAACTTTATTAAGAATTCCTCTCATTGAAGACATCTTATCAAACTCTTCCTTTTTACGTTTTTACTCTCTAATATAAATGATTTAATCTAATAAAGCTTTTCTTTGCACTTGATTTTCTAGAAATTTTATTGCTTTAGAAACTTATAAAGGATCAAATGGATTTTTCAATTCTTAAATAGCTTAATTTAACATATCTTTGTTTCTTTTTTATTTTAGTAGGTGTATTTTTTGAGAACAATTATATTTAGTTTCAGAAGTAGGAGTAAGTGATTTTTTCATATTAATTTTATAATGAATTAACAAAAGCCACCGTCAACATAAACAAAAAAAGTAGATTAATCAGTTTCAACAATTACAAAAAAATCACAAGCATCAAGAAAGGACTCTTCATTTTAATAAGCAGCTATTCGATAAGTTTTAGTTGGAGGATAACCAGGAGTAATATATAATTTATATTTCTAAAGGATGGATTATGGTGTTATACACAAGATTAGCCTTCGCCAAATCTAGTTAGTATAAAGGAAATTAATACACAGATTAATTAAAAGTTCAAGTAAATAGAATCCAATATTGAATCAGAAATAGTTGAAACTCTAAGATAATAATGTCATTAATTAGGATTAGAGTTGGAAACTGTAAATGTTTAGAATTAAAATTTAAAAATAGACATAGCCTAATAAAATAAATATATTGACCAATAAAATAAAAAGCTTGAAACAGCAATGAAGGAAATAGAAAATTTAAGGAATGTTAAAGTATCTCTTCAATCTTAATGTGAAACTATTAAGGATCTATATAATAAAACTAAAAGGGAATTAGGAGGAATGAATTAAGAAATGAAATAAGAAAAGAAACAGAATGAAGAAATGTCTTAATAAATAGTTAAATTATAAGGATTATATTAAGAAATGTAGAGAGTAAATAAAGTTGAAGTTGATAATTTAAAGTAGAAACTTGAAGAATTGGAAGAAGAGAATGAAGAATTTAAAACAAAATTGTAGATGAGGGGGGGACAAATTGATAAAAGATAGGATTATGAAAGTATGGAATGATTTTTAATAGGAATTATCCATTAAAGTTAATAGAAATTGAATTAAGTTTTTTAGAATGAGAGAAAATTAGAAAAAATGGGTAAGATTTTAGAAGAAAATGCTATTTTAAGTGAAAGACTAGGAGAAAGTGAAACATTAAGAAGAAGATTTATGGAAAAAAATAATCAATAAGAAAAAGAAATTAAAATTGTAAATTATCAATTCTATATTTATTAAGCTCATTGAAAGTAGATTAGAAGTAGAAAAACAAATGGTTGTCTTAAAAAAAAGAGTGAATGATTTACAAGTGCTGAAATCAACTAATCAAAAAATATAGGAAGATAAAATCAATAAATTATAAGAGTAATGTAATCAATATTAGTTATAAATTGAAAAATTAACTCAATAATTAAAAAGAAACTAAAAATAAAAAATTCATAATCAATCAAATTTAAAAGAAGATGTCTCAGATTATGAAGATGTTGAATCAAAACCATAACTCTTTGGAGCTTGATTAAAAGAATCTTATTTTATAAATATAATTATGTTATCATCAAAAGAATATAAAAGATTTATTCAAACACAAATATCTGAAGATCAATTCAATTTGGATACTAGTATATATTTAGAATCACCATAATGCAGTATTAATAGATAGAGTATTACAAATGTCTAAATTAGAAAAGTTCAATTTCAATATTCAAAACTAAGTATTGAAGTCTCCAAATGACAATCAATTCAAATCTTCATTTTCAAGCTAACATTCTAAACTTACCCCTGAAAATTTCTAATTTCCCAAACAAAAATCTTATATTGTATATGGAAAATTCTCAAATCGTATACTCAGAATAAAAAAATAAAATAAATTACATAAGAGTCAAAGCCAAATTGATGCAGTTTAGTTTCCAAAAATTATTAATAAGATACGAAGAAGTAGCGGTTGTGAACTTCTAAGTGATAAATAAGTATTTTTAATTTAATATTAATAGGTTAGATTTGCTTTTCTTTACCCAATTACCAATGTGGCTTTTCATCTCTTATAAAAGGAATTAAAAAGAAATGAAATAAGGAAGAAAACTATATTTAAAAGAATGTCAAGCATTTTGATTAAACATTCAAATAATTTAAAATCTTAAACCATAATAGATCCATTTTAATAGGAAACTATAGATTAAAGTCCTTCTAAATTTGGTGAAAAATAATCTAGTATTATTCTAAAATAATTTTAAAAGTCATTTGGATGTTTAAAAGAATCCTAAGAGTTATTTTAGAATATGGAAAATTCTGAAAAATTATAGTTATAATAGGATAAATTCAAAAAATTTTCTTAATCTTTAACTAATTCACCTAAAATTAATAAAAATTAAAAATCAAAGAATAAATTACTTGATTCTCAAAAAGTAGTATTAGATATAAGTAAGAAACAAAGAAAAACATTTATTTCTATTCAAAATTATGTTAATGAACGTTCACTAAGTAACCAAACTAAATCAGTAGGTCTAATCTAAAAATAAATTCATTTTCAATATTAAAATTTGTTAAGTCTTACAGAAACAGATAGCTCTTCTCCTATCAAATAAAAAACTACAAATACTTCACGTAATTTTAATCATATTAAATCTCTTTCAAATCTACCTGATATAAGAGAAGTATCAACACAAAGATTAAATAATAATAGAATCTAAAAAATAGCTGAAAAAGTCAAAAATGTATATTTATTAAGTCCTAACAAATCTAAGCAAATTTAAGATAAAATAAAAATTTGATACTATTTAACATAATTAAAATGTCTCTTAATATTATAGTAAACAATTTTTAGATCTATTTTTTTCATATTTACTTTTAGAAATTTATTTCTTTGTTCTTGAACATAAATTAAAAATGAAATGTTTAAATATTCTGTCTGATAAATACTTGAAATCATTTAATACTAATTCTCTTAAAATTCTAGCTACCTTAGAAATGGGAGAATTAATTTCTGATAATTCTCAACACAATTGAAATTTGGTTCAATATTATATTATTACGCAATTCATATGTTCCATAAAATTTAAGTTTTCTTAAATTACAAGTTTTTTTTGGAAAAACTTATGTTAATTTGGTCATAACAAAGAAAACTAAGGTTAAATACCATCCCTTTTGAAGAACAATGTTTAATAAATTAGGGTTTAAAAGGAATGAAAGCAAATTTATTTTATTATTATTTTTATTAAAAAGAACAAGAACAGCCTAATGGGATTGTATTTAATTATAGTTATAACATATTAGAGATTTAAAGATGAGAATACTTTTAAGCAATACATTTATGTCTTTGGTGGTGGTTGTGAATTTAGCTTTGGTTTCCTATTTGAAAGAAAATGATGGAGGTGATTATACTCAATTTTCATATATCACGAATATTAGCACAGCTGACCATGATAAATATAGAACTTATTTAAACCTTGCAATCTCTGCCTTTGTTTTGATGTTAGTAGGATTTCTTGCAGGAATGGTATAACCATTTTTGAAACAAGCTGCTTTGGCTTATGTTATGGCATTGTTGATATTAACAGGATATGTGTGCTTATTTGCAGGAGTATTCATAAATGATACCTTCTAATACAATTTCGTTGATGGGAAATCGTTTAATTACAGTTTGGCATCATTCTTTGGAATGGGAGGAGTATTTATCTAAGGAATGGTAAATTCTTGGAGATAAAGATCTATTGATTGAATATTCATCAATTATTAATATATATTTATCATATATTTTTGTTTTTGCATAGTAAAATGATTATATGAATAATATAGTATTTATAATAAATTGATATATATATTTTACAATTATTCATATTATCATTTTTCTTTTTTTGAATTACTTTAATATGAATTATTCTCATCACTTCCATTTGATTGATCATCAATATCTTCTTCTTGAAAATCGTCATCATCTTCATCTGAGTCTAAATTATTTAGGTCTTATTTGATTTTATTACTTCAAATATATAAATTATATTAACTTATGCTCTAAACTATCATCCTCATCACTGTCATTCACTTGAACACGAGGAAGTTCTTCTTATAATTTTCTAACAGCAATCTTTTTGGTTGAGAAATATTAAGCTAAGTTATCTAATTCATCCTTTTCTATACTAGAAAATAATTGATTTGAATTTTTATATATGATTTTAACATCAAAGAACTTATTTAAATTTGTTGATCCAATCTATAAATTCATCATAAAATATATACTCTTTGTAAAATCACTTCTTTTATCTCTTCATGTTTTATATGAAGAACTGGTTTTTGTAGATATATTAAAGATTTCTCTAATGGGAATAAAAACCCAGAATGAGGACCTACAGAACACCTAAGACAATTTAAACCATTTTTTGTTTTAAAATTTTTGGGTGTTACAACTTTAATCCCTGTTATTTCAAATAATAATTCACAAACTGTATTATATAATGTACCTGAATATTCTTCTTTAATTAATTTCCAATCAATATCATCAAGTTATTATCTCTAATATTTTAGTTTAATATCAGTTTCATAATCCTTCTTAAATAGCATCACTAAATAATTGTATGCAGTTTATCCTTGTTTAAAAGGATGTTCAAGTCCAATTACAAGTGATAAATTAATTTCATCTGGCATAGGCAATAAAAATAATCTTGAGATTCCTTTATAATCAGTTGTGAATTAATAAGTATTTCCATGAAACCGAATGTCTTTTTTAAAGAAATCCATAGTATAATGTCCCCTTTTAAATAAAATATAAAAATTACCTAGGAACAATTAGAGGAACATCATGAATAGTAAGAATAGAGTCAGCAAAACTTTATCCAATTTTTGCTTTATCTACAATTTCATTTTATAATTTCTATTAGAATGTTGGCTCTTCTTCTTCATTATCAAGCTTTTCTTAATCTAAATCTTAATTAGATATTTTTTTTTCTTATTTGATTTTCTATTTTAATTGAAATATTTACTTATTCTTGAGGAGGAATAAAAAATCTCACTTCACATAACATATCATCACTAATTAATCATTACAGCCATACAATTCACCACAATCATCAGTTGTCATTTATAATACGATATCATTTTTTTAAGTACTTGAATTAACTACTTTTTTAAGTGGTAATTTGATTAAATTGATCAAATTATATTTCAGAGTTAAATATTTGTCATCAACAGATGCTGATCCCCAATTTATACCTTTTGTACATTGTTAAGACATTTTAAATTAAAATAATAAATTTATATATGGGGGCATAAAAAATTTCAATAATTCTGATTTGGAATTTTCTTGAATAAATTTAAATGTTTGTTTGCCTATATGAATGTTCTCAAATCTTCAATATGTCTCTCAATCCAATTAATGTTCAACTTGAAATGATTCACACACAACAACACAGCTTAACACATTAAATAATATTCAAATAATTACTACTCTACTCTCAATATTTTCTTCTATCATAGTTAATAAAATACAAGCCAAGGCCTTATTGCACTATGAGATCTATCTAAACTCTTAACCTATTTCCATATATAACAAATTATCTATGATTTTCTATCTCAATTATTCCACTTTCTCTTTATCATAAATTTATTCTATTAAATCTCTTAAATCCATTAATATTCTATGCACTAATTAAGATGATGTTGTGAAACATAAACTATAATTTAATATTTAGCACATTTTTCTCTCTTATTATAAGATATCACTGTTATAATATTTTGATTGTAACACCTATATCATTTAGAAAGATTTACTTCTTAGCATAAATCATCTATATATATTGGATACAAATCAACAAGTTTTGATGAAATATAAATGCTACAACCTGATATCAATTCCAATTCTTTAAATGTTAAATGAATTGTGTTCTATAAGTATTAATAAACTAATTCAATAGCTTTGAAAATTGTCTCAATGGTAACTTTCCTGAATTTTTTCATCTTGTATACCATCCAATCTAAAACTCTTTCTAATTGTTCTCCTGTAAAATCATGTTAATCAATATTCAATTTATTTAACTAATTTTAAATTTCATCATACTTATTATTCTATTACTAATTCATATTAATAAATTTCACATCGGAATTTATCAAAATAACTTAGAATATCTTTCTCTGACTCTTTTCCAGATCTCAATTAATAATTTATCTGTTGAAACTCTGCATTTTCAACTTATATGAGCATTCTTCCAATGTTAACAGGAATTATTGCATTTCTTCTTTTACCCTTCTAAATTTTTATTTCCTCTTTTTATTATTTCAAAGACTTCTCCTATTAATTTATAAATGTAAAGTTCATATTTGAAATGTCTTAAAATGCTGATCGAACTCTATTTCTAGAACTAAAAAGTAATTCTTAGTTCTATTCAATTTTGTTGTGTTTGGTATAAAAATTTTTTTAGTTCATAAAATATTTATAAATTAATAATTAACGTAAAATGATCAATACTTAAATAGCCAACCTAACAAAATAATTAAAAATTAAGGATGATGCAATTCAAAAAGCATATTTAATTATTGAAGCATAATAAAAAGAGATATTGAATTTGTAATAATATTAATAATTATCTGTAACAAAATAATCAACTACTCGTAATATAAGCAAATCAATGCATAATTTCAATTTCCAATCATAAATTGAAAATTATAAACAGGAAATTACTAACTTTCTTGAATATGAAAAAATGATTGAATACTTTTTTAATAATCAATTAAAAGATCAATAAGTTATAATAAGCAACTAAAAATTAACTTAATTAGATTTTGAATTAGAGTATTGGTAAAATTTATATTAAGAAACAATCAAAACATTAGAAAAAGCAATTAAAATAAACAATACTATTGAATAATAAAATTTAGAATTATAATAGTATTTAGAGTAAATTGTATTTGAAAATAAACTTGCCAGATAATACATTTAATAATTAACTAAAACTGAAAATAATTCCAGCTAATAGGTTGATGTACTAGATTTTATTAGCTCTTCATCAATATAAGCATTAAATTAATCATTTTAAACATTCTCAAGTTTTATATCTGAAGTTGTATTGTGTGCCACTACAAAATTTAAATTGAAATAATAAGAGGAGACATACTAGATTTCAGATTTTAAAAAAGAGATAAAACAACTTTAATCTGCTTCTCTTTAATATGAAATATTCTTTCAAGAAATAGCTAATATATTGGGAATCTAATAAGATTAATAATCATTTTTATAACATCAGGGTTAAATTATCAAAGAAATTAAAAGTTTACAATTCTAGACTCTAACTCAAAGAGAATCAAATAAAGAAAATGAAATGAATAATTGCAATATAAGTTAAAATGTCTAAAAATTGTCTACTATAATTAATTAATTTAATAATGTTTTCAATTAAATCGTATAACAATTTTAGGAGGATCAAAAATTAAATGAAATATTGTCTTAAATTCATAATCTAATTAATTTGCTTTTTAATGAAATAACAGATAGTAAACTTGTTAATGTTAAATTATTAAATGGTTTAAATAGTTCGTGCAGATAGCTCAGAAATAGTTACTAAAAAATGGTTGTTTGATAACATTAAAAATAGGTTTTTGTATCAATTTAATATTTATAAATATTCAAAAAATATCATTTAACTTTGAAATTTTTATGAGTAATCAAATAAAGATATTTATACTCAAATATTGTTTGTTAATAATGAAAGATATTATTTTATCCAACTATCTACTTAGCATCCTAAATTTGAATTTTTTTATTGGATAATTCCATAAATTTAAGATATTTAATAAAAATTTTTCTTTCAATTCAATAATTTAATTATTCTATTTTATTAGTTTTTAAATTAAAATAATTTATTAAGTAGAAATTTATATTTTATAATTAAATCGTTGAAATAAAAAAAAGCATCTATATGGATAAAAAATGCAGAATCGCTCAAAACTGAATTATTCAAAGCAATTCTAAATAAATAATAAATGCATTCCATTTTTATCCTTTTAGGATTGATTTTCATTTGTGTGACAGAGTTTCTTGATGTTGCTTGGATGTAAGGAAGTTCAACGAAAATCAAAATTGCGTTAACATTTACAGGAAAATATTGCATGTCTAATTTAGAATAAGAAGTATGTTAGTCTTTAGAGGAATGCAATACATATCTATGTGTTTATGAAAAATATCTTCCTCTCATGAGTGGTTTAATTATTGGATTTGCTTTAACATCAATACTGTTAAATCTAATAATATATTAGATTATAAAGAAAATTTAGAAATAAACATTATAGATTATCAATATTATTGATATCATTTAAAATTTGATACCATTTTTAGTAACACTATTTGTTTTTGTCAATATTTTGATTTTAGATTGTACTTATAAAGAATGGGACTTCAAGGTTGCAACTATAATTTTATTGGTTTTAAGCTGTTCTTGTTTTATTACTTCCTTTTATTTCCTTCTAAAGAATACGATTAAAAAAAGAAACCTCAAACAAAGAATTGAGTAGCCTTTGATGGATTAAAATTAATGAACAATTTTTCATGTTTATTTATCATTTAAATAATCCATTAATCGTATTAATATTTGAAAAAATTATTATATAATTAATATTTATATCTAAAATTGTATCTTTAAGCCAAGAACATAAAAAAATCTAATTAAGAAGGAAAATTGAAGCAAAGAAAATGTTTAATTTAAAATTGAAGAAATAAATTAACGTCGATTAACAAGTAGTTTTGGTTAATATCTTCATTAATCAATTCATATCAATCGATTAGTAAAAATTTAAGGATAATTATAAAAGTTAATACGCATAAAAAAGAACTTGTGAGACTATCAGTCAATTATTAGCAGTTATAGAAAAAGATGGAACCTAATGATGATTATAATTTTATATATTCACCATATGATAATTTAAATTAATTGAAACGTAAATATAACTTTTAAATAATAATAATTTTTAATTTTATTATGTATTTTATTTATAATTCCAACCGAATTCTAATTCAAATTTTCCTGATTCAGAAGATATTAAACATTTTAATTATTAACAAATCATAATCATTAATCAAAGTTATTATAATTTTATGAATATGGTTAATATTTGACAAACATTTATTAATTATATTCATAATCAGATTTATTATAATTGAAAGAATATCGTTAATATTTGACAAATAATTATATTAATTATATATAATCATTAATCAAAATTATTATAAGTTTATGAATATGGTTATTATTTGACAAATAATTTTATTAATTATTTACTAATCATCATAATCATTAATCAAAATTATTATTATTGAAAGAATTCTTTTAATATTTGACATTACATTTATAATTATTTAATAATCAAAATTATTAATCAAAGTTATTATAATTGTAAGAATACTTGTAATATTATACGATTATACATTTTAATTATTTACAAATCATTATCATTAATCAAAGTTATGATAATTGAAAAAAAACATTTAAAATTTGATAAGCAAAACCTCTTTAAAAATACTCTATTCATTTAAATACTCTTAACCATTTAATTTATTTTATCAAGATGTCTAATATATATTTTATTACTTTTTTTAAGTGAAATTACTAAATTTTTAATATTTGATTTGTTTTTAAAACAGTTTACTGATTGTAGTGTAATATTCTTAAATTTATAATAATATATTACTAATGAATAAATTATTTGTAAATTTGACAAAAAAAAAACTTTTAAGAAAAAGAATAAACTCATCAAATAAAAATACTATAATAATTTTATTAACAAGGTTTCGCTTACTACTAAAAATCAATTTATATTTCTAAAAGAAGGTGTATTATCTACTTTCTCAAAAGATTTATATATAATATTTTTGATTTTGAAAAAAACATTTATAATATAATAATGTAATAAATTATTGGTATAGCTTTGATTTTAGTNTGATAATTTAAATTAATTGAAACGTAAATATAACTTTTAAATAATAATAATTTTTAATTTTATTATGTATTTTATTTATAATTCCAACCGAATTCTAATTCAAATTTTCCTGATTCAGAAGATATTAAACATTTTAATTATTAACAAATCATAATCATTAATCAAAGTTATTATAATTTTATGAATATGGTTAATATTTGACAAACATTTATTAATTATATTCATAATCAGATTTATTATAATTGAAAGAATATCGTTAATATTTGACAAATAATTATATTAATTATATATAATCATTAATCAAAATTATTATAAGTTTATGAATATGGTTATTATTTGACAAATAATTTTATTAATTATTTACTAATCATCATAATCATTAATCAAAATTATTATTATTGAAAGAATTCTTTTAATATTTGACATTACATTTATAATTATTTAATAATCAAAATTATTAATCAAAGTTATTATAATTGTAAGAATACTTGTAATATTATACGATTATACATTTTAATTATTTACAAATCATTATCATTAATCAAAGTTATGATAATTGAAAAAAAACATTTAAAATTTGATAAGCAAAACCTCTTTAAAAATACTCTATTCATTTAAATACTCTTAACCATTTAATTTATTTTATCAAGATGTCTAATATATATTTTATTACTTTTTTTAAGTGAAATTACTAAATTTTTAATATTTGATTTGTTTTTAAAACAGTTTACTGATTGTAGTGTAATATTCTTAAATTTATAATAATATATTACTAATGAATAAATTATTTGTAAATTTGACAAAAAAAAAACTTTTAAGAAAAAGAATAAACTCATCAAATAAAAATACTATAATAATTTTATTAACAAGGTTTCGCTTACTACTAAAAATCAATTTATATTTCTAAAAGAAGGTGTATTATCTACTTTCTCAAAAGATTTATATATAATATTTTTGATTTTGAAAAAAACATTTATAATATAATAATGTAATAAATTATTGGTATAGCTTTGATTTTAGTTTTTGTGAATGGAAAAATTTATACTTCGTACAAACAGTGCGATAATACATGGGGATCAGATAAATTAGGGACAGGATCAAGCACAATTTGTTCAAACGGAAGTTTGATTTCATCGATCGCCATGATATTCAACACATATGGAATAACAACAGATGGGATCACAACTCCAAGAACAATGAATTCATGGTTAAAGAGGAACAATGGTTATGCTTCTGGAGATCTTTTTATTTGGTCTTCAATATAGGACTTTGGATTTGTTTATTAAGGGAAATTCTCAGCTTCTTAAGCGAAAAGTATTTTGATTGAATTATATAAGTGAAATTTGACAGTGGAGACCATGTGATTCTTGGAGTAAATGATGGATCTCATTATGTTTTGATGACATCGTATTCTGGAGATACTTTTAATGTTAACGATCCAGGATATTCAAAGACGAGTTACCCATAGAATTCTGTGATTTATGCTCCTATTTATACTTATAGTAAAGTGAGTTATTTCAAGAATCATATTTTGAAGTTGGAATGATTAATATTAATAATTTAATTAGAATTTATCATAAGATGATTCTTGTTGAAAAGCAATGGATAATAGATTAGAAGAAAAATTGAAAAGAATTAATATATATTATTAATTAAATGAATAATAATTCAAGAGATCCACCTAGCAAAATATTGCTTCTTGTAATTACATAATTATCTCCAACATTTCCTTTGTGTAATGATCTGCTATTTGAACAATTTGCAAAATACGGGGATATCAAAAAGATTCTTATTTTCGAAAGAGGTAAAGCAAACAAGGCATTTGTGGAATATTATGATATAAAAGATGCAATTGAAGCAAGGAAAGATAAAATAGGTAAATATTTGGCTGAGGGGGAAGGAAAGTATTTTGTGCTTATATATTTAGATTAACAATACATTTTTCTCGTCTGAAAAATTTAGATTTGGAAGTAGTTGACAAATCTCGAGGAACCGACTATACCTAAACAAGCAGCACTAATTCAGATGTAGTGAAACATTCAAACACAGATGATCCAAATATATTGAGATAACAATTAGATCAATTTACTCGAACATTTACTTAAACTCCACAAAGGAATATGAGTCCATAAAGGAATGAAGAGATTAATAACTTATTAAATTCAGATTCAGAAGATGAGGCTAAGGATGTTTTAAAATAAAAAACTTCTTCAAGCCCTGAAATTTCTGAAGATGTTTAAAATATGATCGCTCAAAAACCATCCAAAATTATTAAAATACAATCTATTGATGAAAGAGTAACTGCTAAGATGTTATATAATATTTTTAATAAATTTGGCAACATCGAAGAAATATTATATGAAAAGCAGTTTAAAAGAGTGTTTATAAGATATTAAACAGTAGAGTTTGCTTAAATTGCTAAAGAATACTTAAACAATATCACATTTTTTGATCAATAAGTAATCATTATTTTAACTAAAATAGTGGCGTATAACATACATCCCATTATTTTAATTACAACCAACGACTATTAAAGATGAATACATGATTTATTACAATCCAAATGGACCAAAAGTAATTGCTCCACTCTCTAAGACTATTATTTTGAGTGGTGTTTCTGAGCCAATGGAGATATCAGAGATGATTCGATTAGTTGTCAAAGTTACAGGTAATTATTGATTATCAAAATAGAAATTAAAATTATTTCCTCTGATAGTTTGGAAATCAGCATGTTAAATATCTCAGAAACTCTAAAAATCATAGCTGTATTCTCTGATTACGAATTCAAAAATCAAAAGCTAGTTATATCAATGAAATGAATCTAGTTTAAATCATATTGTAATATAATCTAGATCTCTTAATAAATTTATTAATATATATTTTATAACACCTAGAAAATATTACTAAACTTAGCTGTCCAACAAGAAAAATCAAATTAAATCTACTAACATAACCAATGTATCAATATCTAGAATTTAAAATTCTTGAATATTATCCAATAGTATTAGTATTATGATGTTAATTGTTATTTTTTAATTTTGAAATAGAGGAATAATGATTTTCCAGTAATTTAGAAACATGAGAAATTCATAATCATTTCTTCAAAAGGATTATTCAAATTAGATCTTAATCTCAAAATAATAAGAACTGGAATAAAAAACCTTTAATAGGATAATCAATTAATATGATAGTCATTTAGTAATAGATATTTGGAATATATTTTTACATTATCACTCCAATAATTAAGATTTAATTTTAGAATCAAGGATAATATTAAGATATAGAACATATTAATATTCGCTTATTAGGTTTGGTCGAAAAAATAATTTATATTAGCATTTTAGTCGAATTCTAAGAAGATGGTAGCTATTTGTGATGAATAATTCGGATTAGATTATTCATATCCTTTATAATTTAATAGATTAATACTAATTAGAATGTATTTATTATATTATAAAACGATTATTTTTTTTCTTATATTATTCTATGCAAGCAATGAAATTTAATTGATAAGCTATTTAAATAATAGTAAATGAATCTAAAACTTTTTATGTTAATAAACCAGACTCTACCTACTTAATAATTACTTAAATTGGATTAAACTAAAGTAAAGAAAAGATTAATTTACAAAAGAAAAGCAACGCAAACTCTAAACTTGATATGAATAAAAATTTATTTATTTATATAATGAGACAAAAATCTCAAACCGTTCACGAGGGAGTAGAAAGAAAATTATAAGTGGTCGATTATGATAAGTGTAATTATAAGTGTCTGTTGACTAAAAAGAAATTTCTTGGAAGGGGACTGAGATACCTTTATTTGTTTAAGAATTCCATTTGTATAGGAAAGGTATCCATCTAGCTTTAGATTTTTAAGTCACCTTTTGTTTAGATTCCAGAACGTCAATTTCGAATCAACTCAGAATTAAGAATTAAATGGACTTATACGAAAAATAAATTAAAATCAGTAATCTTTTAAGTAAGCAGCTAACATTATGAATATTATGGAACAAACGAATAGTTAAGGGAACTTAAGTAGAAATGTGCATTAAATGTTTTTCAAGTGTAGATTTAAGATGAATATTAAGCTGAATCTGTTTTAGGAAAAGGGTCTTATGCAACAGTTCTAGAATTAACCAATTTATATACAAATAAACAATATGCTGCTAAATGTATTGATTAACAACGTATAAATGAAAAGAAGAATGGTTAGAAATAATTGCAATAAGAAATAGAAACAATGAGAATACTTTCTGAGTAGAAACATGATAACATTTTATAATTACACGAACTCTATATAGGAAATTAAAATTATTATTTAGTTATGGAAATGGCCAAAGGTGGTTCATTATTGACTCTTATGAAAAAACGCTAAACTCTTTTTAGTAGATAAGACATCAAACTTATAATGAAATAGCTACTTGAAGGATTAGCTTTTATTCATAATCATAACATAATGCATAGAGATTTAAAACCAGAAAATATATTATTTATGAATAAAGATTTAGAATCATTAGTAATTGCAGATTTTGGACTAGCGTAATCAGTAGATTCTCATCCCTATACATATCCAAAATGTGGAACACCAGGTTTTGTAGCTCCTGAAATACTTGAACAAGATTCTGATTTGGCTAGATATACTGTATCTTGTGATATATTTAGTGCAGGAGTTATTTTATATGTTTTGTAAATGAATTACATTAATTTAAGATTGGTAGGAGAACCCTTATTTGAAAAAAAGGACAGAAAAGAGTAATTAGAATTGAATAGAAAATGCAATATTAACTTAAGTAGATTTCCATCTGATCAATTGGATGATCTTGAAAAAGATATTTTGATGAAAATGCTTTCAAAAAATCCAGATTTTAGATGGCCAGCAGATAACCTATTGAAACATAAATTTTTTGTTTCTGAAGATTCTATAGAAAGCGAAGCAGATTTTTAAAAACTAAATAATATTTCAATGTATGATAAATATAAAATATTAGTCTTAAAAAACAAGTGATGCCAACTTTTTCTAAAAACCCCTTTATATAATTTGGTAAAAATATTAATACTGTGAGAGATACAACTTAAACCCTTCTTCAAAGATAAAGAAATTGTACATTAATAATGTAAACTAATTTAAGATTTGATAAATCTTCACAAGAATAATTAAATACCGAATAAGTAAATGGAATGGGATCTTTTAATCTATACAAAGATGAAATCAATTAAACTAACCCTTGAATCATATTATTCATATATTTTATTTACTCTTATTATATAATTTATATTTTTTTAATTTATCTGATGGATGTTAATATTTTTCCTTAAAAGAAATTTGGGTAAGTTATGTCAGATTTAATTAATACTAATTCAAAATGGACTTTGAAAGCAAAGAAATCTTGATAAGTTATTCTGATCAATATAGAGACGATTATTATGTTTACTTAATAGTTTATCTGGATCAAAAAATATCTCAAAAGATTCCAATAAATAAGAGAGGTATTTTAAAATCTAAATTTTAAAGGGTTTTTGCTAAGAGAGCCAGAATGGAGAGAATTAGGTATTAAGCTATTCAAAGGTTGGCTTAATTATGATGTGCACTATCCAGACCCTTATATTCTATTTTTTAGGAAGAGAATAGATTAAAGAATTTAAGAAAAGAAAAAATAATAAACTAAATGAATTCTATCATACATATAAATAATTCAAATTTTCTTAATTGATTACTTTTATAAATCTTTATTTTATAAATATTGGTAGGCTTACAAATACGTTAAATTTTAGCATTCAACACATTAAGGTAATGGTGGTGTATATTTTTGATCGTATTCTTTAAATAGTAAAAATCTTGATATTACTTTCGCTATTTTTATCATTAATATAATGGAGTAAAGTTGGATATCTTTATCTATTTTGATCATTGTTATTTTTAATTGCATTATTTAATAGGTCAAGAATAAAGAATTAATCATTTTCATTTAGCAATTTAAACTATTTTTCTTTTTTTATTCTTTCTATTGCAACTAGTTCTGGTTTATTATGAAACATTGTATTTTCATGAATAATTCTAATTAATTTTACTTAATTAGCAAACTAGGATTAATTTAGTAATAATTTATAATAAGCTCTTAAAGTATCAAATTGATTCCAAATATGTTATATATCATCTGAAAATTTGCATTTATCAATTTATTCTCTAAGTCTATTAGAATGAAATGGTTATTTTTTTAGGGCTAGTCTGTAAATAAAAGTAATGACTTTTTTTCTTTTATCATTATCTAAAAGCCATTCTTTGATTTTCATTTATAAATTTTTATTAATGAAAAAATTATTCAAATACTGTGATTAATGTTCATTAAAACCAGGAACAGTTTTCTGTTAGAATTGCTAGGCTAGATTTTGTTATGACTGTGATGGAGAAGTTCATAATTAGAACTAAAATCACAAGACAGAAATATGCTCATTAACATGTATTATAATATATATTAAGAAATGAGACAAATTAATTAATATTCATAGATTTAGACAATAGATTCATAGATATTATATTAAACAAAATAAAATTATGTAGTAATTGGATAATAGGAACTGTAATAATAACAGGAAGAATTAACAAAAATAGAATTAGAGATTAAATAATTTGAATAAGTTTTGAATTTATAAGAGAACAAATGGATAAAGTAATTTGAAATTTTAGAAAAAGAATATAGTGAAAAAATTGCTAAATTTGAATAGAAGGTTTAAAAGAGTGAAAGCACCATAACAGAAATAAAATAATAATCTAAATAGGAGGATTAAATTAATGAAATGATGAAATAATTAAAAGAATAATTAGAAGGATAAAAGAAGTATGAATAAGATTTACTATTAATAGTTAACTATTATAAAAAGTTGATCAATAAAAATAGTAATTGAATGATAAAGAGCAATTATTATAGAATTTGATAAAATAAGAGAAAGATTTATCTGCAGAAATAAATAAGAAAGAGGTTTTAATAGGAAAATTCAAAGAGTTTATCTAATAATAATAGAAAGAGAAGGAGTTGATATTGAATGAAAATGAGAAAATAAAGAAACAATTGACAGAAATCAAGTAATTATTTAAAGAAAAGCTGCCTTAATTGGGATTGGATGAAAACTTTTTCAATTTTGATGAAGAAGTATCAGATGCTTAAGAAGAGGAATAAGAACCTTAAATATAATAAAATGTAGAGGACTCAACAGAAGAAGATGAAGGGATATAATGAGTAAAATCTAATAAGTTTAACTATGAGTCATTCATTGTTATTTTTGATTCTAAGCATTTTATTATAGATATTATTCTATTTCTTCTGCTTCTAACCATCTTTTCTTAATTCCATCCTTCCACTCTCCATATTTCTTTTCTCCATTTGACATATAATATACACCAATTCCTTATTATTTCCCTTTAAAAGTATAAATATAAATATACCATTAACCCAGATTCCTTCATATTTTCTTCCGTCTCCCCATTCAAATGATCCTCTACCATGTTTCTTATCTTCTAAGTATTCCTAAAGAATATTTTGCTATGGATACTCCTATATATTTTCTGCCATCTGGCCAAGTTACTTATCCATGACCATGCATTTTATTTCTTCTCCACTATCCAGTGTAAATTCTTTAATCTGGCCATTAATATGTTCCATATCCATCAATTTCATTGTCAACAAAAGTGCCTTCATATCGAGAACCATCAGCAAATAGTAGAATACCTTTACCATTTTTCTTACCTGTTTTATATTCTCCCTCATATTTAGCTCCATCAGGCCAAACTTCAATTCCTATACCATCTTATCTGTCATCAACCCACTAATAAATTAATATTTTTTATACATCTCCCTCATATCTCGCTCCATTAATATGAACATATACTCCTTTCCCATTTGCTTTATCATTTTGCCATTCTCCTTCATATACATCTCCATCTGCATGAATTAATTTACCCCAACCACAACTTTTATCATCCTTCCATTATCCTTCATAACATGAACCATCTGGCCATTATTATTTACCATTTCCATCCCTTTTTCCTAACAACCATTCCCCCTCATATATGGCTCCTTTATCTAATTAGATTGGATCAAACTTTTGTCTTTCGGTGCAATTCAGATAAGTAATACTTACTTCTTTAACAGATTAAGGTTCTAAATTTTTTTTCATAGACATGCTTTCATTATCAACTTAAAACTTTTCTCTCTCTTTATTGTTTTATCTTGGAGTTTCAGAAACCTATTATTATTATTATTGGACTGATGACACACTGTTTTCTTTGTCATCATAGTCATTTGGATCAGGATCTTCTAAATCCACCTCATTCTTTTTAGTCTCCTTAGATGCAATTTCACCAGTTTTATTGGCGCAGCAATTCATCTAGCAGCTACCCATATTCAGTTAATTATTTATATATATGATATATAAAATCAAAATTATGCATTCTCATAATCAAGATGAGGTGTCCACATAGCCAATTCATTTTTTCAAAATTTATAAAACAATCTGCACATTATCTCGTTTTCAGCTGTACAAAAATATAATTCATCTTTTAAGAAATAAATGCCTTTCTATTATTTTGGCAAATAAATGATGCCAAGGTTGATAAGATTATTCCAAACATTTTTAGAGAATCAGAATTTCTTATATCTTCTTAACGAGCATTAAAGTGTTCAGTTTAAGTTTAAAAAATTGAATAAATCTTACATTTATAAAGTATAAATTATTGTTAAATATTATTCCGTAAGTGATTATTGTCTCTTTTTTTCGTTTATTTCTGTTATCATAAATTTGAATTTTCTCCCTCTTTTAAATGTTGAATTTTCCTTAAATTTATCATCTGTGTAGGAATCAGTTGTGATGTTTGCTTATCAATCATCTGATTATTAGACTTTGCAACATAATTTTTTTTTTTTCATTAGGCTCTACCAATACCTTCAATTATCATAATTTAAATACTCTTTAATCTTTATCACTATTACACACTCTGTTCTTTGGTATATTAAACTTTATTTATTTTTTTCCTAAAATTAATTAATTTTTATTATTCATTAAAATAGTCAAAATTAAACATAATTTAATTTGTCTTACTTAAAATTTATTTAAAAAATCAGAATCAATTTTCTTTAGATTTTTATTCACATTATTTACTTATCTAATTATTGATGGGCAGATCTCCATAAATACTTGAAATATTCCAGCAAATATATCTTCTCCTGAGTTAACAAATTACTGGCTTAGATTTATTCTCTTTTAAACATAGGTAATATTAATGCAATTATTAATTTTCTTTTATTTTATCTTGTATTTATGAAATAAATAAATGACTTTTTTATAATAAAATAGGGATATTAAAAACTTTAGAAATTTGAATATTATATCTATTTATAATTATGAATAAAAATTTATAAATTGTTAAAATGTGAAGAAATTTAAGGATCGCTGAATCTTAGTTTTTAAATTTATGAGAGAATATAGAATTAAACATTAATATAGATAAATTTAGAATAATCATTTAATAACATAAACATAATTCTTATTTATTTTTTCCATGTCTTTTTCTAATTGATCTAGTTCTCTTTCATATTATATTTATCTTCTTTTTAAACTAACAATATCGAATGTTTTTAAATGAGAATGTTTCTAATATTCAAAATTTATGAAATCATATTTCTATTTAAGGCCTTCTCTTATTTAATGCACCTCAGATTGTGATAATAGTTTTCTTTAATAATGATTCTATATACAATTGGTTTTTCTAATTAGCATCATTTTCTTGTTATTACCTAAATGATTAAGAGATACTTTCTTTGATTTTATTCAAATAATGAGGAGTTTTACCATAAGTTTATTTATTTAGCCAATCTATTTATTTCTTAGGCTTTCTTGGTGCTAAATATAATTAATAAAGAGAACTTGCAAGAATAGTATATATTTTATTAGTTTCAATATAGTTCTGTTTTGTATGTAAATTCATTAGAGGTTGTTCTGCTGATTTAGGGACTGATGGTTTTACTTTATACTTATGAGTATGGTTATGATCTTATAAAAATGATCCTTTTTAAATCCAATCTTCTAATTTATTAGTACCAATTATTTTAGATCTAATAGGAGACAGTTATTCTATTAACAAAGTTATATTAAAACATGTTTTAGTTTTGCCAATGATACCATTTTCCATGGCATAACGTCCTTTGGAAACATTGTAAGAACCACTAATATTATTAATCTCTTTTAATAGACTTAGATACTTCAATTATTATCAACGAAAAAATGTTTGAGTTTTTTTTGAATGAGAGAAAGAGATTTTAAATGAGATCTTGGATGAGAGTAAATGTATATAAATTAAAAAAAAACAATAATTTTTTTCAATTTTTTCCAGAGATTTTTTCAGATAATGAAGCATTGAAAGGCAGTATTTTTAATTGGTCTATTCATTGATTTAATAAAAAAATTAGTATATGAGATAATACACATTTTGTGATTAAAAGTTTCTATTTTTATAAGAATTCTCTTTAAGTTATTCAAAACTTTTTCAATCGGATTTAGCTATAGAGTTTATGATGGCAAAAATAAATATTAAACTGCACTCATCACTTTCATAACACGTTTGCTTCTATACACAGGGCTAATATCAAGAATCAACACAAACTCTTATTCTGAATAATGATGTTTCAATACTCTTATTAGCTGCTAAAGATGATAAAAATAAATTTGAAAATTCACATTTCCTTACATCACTTAATATGCAATAAAATTTTTCGTACCTATCGCACCCAAAATCCCAATACTTCCTTTTCCGATTGGCATATTGAAAATTTTTGTTATCTTCTCAATTGTCAGCAATTTTCTTATGATTTTATTGAATGCCCTAATGCTGGTAGTTAAAAATCCATTAATATAATTAATATTAATTCATTAATGATAATTATAAATGCATCATTATTTTTATTAATTTTTGAATATTGGTGCATCCTATATTGATTATTAGGGCTAAGTAATTTCCTAAATTTTATATTGAAGTGCCCTTATACTTTATTCAATTCTGTTTGACTCTTCTTTTTTTCTAATAAGTCTAGTTTTCGCATTATTTAATTTTACTATTTTTACTTTCTTTTCTTCCACTTGCTAATGTGTTCTTTTAAAGAATTTCATAGATTTTTTTCTTTCAAAGGTGGTATCCAAAGATTTTTATAAACTTTTATTAGATCATATACTATATTACATTAACTTTTGTCAAGCCCACTAATTTTTCTGCATCTAAGTAGTGATTAAAAATTGAGCTCTATTCATTTAGTGTAAATTAAACATTTGTAAGCCATTTTTTATCAGGTAATTTCAGAAGGATGAATCCATGGTTAATGTTTTTCTTTAGAAATACAGCTTCTAACTCATATAATAGTTTAATTTTAGAAATCTTTTTAAATAATTAACCTATTTTCACTTAATCTTTTTCTATATTAAAGCACCTTCCCAAAGCAATACTCAAAAGATAATAACATGAAATAACTTAAGATGCCAAATCAGGCATTTAGTAATTCTTTAAGACCAATGCTGCTTGCATAGATTAAACTCTTCCTACTAACTGATTACCTAAAAATAATAAAAATCGAAAAGAGACATTCTGAAAAAAAAATATTTGTAAATTTTTTCAAGCTTTAGGGTCTAATATATAATTATAATCTAATTTCAAAGGAATAATAACAAATTTGATTTTTTTGATTAAAAAAATAAAATCTAGTTTAAAGAAAAATCGAGTTTGTCATATTTACAATTGGTGACATGTTTGTACCTTATCGATTTTTTTTTTTTTTTTNTCACTTTCATAACACGTTTGCTTCTATACACAGGGCTAATATCAAGAATCAACACAAACTCTTATTCTGAATAATGATGTTTCAATACTCTTATTAGCTGCTAAAGATGATAAAAATAAATTTGAAAATTCACATTTCCTTACATCACTTAATATGCAATAAAATTTTTCGTACCTATCGCACCCAAAATCCCAATACTTCCTTTTCCGATTGGCATATTGAAAATTTTTGTTATCTTCTCAATTGTCAGCAATTTTCTTATGATTTTATTGAATGCCCTAATTCTGTTTCATCAATATATACGAATTAAGCCTTCCTTATACAAAACTAAAAAAAAGTGCAGGAGTATTTAAATCGTAATTCGATGCTTGCTTGATTTGAGCTGGAGTAGATAGGATGCAGAACAATATTTCTTTAAAATCAACTAAAATTTGTTAAACTCATTGCTTGAGGAGCTAATTGAAATTCTTAAATAAAGGTTTGGAATAGATCAATTGATTTCTAAAGTTCATTTGATGTATGGCTTCTTATATAATTTTTAACACAGTTTACATGAATTGCATTAAGGTTGAAGTAATTCTTACTATCTTATTGTAAATTTTAGTTCAACTCGAGATATTGGACTTATCATGGAGTCAGACCTGTAGATGCAGCTATTGCACTATTAGAGTAATCTTCTAATCTTAGACTTCTGACTGCTTATCTTAATTTTGTGACAAATTCGTAATTGCATTCTTTTTAAAATACTCTACACTTTATTTTCTCTTTTTAAATCAATATGTTTTTGCATTTGAATAAATTTATCAACTCTTTTTCGCATTCCTCAATATTGTGATTTTACATCTATTTTTTCTCTATATAAAATAGCCTTATATGGGATTTTTCAAATAATTAGAATAATTGGCATTGAATAGGGCATTGAAAATGTCGTTAATTTAATTATTAGATTTTCAGCTATTTCATCTTTTTACTTTGAACTTCGCTTGGTTTGAATTATTATTCTGCTACATTTATAAATATTTAGAGGATTCACATTTTAATTATCAGGGAAGAAATGAAACAATATAGAAGCAAGTATAAATGCAGTAATCATTTTTGCAGAATTATTATTATTTTTTTAAACTAGAAAAAAAAAAATAATTCAAAAAAAAAAAAAAAAAATCGATAAGGTACAAACATGTCACCAATTGTAAATATGACAAACTCGATTTTTCTTTAAACTAGATTTTATTTTTTTAATCAAAAAAATCAAATTTGTTATTATTCCTTTGAAATTAGATTATAATTATATATTAGACCCTAAAGCTTGAAAAAATTTACAAATATTTTTTTTTCAGAATGTCTCTTTTCGATTTTTATTATTTTTAGGTAATCAGTTAGTAGGAAGAGTTTAATCTATGCAAGCAGCATTGGTCTTAAAGAATTACTAAATGCCTGATTTGGCATCTTAAGTTATTTCATGTTATTATCTTTTGAGTATTGCTTTGGGAAGGTGCTTTAATATAGAAAAAGATTAAGTGAAAATAGGTTAATTATTTAAAAAGATTTCTAAAATTAAACTATTATATGAGTTAGAAGCTGTATTTCTAAAGAAAAACATTAACCATGGATTCATCCTTCTGAAATTACCTGATAAAAAATGGCTTACAAATGTTTAATTTACACTAAATGAATAGAGCTCAATTTTTAATCACTACTTAGATGCAGAAAAATTAGTGGGCTTGACAAAAGTTAATGTAATATAGTATATGATCTAATAAAAGTTTATAAAAATCTTTGGATACCACCTTTGAAAGAAAAAAATCTATGAAATTCTTTAAAAGAACACATTAGCAAGTGGAAGAAAAGAAAGTAAAAATAGTAAAATTAAATAATGCGAAAACTAGACTTATTAGAAAAAAAGAAGAGTCAAACAGAATTGAATAAAGTATAAGGGCACTTCAATATAAAATTTAGGAAATTACTTAGCCCTAATAATCAATATAGGATGCACCAATATTCAAAAATTAATAAAAATAATGATGCATTTATAATTATCATTAATGAATTAATATTAATTATATTAATGGATTTTTAACTACCAGCATTAGGGCATTCAATAAAATCATAAGAAAATTGCTGACAATTGAGAAGATAACAAAAATTTTCAATATGCCAATCGGAAAAGGAAGTATTGGGATTTTGGGTGCGATAGGTACGAAAAATTTTATTGCATATTAAGTGATGTAAGGAAATGTGAATTTTCAAATTTATTTTTATCATCTTTAGCAGCTAATAAGAGTATTGAAACATCATTATTCAGAATAAGAGTTTGTGTTGATTCTTGATATTAGCCCTGTGTATAGAAGCAAACGTGTTATGAAAGTGATGAGTGCAGTTTAATATTTATTTTTGCCATCATAAACTCTATAGCTAAATCCGATTGAAAAAGTTTTGAATAACTTAAAGAGAATTCTTATAAAAATAGAAACTTTTAATCACAAAATGTGTATTATCTCATATACTAATTTTTTTATTAAATCAATGAATAGACCAATTAAAAATACTGCCTTTCAATGCTTCATTATCTGAAAAAATCTCTGGAAAAAATTGAAAAAAATTATTGTTTTTTTTTAATTTATATACATTTACTCTCATCCAAGATCTCATTTAAAATCTCTTTCTCTCATTCAAAAAAAACTCAAACATTTTTTCGTTGATAATAATTGAAGTATCTAAGTCTATTAAAAGAGATTAATAATATTAGTGGTTCTTACAATGTTTCCAAAGGACGTTATGCCATGGAAAATGGTATCATTGGCAAAACTAAAACATGTTTTAATATAACTTTGTTAATAGAATAACTGTCTCCTATTAGATCTAAAATAATTGGTACTAATAAATTAGAAGATTGGATTTAAAAAGGATCATTTTTATAAGATCATAACCATACTCATAAGTATAAAGTAAAACCATCAGTCCCTAAATCAGCAGAACNAGCTCAATTTTTAATCACTACTTAGATGCAGAAAAATTAGTGGGCTTGACAAAAGTTAATGTAATATAGTATATGATCTAATAAAAGTTTATAAAAATCTTTGGATACCACCTTTGAAAGAAAAAAATCTATGAAATTCTTTAAAAGAACACATTAGCAAGTGGAAGAAAAGAAAGTAAAAATAGTAAAATTAAATAATGCGAAAACTAGACTTATTAGAAAAAAAGAAGAGTCAAACAGAATTGAATAAAGTATAAGGGCACTTCAATATAAAATTTAGGAAATTACTTAGCCCTAATAATCAATATAGGATGCACCAATATTCAAAAATTAATAAAAATAATGATGCATTTATAATTATCATTAATGAATTAATATTAATTATATTAATGGATTTTTAACTACCAGCATTAGGGCATTCAATAAAATCATAAGAAAATTGCTGACAATTGAGAAGATAACAAAAATTTTCAATATGCCAATCGGAAAAGGAAGTATTGGGATTTTGGGTGCGATAGGTACGAAAAATTTTATTGCATATTAAGTGATGTAAGGAAATGTGAATTTTCAAATTTATTTTTATCATCTTTAGCAGCTAATAAGAGTATTGAAACATCATTATTCAGAATAAGAGTTTGTGTTGATTCTTGATATTAGCCCTGTGTATAGAAGCAAACGTGTTATGAAAGTGATGAGTGCAGTTTAATATTTATTTTTGCCATCATAAACTCTATAGCTAAATCCGATTGAAAAAGTTTTGAATAACTTAAAGAGAATTCTTATAAAAATAGAAACTTTTAATCACAAAATGTGTATTATCTCATATACTAATTTTTTTATTAAATCAATGAATAGACCAATTAAAAATACTGCCTTTCAATGCTTCATTATCTGAAAAAATCTCTGGAAAAAATTGAAAAAAATTATTGTTTTTTTTTAATTTATATACATTTACTCTCATCCAAGATCTCATTTAAAATCTCTTTCTCTCATTCAAAAAAAACTCAAACATTTTTTCGTTGATAATTCATTAGAATGATTATCAAAAGAGCTATATGAAAGAGGTATTGTGCCTGTAAATTGAGATTTGTATAGAATGGAGGTTTTAGTTGGGATGCTTTGTTTAGGGAGAATATTATAAATACCCTCTTCTTTTATATACCTATAAATTATTCTTTATTATATTATATGATATTCATTTCCATGCATATCTTATAAACTTCTCAAAAGATTAATCATTATCAATAAGTGCACTAATATCTGTTAAATATTCTATAAAATGTTATTGAGTAACAATTTAAACATCTTTCCAAATATCATGAAAATCTTTATTGGCATCAGCAACTGTCTTAATATTTATATTTACATCATGACTTTTTGATGCATCATAAGATTCTTGAATTAAATAAATAAAAATACATTTTAATTATTAAGTGCTTAGTTATGATTCTCCATTTGACAATCTATCCCATAGTTAATTTGCTAAATTTATTCTATATTAAGAAAGTGGTTCTGTTATTATAAAATATATAAGTACTTCTTAAAAATGCAATAAATTCAACAAAAGAAACCTCATCATCACAATTTTTATCAAAAAATCTGAATAAATTATCATATTCTGTTTTGGTTAATAACAATCCAGATTCTTTCATTGCCCATTGAAATTCTTATCTATTCAATGTTCCATTTTTATTTTTATCAGAATTAGTAAAAATAGTGGCCATTCTAATAACAGAATGTTATCCTTTCTTTATTAAATCATTTCTGATTCTATTTAATGTATCTTAAGGAGGTGCTCTAGAAATTTAAAATACTGGATTGACATTTGCATTGTTTCCTGATCCCATCAATGCTATCAACCCACATATTTCATCATAACATAATCTTCCACTTTTATCAGAGTCATATTTATTAAATAATGCTTAAATCTCTTTTTCACTAAATACACAACCAAACTTTTATAAAGCTTATGCAAATTAATATATATCTATAGTTCCTTTGTTTTCCAAATCAAAGTACATAAATGCCTTTTTTGCTGTCTTTCCTTCATCATCTTTGGTGACTGTCTTTTATCTAATTTTTTCAAATAATATTATTTCCAATTAAGCCAATCTTTCTGGAGAAACATAATCAGCACCAGATGTAACTCCCCAAGTAGATGTTAATAACTATCATATATTATCCAATAATATAAATACATCTGTAAAATATTCCTCCTTTTCATTTGGAAGTGTAGCATTACAATCAGCATAATAATTTAAGAATTCATCTTCATTTATACTTTAACCATCCTTACTACGTTTAGATATTGCATTAACAAATTCCTTTGTTACTTATTCAGCTGTCTTTTATCTTGTTCTTACTCTAGGATGGTTTTTAGCCTGATAAAGTTTATAAAGACATTCTAATTATAATCTCCCTTATCTTGATTAATCCAAAAATGAAAATGTATTTCTCACTACATTTATTCTCTTTTCGCTCATATTTTCTCTTATTAAATTCACAAACTCTGCATATGCTATATTGCCATCTTTATTTAAGTCATATTTGTCATATACTGCTCTCAATTCTTAAGTTGTTAGAAATACTCCTATCTTTGATAAAAACTTTTAGAATTCATCCTTATCCAAATATCCTATAATCAAATTATAAAATACCAGAGTTATCTCTATCAAATTCTGCCATTAATTAATACACTCCTTCTAAGTCATCTATTTTACGAGCATGTAATTATCCTCTAATCTTATTCTAAATTAAATCCAATTTGTTTCTCCAATCCATCAGTTATTTTTTTTATATTATATATATATATATATATATATATAAATATAAATATTTATATTTGTTTTATAAAAATTATCTTTTTAATAATATTTTATAAAGAATTTCTACAAATTTTTAACATAAAATTATCTTTGTTAGAATCAAAGCTCATAAACATTTTTTCATGTGGATTATTGAAAAGTTGTTGGTTAATAATAATTTTTATTAAATTAACATATCAATTATCTATTCAATTATAAAATCATTAATACAGATTAATATACATAAATGAAAGATCTTTATTCTCATAAAAGAGTTGTGAAAGTTTTGAATGTTGTTAAGATAAAAGATTATGGGATCAAAAATTTATACTGAGACTTAAAAATACCATGATTTAATGAATTTATTTATTTATTTATAGTAAATATAAAGATTGAAACTTATAAAATAGTATTTAAAAATGTATGTGAAGTTATTCTTGTATTTTTCTTTTTAAAATAATAACTTTTTTTATTTCTAGAAAAATAAATTTATAATAAAAATAGGTTAAACTATGAATTCACTTGTTATTAGGATTATGTATGATAAAAAAATTATCTGTTATTTATTCTTCTCTATAAAACCTAAATACTAATTATTTTTCAGTTTATAAATTAATAAAAGATGAAATATTTACTATTTACTTATAATTATAACAATATTAATTTGTTTCAAAAAAATAATTAATAGGTAAAACCCATAAATTAATTGAAACTTTGGACTTTTCTGATTTTAGAAAATTTCCAATTAAATAATAAAATTTTCAATTAATTTGTTATTAGCATTTTAATTTCTTAAAAGGTTGCATAATAATGAATGATGGTAAATTATATTATTATATAGAGAGTTAATAAATTTATACATGTATAATTAATTTCTTCTCCAATCAAGGGTACATTTATAAAAAGAGAAGAATAATTTTAATAATATTAAAAATTTGGAATAAATAATATAATTTTAGAAATTTACATTTAATTTTATGAACTTTTAAACCATCTGAAATTTTGATAATTTTCTTAAAGATGAATTCAAATAAAATCATCCAATTTGAATAGCTTAAATTTGTTTGTTAATTAACACTAGCTAATTGTCAAATGATTTATTTCTATATTAATTATTTATTAAATCTCATGAAATTATTTAAACAATGTTTCCAATAATTCTTTCTTCAGGTATAAATACAAGAACTCTATAAATATGAGGAATCTTTAAATAGTTTAACACTTTAATTTCTATCTGAAGATTTAGAATAGTCTTATTAAAATAGATAAATGGCGAAAGTAATTGTTTAATTCAGGATATCTACAATATTATAGATCTTGATAAACCTAGGGTTTATTATCAACTCTGCTGTTGTGTATAATTCATCAGATATTGTGAAATATAGATCAATTTTTATTGGATGGATGCTCATATGTTTATTTTTATAGAAAATTTCGAGGAAATATTGGAATATCACCACAAATATACTGATTTTTATCAATAGTGTGATAAGTGTTTTGTTATTTGCTTTCTTTACAAAATTTGTGAATACTTCTCAAACAAATATAGATGATATTATGAGCCTTTCTTTGATTTCAGGTTTGCAATAAGGATTATTTGCTATGAGCTTTTTTTTAATTTAATCAAACTATATAATGAAAAGTTTAACAATGATAAGTTTCTTCCTTATTTTGATGGGAATTTTTACTTAATTTTTAAATTATAGATTATGGACGTAATATCTCCTACTTATTTTTACATGTTATTTATTAAGATAGAATGAAAAAACAAATAGATTGAACTTTTTATTAATTTAGAAGTCTCATAAAAATCTAGAAGCATGTAAGAAACTTTATGATGAAACTGTTCCAACTTCGATAATAATTTTGGAAGAGATTGTATAATAATAAGGAGTTAATAATAATGATGTATTAAACTCAGTACTTACACAAAAAGAAAAATTATATACATTGGATAACAGACTTATGAATGTAGCTTATTTTAATAAGAGTGCATCTATACATTTTGAAACAGCTGAAGAAGACATTTTAACTGAAAGATTAGCTGAAATAGAAATTGTGAATTCAGAAGATTCGATTTTAAATTGTGAAAAGAATAAGCTTTTGGATAAAATTTAAGGTTTATAATCTACTTTATAAACTGAGATGCGTTTTAATACAATTAATTCCTTTGATTATTAAATAATGTCAACAAACAAAAAAATGCAATGTCAGAGAGTATAAAATCAAATTATTTAGGAGATTAAATAATCTAAAGTTCATTACTATGATGCTTAGGCTCAAGGTTGTTTATGGGATGGAAAATAATGTATAATGTTAATATTAAATGATACTACAGATAGAGTTTTAAGGATTAAACATCTCTAAGATTTAGATAATTATAAAGATAATTTATTGGCTGCTGTTTCTCATGATCTCAAAACTCCTCTCAATGGTCAAAGCATTCTCGCTAATTTAATTAAAACAATGATGGAAAATAAATCATTTATTGGTAGAAATGATATTTAGGGTATTATTAATTAATATTTTAGAAATTGTTGTTCATATTGATGACATGATTTCAAATTAATAAATTCTATTAACAATGATTAATGATTTAATTGATTATTCATAATTAAAAAAATAAGGATTAAGATTAAATTATACATAATTTGATCTTTCAGCATGTGTACAACAAATTAAAAATATGTTCAAAAGGTAAATGGATTTAAAAAAATTATAATTCAACGTTATTGGATTAAATGAAAAAGTCATCATGTATTCAGATCAAATTAGATTATAATAAATCTTATTTAATTTAATATCTAATGCCATTAAATTTACTTATAATGGATAAATTACATTGAAAATTAATAAAATAAATTCAGGTAATCAACAATTAATTCATTTCTCTGTCTAAGATACTGGAATTGGAATACCTTCACATATATAGAATAAATTATTCAAAGCCTATTCAACCTTTAATTTAGGAAATTAAAATTCATAAGGAGTAGGATTAGGATTAGTAATATCCAGAAATTTAGTTGGTTTATTAGGTCCTAATGAATTTATTGAAATGAATTCAGTGGAAAACAAAGGATCAAATTTTAGTTTCTCGATATATCTAAATGCATAGCATAGAGAATGCATCAATATTGTTACTTTAAAAGAAGATAATGGATCTCCTGATAATGATCCATCTCCTATTCATAGGATGCCAAATCCTGTAATCAAAAGATAAAATAGAAAATATTAAACAGTTGTTGATATGTCTACAAGTTTATATTAAAGATTAAAAATACTAATTGTGGATGATACAATCTTTAATATTTATGTCTTAAAATAATTATTAAAGTAGATTGTTATTCAATGCGATATTCATGAAGCTCACAATGGTTAGGAAGCATTAGAACAAGTCTAAAGCATTAGATTTGATATTATATTTATGGATATCAATATGCCAATATTAGATGGAATCTAAGCTACCTAAATGATTAGATAATTTGAATTAAATAACTAATACTAAAGATCAAAGATCTGTATGTTGTCTGCTTTTTAAGGAGAAAGTGATCTTAAATAATCTTTAGAAATTGGAGCTGATTTACATTATCTAAACCTTTATAATTTTCAGCTTTAAAAACAATCTTAAAATAACTCAAATTTTTATGAAATTGATCCTTTGATATATGTTATTACTTGCATATTGAATTTGATATATATATATATAATTATTATCAATGATAAATTAATAAAATACTATATTATTCTTCTTGCAATTTATGTTGATTATGTTTTACTAATGGAATCAGGATTTCTAACTTAAGAATAAATTCTTAATAGATACATAGCATTACATTACACATTTATATGGAAATATTTTAGAATCTAAATGAATATTATAAACATAATTTATAGAGTTTAATTAAAAATTATAATTCATTCAAAATTTATCAAGCCATCCTTTTATTCCTTTACTTTTACTTTTACTTTTTTTATCTTTCTTTTCATCTGACTTAGCAAACAATTCTTAACAAATAGTTTATTTATCTGTCATTTCAATCATACTCAAAATGACACCTAAAATTGATTCAGCAATCTCTGGAGTTCTAAAATTGATATAATTATAAATTATACTTATTTAAAATAGCTGAGAAGAATTATTGGCTTAATCCTTTTAATTATTCATATTAGTTTTTTAAAGTGATTAATTCTTAAGTTTAATCACTCTTTTATTATTATTATTATTATTATTATTATTATTATTATTATTATTATTATTATTATTATTATTATTATTATTATTATTATTATAATTACAATCCTTTTTATTAATCAGAAGGATATTTTTATATAGATTCTTAAACCTTCTTTTATTATTAAATCTATATTTATAATTCTTTATTTTAGCTAATAATAGATTAATAATATATTACCTATTTAGTTCTGTAAGTGTAGATTATAAATGGGAAATCATTTAATCTTTTTTTTATTTCTCTTATTATAATTAATCAATAAGTATGTAAATTTCTCTATTAAATTAATATTTTATTATATTTACTTTTTATCATTCTCCAAAGTGCTAATTTTATTAAGAAGTTCATAGTTTTGAATCTCTAAATATTTTATATGCTCTTGTTAATCATTTGCAAAATCATTTTTAGCTTATTGTTCTAATTTGATATCTTCAGCTAAATCATCTTACATTTAATTTTCTTCATCTTAATTAAACTCAAAAAGAACTTAATTTTTCGATTTATTATTAGTGAATGTCTAATCTTTATCATACAATTAATTTTATAAATCTTAAATACGTTTTTCTCTTTCTTATACTATCTTTGAAGATTTATTAGGATCAGATTCTCTATTTTATATAGGACTAGGAGCACTACCTCTATTAATAAAATCTTAAAGAGATCTAATATATATTTTATATAAAAATACTTATTTTATTCTTTTAATTATTTTATTTCTTCATTCAATTCATTTATTTTATTATTTAATTCTTATTGCTTTAAATTAAATTAATGTTATTAAAATATATTCTCTTTTTATTCAAATGAATCATTATCATTTAAATCTTAATCTTAATCTTCAACACCAATATCAAGTAATTATTCAAAACGAATTTATTCTTAACTTAACTTTGATCTATTACTCACTAATGATATTTGATTATCCATTAATTTATTTTCTAAATTTTCAAATTTTTCTTTCTTTTCATATAATTCATTTTGTAAATTATAAATAGTTTATTCATGATCATCTAATTTCTAATTATTTACTTTTAATTCTTCTTATATATCATATAAATTTCTTTTTAGAATCTCATTTTCTTCCTTTAATTTTGATATTAATTATGTTTCTATATTATTATCTTTTTATAATTATTGATGTTATTCAATTTATTATTATTATTCTGAATTTTAATTTATTTGCTCATCTTACTTTTTGATTTATTTTTTTTATTCATTATTATCTTTACTTGCTTATAATTAAAATTGTAAATTCAAGATTGTTTGTTCATGATCAAGAATCCTTTAATTATTTATAATTAATTCTTATTCTTAATCTCCTAATTATTTTCTTAAAATATCATTTTCTTCTCTTAATTTCTATAAAATAACCCTTTCTTCTTTTAATTATTCTTAATCTGATTCATTAATCTATCTTTAACCTTATTATAAGAGATCTAATAGTTATTACTATTCATCTACTGAATTCTAATTATTTTCTTCAATATCATTAAATTAATCTATTTAATTAACATCATTCTAACTCTTATTAATAAATTCATTTATATTTTTCTAAAGTTAATCAATATATTAATCTTTCTCCTAAATAATATTATTTAATCTAATTATTTCTTCTTCTTATATATCAGTATTTTATGGTATTTATTCTAATTTCTTGATTTCTAATTATTATTCAAATTCTAATTTTGTGAATTCTTCTTCTTTTTTTAAATCTTCTAATTAATTTTGTAAATTTTCTAATTCAAACTATTATTTTGATATCACTTATTAATCAGTATTAAATCTTTCTTCATACATATTTATAGAATCTTTTAAATCATTAAATTCATTTTATTTTTATTAAATTTCAATATCCTTTTCTTCTATAATTGCTTCTAATTTTGAAATTTTTAAATTTTAATTCTATACTTGTTATTTTAATTCATCTTAGATTTTCTATTTTTAATTATTTAATTCTTTTTAAGTTTCTTATAATTCATCATTAATTGATTTAAATCTTGTTATTTCTTCTTCTTTCATATCCAAATTTAATTGTAGTTATTCCAGATTTCCTAAAAGAACTAAAGATTCATTCTTTTAATTTACTTTTTACTACTCTAAATATTGTTATAATTATATAATTTCATCCTCTTTACATCTCAGTTTCTAAAGTCCATCTTCTTTTATATTTTATAATTCACCAATTTAAAGTTTATATTCTTAAGCTTTTTAATTAGTATCCTGCTCTTTATATGTCAATTTTTATTTTAAATCGTTAATTTCTAAATCTTTAAGTATAAGTGTTTCATTAATACTATTAATTTAATCTTATTACTATTAAATTTATTGTTTGAATTCAGAATTTTATTTTTGAATCATTTTTAAATCATTTGATAATGTTTATTTATTAATTGTAGATTATTCATTTAATTTATCATTTATTATTTTAAGAGAATCTATTTCTTAATTCTTTTAATCAATAGTGTAATTAAGTTCAATAATCTATTATTGAATTTGGATCATTTAAGAGCTTAATTCTTCTTTAGCTTCTTTCTCAATCTTTATAAGATCTTTCAAAATCTAGTTTTCTTTAAAATGAGAATTCTATTAAACTAAATATCTATCTATATGTTATTGCATTTCCATTTAAATTTAATTTAGTTCACTATTTAACTTTTTATTGACTTCTTTTTCTTTTCTATATTAATCCTTTATAATATTAAGATGAATATTTTATTTTTCTTATTGTTAATTCAACTTTTCAGTAGTCACGAATACCTAGTTTAATATATTTTTACAGAAATTAGTTTGTTATTCTGAAATAGTAACTTCAATGATATTTAGTTCTTCTTTTTATTTTGAAAGTAATTCTTCTAATTTACTATTAGTTATTATTGATTATTATTCAATTTCCATTCTTAATATATCTATCTATTCATTGTTTTTCATATATTACACTTTTAAACTTTCATTTTAATCTAGTAATACTGAATTATCTTGTATTAATTTTTAAATTTCAGAGTTCTATTTTTATTATTAATCTTAATAAGCTTATCCAAGTTATTTTGATATAATTTCATATTCTTATTTTTATTATTATAAAACTGCTATTTCTGCCTACATTAATTCATTTAAGTTAACTTATGTTACAAAATTCGCTATATTCTACTTTTTTTCCAATTCTAATTTAGAAATGGCTTACTAATTTAGCAATATCTAATTATTTATTTCATTTTATTTATCTTATTCTTTTTATAATTATATATTTAAATCATTTATAATATCGCTTTTTTGATTGTTCACAATTTCTAACTAAGTTATTTAATCTTATAATTCTCCGGTTTTTTATTTTAATTTTGGTAAATATCTTAAAATATTGAGTTCCAATTTTTATAATTTCTATTGTAATTAATTTATTTGCTAGGTTGGATTATATAAAATTTATAAATTTAATTCTTATGCATTAATTAGATTTTTAATTTCTTATAATTAATTATCATTTATTGTTTTGAGTACTTATAAACTCTATTCTTAATTATTTTTATGTTAAACTAATTCATTATTAACTTGATGTAAATCTATATTCTGTTATTTTAATTCATTTATTTATAATGATAAATCATTAAATTTTTATTCTAACTACTCATTCATTATTTAAAGTTGTTATATATGTTGAGAATCTTCATTTATTTTGATATCAAGTTTTAAATTTTTTTGTTATTCCTCGAAATATAATTATTTAAATTAATTTTCTTGTATTTTCAAATTAATATTTTATTATTCTATTAATTGATTATTAATTTATTATAATTCTTTAATTCCCTATTCTAATGTACGATTCTATTAAGATTAATCCTTATTTTAATTAATTTATACATTAATTTCTTGTTATAATTTATTATTAACTTATTATAATTATTACTCTTATTGTATTAACTAATTATGTAGAATTTATAGCTATTCATATTATACTATTAATGTATCAAACTTTTATTTTGATTATTTTTCCTTATCTATTAATTAGCCATTAAAAGATTCAATTTATTATATTTGATTATTTTATTCATTATTTGTTTATTCAAACTAAATTAATTGTTACTATTATAATATGAATTATTTATTTATTAAATTATATTTTTCATTTATCTTTTCAATTTAACTTTATTTAACATTAGTTTATGATTTTAAATCTTAGATTTATATTTCTAAATTTTCATTTAATGTTTATAATTATATATTTTACTCTTTATAATTATTTAATTAAATTTAAGTTTCTTCTTTATAAATTTAAAATTAAGATTTTAATTCTAATAATTCTTACTTTTAATCATTTTCATGATTTTTTAATTCATTTATATTTTATTCCAAAGTATTTTTATTTTATAATACATTTGACAATTATTCCTAAAGATTCTCTACATCTATTAATAGTTCTAAGATCTTTTACTCTGATTCAAAATTCTTTTTCTCTAATAAATCTATAATTTATAATTTATTTTTATATTCTTAACATAACTACTCTTATGATAATATTTTTTATTATTGATTATGCAATTCTTAAATTTATTAATTTAAATTAGTATTTAATTCTTAATTTTGTAAATTTAATTTTGAAATTTCAATGCAATAATTTTTATTTTTAGAAATTTCATCATTTAATTTTGAAATTATAACTTATTATTCTTATTTCATTTCTTCAATTATTTGTTATTAACTTTTAATCTTGTCATCTTTAATTTGAATTTCTTATTTTAATTTGAGCAACATATTTTCTAAATCTAAAATTATTTATTTATCTTATTCAATTTATTGTTTTTATATTTTAATAAAATTATCTTAATCTATTTCAATTTTTCTTTAAGATTCTTAAATCACATTAAGATCTTCTATTTTTTGATATTTATCTTAATTGTCTAAAATCAATTAATTAATTTCTTATTCTTAAAATTTTCCCTATTCATTTAATTTTTCTATTTTTTTAATTAATTCCTCATTTTAATTTACTAATTAAGTATCTTCAATTAAATTTCCACCTTATAATTCTAATAATTAATCATTATTTTATTCTACTATAATCTCATTTGTTGATTAATTAATTTAATTATAAATATCTAATAGATTATAATTTTCTAAATTTTGAATAGGTTATTCACCTGTTTAAGATTCCTGTTCTCTTTATTCAAATAATTTTTATTCATTATTGAGATTTTAATCAATTTTAAGGTTTTAGATTTCATCTTATTATAATCTAATGATATCTATTAATTTTTATATTCCATTTTATAAAAGAGGATGTTATTAATTGAAATCAATTTATATTAAAATTAAATCATCATTTATTGAATCAATTTTTTCATTATTTTATTGATTTATTAATTGATGTTCCTCTTATTAATTTCTATATTAAACATTATTAAATTTATTTAACTAATCTTGAATTAATTTATTATATTGTTATATTCCTAATAGAATTTATTTATATTATTCATTTAAATTTTACTTATCTTAAAATAATATCTAATATTCAGATTCTAACTCTAAATTTTTAATTTTCAGTTTATCTATACTATCTTATAACATTGAACATGATTTATTTTGATTATCCAATTATTAATCTAAATTTTTCATAATTTAATTTGTTTGCATAATCTCTTCTTTTAAATTTGTACTCTCATCAATTAGTTTTTAATTTCTTTTTGATAAATCTTCCATTTTATTATTGCACTCCTAAATTTTATCTAATTATTCATAGATTTATGATTTATTATTTATTAAATTTTTAGTTAAATCTTCTAAATTTTCTTGCAATAATTAATTTTCAGCTTTTAAGGTCTGATTTATACTTAATTATTCATTTATTTTCTATTTACTAATATTAAAATTTTCTTTAATTGTTAAATTTTCATTATTCAAAACATTGATATTATAATTAAGTTCATTGATTTAATCATTTGCTCTTTATAATTCTTATTAAAACTATAAGTTTTCTTTCTTTTATTTATCTAATTCAGACTTTGCAAAATCAAATTATTCATTTTTTTCCATTAAAGCTTCATCTGTATTTTAAAGTTGAATTTATAATTAACCAAGTTATTCATTTGTAACATTTAATAGTTATTTCAATTCTTTAATAAGATCCTCATTTTAATTTATTTAATTTTAAATTACTTATTAAGTACGATTTTCCTATTATAGACTATCTTATGCTTGTTATAATTACTCATTCAATTATAAATTTTAAATTTACAATTAATTCATCTATTCATTAATTTAATTATAATCATCTTCTTTATCATTTAATTCTTCTATTATTTTTTATTTATCTTAAATTTCCATTTCTATTTTTGCATTTAATTATTCATTTTAATTATAATAATCATTTAATTAATCATTCAATTCATTAATATTTTATTAATTATTATTTATATCTTCAGTTAATGATTGAATGATATTATTCTTTTATTTGATTTAATCATTTAAATTATCTATTAATTCTTTTTAATTATTTAGTTATTAAAATAATTTTTCAATTTCATTCTATAAATCAGATATTTAATTTTCATATTGATTAATTTAATTATTATATATCTATTTTTCTTAATCAATTTAAATATATAAATCATCTTGAATTTATTCAAACTCTTATTTTTATTAATTTATTTAAGAATCTTATAAAATTACTTATTTTTCAAGAGAATCATTTTCTGTTTTCAATTACTATAATTTTATGGTTAGAATTTAGTTTTATTCTTCAACAATTTTATATTGTATTTAATTTTGTTATAAATCTTTTTGCAATTAAGCATTTAATTAATTTTTATTTTCTAATTGAATTTAGATCAAAGATTTTTATTGATTTAATTAATCTATTATATATTGATACTAATTCTATTAATTTTCTAAATTTAATTATTTTTATTCTTATTCAGATAATGATTACTTTTAAATAGAGCTTTCTAATTCCAAAATTCTATTTTGATTTTCTTCAGATTATTATAATAATTGAACTATTTAGGAAGTTAAATTTTCTTTTTATATTTACATGACCTCTTTTAATTTATTAGAATCATCTTAAATCATTTTATTTATGTTTTTTAATTATTGATTTTCTTACTTTAATAAATCTTATTATTTAAGAACATCTAATTACGCTAATTATGATTGATGATCTTAAAATTATTAATCAATTTAATTCAATAGAGTTTATTTAATTTATAAGAAATTATCAAATTAATCTTGCTTTTCTTAAGTTAACTAATTGATTTAATTTGTTAAATTTTTGATTTTTGATTAATATTAATTTGATTATATTAATTGTTTTTATATTTAATCTTTTAAGGAATCTATTTATTTTTATAATTCATAAAGTTTATCGTCCTTTATTGATAATTCTTCTCTTTCTTTAGTTATTAAAATTTGGACTTTTTAATAGTCATCTTTGAATTTTTATTTTTCAATTTCTAGATTTTTAATTTTATTTTAAAGATTTAACTCATTTAATTAAGTATTTTGTTTTTGAGTAGTAATAAAATGTTTTTATTATTGTATTTCTTATAATAATTAATCATTTTAATTTCTCAATTAAATATTGATATCATTATATTCTTCAATTTATTTTTATATATAACAAAATTGTTGATCCTATTCTTTTTGTTATTCTTTAAAATTCTATAATCTGTTTTATAGATCTTTTAATTAATTATTAAGATTTTTATTTTCTATTTTCAATTCATTACATTAATCATTTGATTTTTTTAATTTTTGTTGTAATTCCAAATACTTTGTATCAAACTCTTTATATTATGAATCTTTCTAATCCATTAAATTTTAATTTCTTAAATCATCTTTTTAAACTATTTATTAGTTAATTATATTAGTTTTGTTGTGATCATTTGATGTTTATTGAGCTATTCTGACTAAATCTGGTAATTAATTTCTACTAATATTTGAAATTGGTTCCAATTATTTTTTTAATTTAGCAAATTCAATTGGATATAAATCATCTTAATTAATGTGATCATCCCTTTTCTTAGGTTTATCTGAATGTAATCCAAATGTCTCAAATTTGAATGGGTCTGCATGCTTTTTATGTGACTGCTTTTCATTGCTAAATTCAAATTATTTAGTGGATTAGATTAATTGATTTGGTGATTGTAAAGTAGGAGAATAAGGGAATTCATTTAATTTGAATCCACTACTAAAACTTTTCACTCCATTGTCTAGTATATGTTTAATACTTTAATAAAAGAGTATGATACATCTACTACAAGTCTTAATGTTATATTTGGCAATGTGTAGATTCACTTCTTTTTTAATTTGATACTGCATTATATAGTCTATTATAAGATAAATCTCTTATTCTGGCCTGTAAATTTTCAAAGGTAGGTGCATGAGAACGTGTATCATTTCTATGTTATAATACTCTCATAATATTACTTTTTTTGTCGATATGATTAATTTCGGGTTGTTTCACGATTCTGATTCATTTATAACTAAAATATTAATTATATAGATATTATATATAATATAACTAAATTTCATTATTTTATTTAAGTTAAAGTTGATTTCTATAATAATAACACTAGATCATTCTAATCTTTATATACTTTTATTTCACCCTTTATAGCTTTCTCATATCTATTTAAATAAGTACACTTACAATTCAATTGCTTATTAAATCTTATATTATTCCAAATCTATTTTAGCTAATTCAATATATAATTTGCATTTCTCTAGGGAGTCTCCTATAATAATATTCAAAGCATTTTAAATTGGTTCCTAATCCTTTCATTTTGATATTTCTTAATATATTCCTTAATTATTTAAATTTGAATCAAAATCTTAAAATACTAAAATTAAACTTTGAAATTCCTATAAAATTCAAATGCCTTTAGAGCATAATTATCATTATGAATTTGTAAAATTCAATTATTCAAACTATATTTAGATTCATTTATTCTTCTTAAAAGAGATAAAAAATAATTATTTATTTTAAATTAAGAATTTCAATCTCATTAAATTAATCTAACAAATATAGAAATTAAAACATAGCTTCAAAGCTTCCTCATTTCTTTCCAAATAAATTAAAAAATTATTGGATTTGAAACTAGTTATCTATTATCCTTTATTATAATATTCTATAACAATTATTTGAAATTATAATTTATAATCCTTATTCATAACATCTGAAATATTTACATAAATCAATTAAAGATTTAAGTTTTTTATTGAAACAATGTTTAATTTATAAATTTGTCACTAAGTATCATAGCAGATAAATTAATTAATTGTTATTTAAGATTTTGAACCTCTAAATCAATTAATCAATATCAAGCATAAGATTTCCTATCTGAAAATTTTCTTTAGTAATTAAGCCAAACCAGCAAACTTTTTTTTTCAATCATTAAATTTAGATTCTGTAACATAATATGAATACTATTAGTTAAGGGTAGTAAAGAATAACATAAATTATTCTAGCCAAAATTCAGATTTTCAATCTACTCTATAATAAAATAGTTAATGTGTTATTTGATTAAATAATTTGTATAATATGTGTTCTCCTATCTTTCCAATGCCTAATTTTGATAAATATCACTGATTTTATGTTTATGCTACCCAAAAATAATTTCTATAATTTAGTATTTTTCAGATCTTCAACAGAAATGTGAAAGTCTTTTAGATTGATTATCAATATTGTATCTGATTAAATCAACCATTTTAATATTTAATTGATATAATATTATAATAAAATTGTATAAAAATAACAATATTTATTTTAATACACTCTTTCATACATTTGATTAATCATTACTTTCATCTTATAAAGTTTCATATTTAGTTTAATTCTATCCTTTCTCCTTTGCTTCTTCCATTTTCTTTTCTAATTATAAATTAAGATTCTCCTTCTTTAATTATCTTATTTTTCTATATATTTTACATAAAACACATGATCTAATATTTTATTAAATTATTACAATGATAAAATAATTGTTACAATAATTGCAACTCCTATAACAAATTCATTGAACCTATGTTTATACCAATATAGAGAAAGATTAGGCATTGCTATCTAAGCAACATGATAATATAATTCATAATCTTATATTGTAAGATTATTAAATACTAAAACTTAAGCACGTATAGCAATAAATAATTTAGAATGTATAGATTAATTACCAACAATAATATTAAATTCTATTTAATCAGTATGATTTAGTGCATAAAGACCAATATCTACTTATTCAAAATTATCTGTATGATTTTTATGATAGTTTGCATATTAATTATATTAACAAAGACCTATCACATGAGCATATTAAATAGTACTACCCCAACTAATAGAATACTTTATTAAACTATTCATTTCTTGATGAAGATCACAACCAACACATTTTAATGGTTTGAATTTAACACTAATATAATCTGAATCATAAGTATCAAATGAATAATTTATTTATCCATCACCTCCCATAACTAATTATCCAAATGGTGCAAAATCTTATGCCTTGTACACCTATGTTGTGAATTTATAAACACTTTCAATAGATTAGAATTAAAAATAAATAGGTCCTGGTTTAACTGGCACTATAATATCTGTTAATTAGCCTTCTACAGTTATCTTACTACCATTATATATCCCTTCAATAAATTCATCATAATTTTGAGTTATAGATACCTTCAATTCACCTAAACAATTATATACTTAAACTGCTAATTTGCCTTCATAAGGTATATAAGATTCATAATACTTAGCTTAAGAATCATAGATCTAATCACTTAGACTTGATTTTTCATCTATCATCAAGATTTCTTTGCCTACAATACTAATTTATAAATCTATTCTATTTAAATAATTGTTTCCATAATGATAATTATCCTTTATCTTTTACTTTCTTATAGGAACAATGTCACCTTCACGATTAAATTAATATTCAATATTAATATTCTCATTTCCTTTGATTTCTAGAAGACTGTGAATCTTTATAGTTAAAAGTCCTTCCAAAATTGGTAAAATGTAAGTCTGTTAATCATTTCTACTTGAAAAAGGTGTAAGTAGTGTGTAATTGACTGGTTCAGTTTCATTAGATACTTCTATTCTGAAGAAATCTGAAACTTACTACTATTTACTATAATGAGCCATTTTAATTACTAATTATGGTTATTTTAAATAACGATATTAATGATATAATGTAATAACAGGGGTTTATCTACTTAAATAAGCAAATGTTATGATTCCATCTTATAATAATTACCCATTACCAGTTGTTGATTAGGTTACAAGTATAGAATAATTTGATGGCTTTTATTAATTATTCTTTACAATTATATAGAGATCATCGTCATTATAATGACCTGCTAAAGTGTGAGATCCATTTGCATAAGGAGTATAATTAGTTTATTCTAAATGTTCTCTTGGAGGGATAATAGCTTAATAATAAGATATTGATGAAGTAGTATTCATTAATTTTTATTATTTTATATTGTTATATGGCCCATATTAGTAAAGAGAAGTCTCAAGTACAGCATTATATCCAATCCACATTTATGTATCACCATTATACTGATTAATTTAAATTTCAATTTAATGATCTGTGTTATAAGAAAAATGATAGATATTGTAATCATTTTGATTTTCAAGGTAATCTGTGAATGCAATATTTTAAGGTAATTAAACAAAATTTAATTAAGAAGTTACAAAAATTAATAAATCTACATTAATTCCAATAGTTTTTATTTTAATTATATATGTGCATAATTCACAATATTTTTTACTATCATTTTTATGAATTATGTGTTAATTGTATGTTTATCCTGCAAGTAATTATTCATTAATAATTGTTTCTTCTTCACAATCTTTTTATATATTATCTAAACATCTAGATATTTAAATCAATGAAGTGCCTTAAACTTTAATAAATTTAAAGTATAAATCATCATTTTTTTAGATATTAAAATATTAATATTAGACTTCTTCTTGAATATCTAATTTGATTCTTGTTGGTATTCCCATCATTAATTTATGATTATTCCTATCATTAGATATTTCCAATGATAATTAAAACTTACTATTATCAACTATAGAATATATTTATATTATTATATAAGGATTTCTAGTAAGATTTAATTCAGTCAATTTTTCTTGTATTTGTGCTTATGTCAATTCTAAAACATTACCTAATACCTCATATTCACATTTATTTATATTAATATTATCTTCATCATTAAAGAATAGACAAATTGATCCTTTTCCATAAATTTCATGTAAGATTAATTTGAATCTTGATTAAGGAGATATATCATTGATTTCTGAAAATATGAATTTCCTTGGCTATAACTTATTTACTGATATTTAAATAGGTAATCCACTTTTGAGATCCATATATTATTATGTAACAGTGACATACACAGTATCATCAAAATTAATTATTCTATCACTTTAGTATTTTAATTCTTATGCTTCTAATAATATTTTCAATACACAATCAGGTTTACAAAATTCAAATGCATCAGAATGTATACTTTTGGAATGTTAAGTTTTGTATTCTTCTTTAGCATAAAGAGAATTGGATTCTTAATTTTGAGAATTCAGAATTTAAATTTAATATTTAGTGTATCCATAATGTGAATTAATATGTAATTAAACATCAGTTTATGTTGAGATTACTTTATAATATAAAAAAGTTTCTTAAAGTAGATATTCTAAATTAAAAGTATATTCTTATCCATCTTTAAGTTCTAAAGCAATTTATGGATTCCAAATATTGATATTAAATAATATATCTTCATTACCATGATTTTCAATAATAATATAGGCTTAACAAATAGCCATTACATCTATATCATCATCTTTGTCTTCTTATGTAAGACCATTTAAACACAAACTATTTAATGCAGATTATGATAATTTAAGTGTACTTGAATCTTAACTTTTTGTAAATTAAGAATGATTATCAGGTTTAATATCATTTTAGACAGTTAATGTTAATTTATTATTGTTTTTACTTTATAAACTAATATAAAATAAAGTAGTATTTTAACTATAATAGAAACTGAAATATTTAGATTTAAATCCTTTAACTAGATCTACAAATTATTAACCTACATGAAGTGTTTTAACAGTTCTACTTGTTGAATAAGTGAAAGTATACATAATTTCTTTATCTAAAAATGTTTCAAACATATTCTGAATACCAATAGTATAATTACCAGAATTCTAATAAAATTAATCTTATGGTTGTATTGATAAATAATTATTAAAAGTAATTAAATCATACGATTTAAGAGATGGTAATTGATTACCTTGATTTAAAGTTAAAGCTACTTACATTCTTGAAGAATGAATAGCAAATTCAATTGTTGGTTATTATTCATCAATTACTTCAACATTTTAATCCACTTAATTAAAATTAATAATGACTCTAAAATAATGAATTTTTGATTAACCATCTGTTAATTATAATACTCCTCTATAAGTTTCATCTTCTTTTAATACTTAAATATTAATATCTGCTTATTTAGTAACTTTAGCCATAAATTAAAAGATTGTAGCTTCTCTTGCTGTCAAAGTAATATAATATTGAGTATGTTTTAATTGATCTCCTCTAAGAACAACTAAATGATCTACTCCACCAAAATATTTTGCACATTCAATTCTAACAGGATAACAACTACTATCTCGACTAATCATATATACAATATTATGAGTATTAACTGTAAATACCAATTCTTAATCATCATCTGATTTTTAATATTTAAGTATTAAATGTTCTTCTTATGATTATTCCATATAATTAGTATAAACAACATCAGATTTAAGAATACGTTAATTATTATCATTTTATGTAGTCATCATATAAATATTCTTATTATTACTTTATACTTCTAATTAAAATATACAGAATCCTTCTTTATCTTTATTTTAACAATGTGGTGTAATATAAACTGCAGGTTTTTATTCATTTTTATGAAATCTCAAATTATGATTATCTTCATCACTTAATTAACAACCATTTTAACATTCTGCTATTCTAATAGAATTATCACATTTTTCAAAATATACTAATTTAATTCCTACTTCTTATTCACTTTCAATAGTTTTAAATAAATAATTATGTTTTCCTTTATCTTATATTTTAGAGAATATCAATTAATTATTATATAAGATGGCTTCATCAATCAATTTTACAACCATCAAATATTTCATAGAACCACCTTAACTTAAATTAATTGTCACTTCATCCCCTTCAATATCTTCTCTTCTCAAAATAATATGAAATGCTTATCCTCTCTATTATAATTATATTGGTTCTTATGAACTAAAATATATATTATCCTTCTTATGAACTTTCAATAATGGTAACATATCTCCTAAAATTCCTATTTATAAAATGTTAAATTTTTGAGGTAATTTCAATTTATAAATATTTTCATCTCTTTCAAATAAATAATCCTATATTTCTTAATTTATTTCAATATCTTCTTCATCTTTATATAAATATAATTATCCATTAACTGTTGCTTCCTCTTTAATATTTAAATCTCCACTCAAAACAGCCAATAATTTACATTTATCACAATCTTTTCTATTTATAGCTACTGTCAACTAAACTTCATCTCCATATAATTTTGCTTTCTCTTCATATACCTCTATCTTAATTTTATCTGATTCATCATCTTCCAATTTAAATTCTCCCACCATCCTATTATAAGAACCTGATAAATGCATAGAAATCACTTAAACAGGTATCTTTTATGATAGAATGAGTTCTGTACTCTTATTATTCAATTCTATTGCATCATTATTAATTATTGTAATTCTACCTTTACATGGAATACTAATGCATTTTAAATTTATCTCATCAGATTTGATCGTAAATAATGCAGTCTCATAAAATTCATTCAACTTAAACTCTTCATCTTTACTTTTTAATTAGATCTCACCCAATTCACTTTTCTTCTCTTCCTATTATGGTCGAACATATAGAATTATATAATCCTTATCCTACTTTTCAGGTAATTCCACTTATATTGATTTACCTTATTTTAAATCAAATAAGAAATCTTTCTGCTTTTTTGATAAAACTTAGATAACAACAAATAACATAACACAAATCCGAACCATCTTTAATTTTATATTTAATTATTGTAAAAATTCAAAATAATTCACAAAATCATCAATTACTTACATAAAATTAACTACAAATGATATCTTCTCATTATATTAACCATTCTTTGAATACTAATTATTTCCAAACTCTATCCTCATTATAATATTTAATAATATGGCAATAAATTTATTTTAATCCTCTAATACTAATAACATATTCAACCCATTCACTAATAACTCTAATCCTTTTCCAACATAAAATAAGTATAAATACAAACATCATATATAGCTTTAATCCAACAGTCCCAGGATCTTACAGAGGAACTTTCAAATCGCAAAGAATTACATACGGACTATTGGATGTTGATGATTAGAATACAAATTTATATACAACTAACATATTTATGTAACAAGAATATAAAGGAATTGTATAGTATTGATATTTATATAGAGTGCATTTCAAATTAGATTAGAAGATTATTATTTGATTAGATCACAATAAATATAGGACCATCATAAATCATAATTAGAAGTAGCTGTGAGGAAAAATAATTTTAATTCTAAATTGATAAGATTCACAAATTAACAAAGTTTTTATTACTTATTACAATAGATCTAAAACCGCCATAATTTCAAGATTAATATGATATATTCAAAAGATAAAACAATCCATTTAGCCAATCTAATGATCTCTTTAGATAACCCAATAGTAACCAAAATATCTTCAACAATCCATCAAATAATAATAGAACAAACATTTTCCCCAATAATTCAAATGATTTATTCAATAAAAATAATAATAATCCATAGAATATATTTAATGCTCCTCCATCTAATAATTTATTTAATACTAATAACAATTCAACAGCAAATTTATTTCAATAATAAACTAATAATTCAAATAACATCTTTTAATAAAATAATAGAGCTTTTAATTCAGGAAATAATAATAATAATAATATTTTTAATTAATCTACTAATATTTTTAATTAATAACCCAACAATACTAATATTTTTAATAGTTAAAATCTCTTTTCCAATAATAATCTTTTCAATTCCAATAATATATTTAATCAACCTCAATAAAATATTTTTAATTAACCTATTATGTTTTAATATCCTAATAATAGCAATATTGTATAACCTATATTATAACCATCTTTATTAGGATCATTAGACTATTTGAAAATTTAAGAGAATTAATTTAAAGATTTTACATAATAAGTTGATTCTTAAATAGTGATGTTTGAATAATAGAAGTAATTGAGTTTAGAAGAATATGATTCTATGTTAAGAGACAGTTCTAAAATGAATTTCGATTATAGATTGTAAAATTAATATACTCAAAGTATGAAATCTACAAAATCTAATAAATTCTAAAATCAGAAATCTATCAGTTAGAATAATAAAACTTTAAGTATTCGTTAAGATAAAAAAACATCTTCTACATATTAAGCACATAGTTTGAATACAGAAACTAAAAGTATTTTTAATAGAGAAGATAGAAAACCAATTTCAAAATTTTAAGATAATTGTCAATATACTGACTCTAAAAGTGAATTTAGAAGTTTCGTTTAAAGAGATGATAGAAAATCATAATAAATGTATTGGGTTGATATAGAAATTAAATTTTTAGAAAGTGAAAAGTTTTTATCTATTTACTAAGAATTTTAAAATAAATGTAGAATTTACAATGTTAAATAATTTATAGAAGATCATCTTGAAAATATTGAAATTTTTGGTTCATTATCATAATAATATTTTAGCAATTGTTTAATTTATAATGAAAATAATCTCATTATTGATAATTCAATCTCACTTTCCAAATTATCAGAACATAGATTAACATTCCATTATTTTTATGTCAAATTACCTAAATTAATTAGAAATGGATATTAATCCAATTTACATGAATTTCCTGATCTTAAACAAGTATAAAACTTTAAAGTTTCCAATTAATTTGGTAAGATTGTTTGGACTCAACCAATTAATATATATTATATAGATTTAGATAAAGTTATTGATATTTAATAGGAATCAATTGAAGTTTATGATAATACTAAAATACATCAATTATTAAAACCAGATATTGGTGTTAAGTTAAATACTGAAAGTTTAATAACATTCAAATATTAATTGAAAAATCCTTAAATAAATGAAACCAAATTTAAAAATAATTTGATAGTTTAAGCCTAAAAATAAGGCTTATAATTTATATCAATTGATTTCTTAAATTAGGAATATACTGTAAAAGCTTTTCATTTTAGTGGATATCATTTTAATTCTGATTATTCTAATACTGATAATCAGAATTATTAAGATTAATAATAATAGGCAGAAATACAATCTAGTGGAGATGGAGATATATCTGAATCAGAGGAAAATGATTCTTTGTCTTTAGAAAATCAAAGTTAATTTTCACTTTAATTAAAATAATAATTTGATATTAATTTTTAAAATTTGAGAAATAAAGAGAAATAAATTAATTATCAATCTTCAAATGAAATTATAAATAAATTTAATTAAAAAGTCTCTCAAAAAATAGTGATTCCACTTAATTTTGTTTAATAAAATTAATAATTACAAATTGATTAGAAATTACTTCAACATTACTTTGATAATTGTTAAAATTAAAATTAAAATTAAAATCAAATAAAAAATAGTTAAAATATATCTATTTTATTACTTGATAGTTTATATTAATGTATGACTACAAGCGAGGAAATAATAAGATCATTTCAATTATTTAATATATTATTTGGTATTCCAACAATAGATATTGTTCACTTTCTATAATTGCAATCAAATTATTTGGTATCATTAAAAGATGTTATGAATATTCCAAAAATAAAAAATATAAGAGGATTACGTTTAAGTTTATATTTAGAATAATTTAAAATATATTTTACATAAGTAGAATTTAGAGAATAACAAATTTCTTAATAATAATAAAATTTAATTTAAAATGTCTTTATTAGTTTAAATTTAAAACCTAATAATTATAAAAAGATTAAATTAAATCAAAATGATTGGATTGATAGATTTACAGATTGGAGAATTAATAAATCTTAACCATAACCATTATATGAAAGCTAATGGTGGATAGAATTATACAATGAATAAAAAGATTATTAGATAGTTTCATCATAATATGCTGCATTAATATACTATTTACTTAAGAAAACTGAATAACCACTCAAAGAATATAAAAACCTGTATGAATATTTACATAATAATCTTGATACATATACAATAATTTTATTAAATATCATACTTAGTAAATAAAAAAAAGTGTCAGAATAATTAAAAATAATTGGAAGAGCTGTTATTACAAAATTATTGAAATCTTCAATTTCTAAATAATTGATATTTAGTATTTTAGAGACATTTAGAGATAAAGTGTTTTAGAAAGAAGAAATATTAAGAGTTTAGTAAATACTTGGAAAATTGGAATATTTTAATAATTTAAATGGTAAGGATGTTAATGATGTGGATGTATAAATAGATAAAAAATAGTTTATTTAAGCTGCAAAAATCATAATTGAAAAAAAGCTGGAGATTCAATACTATACTATTTTAAATGAAACTATATTGCCTTATTTAATTATTTGTGATTATTATAATGAAAATGATCTAAGAGTTATTATTAAACATATAATAAAAAATAATAATTCTTAAGAAAATGATATAATAATAATATGTTAGGTATGATTATATTTTAGTTTAGATGTATTTAAAAGAAAGAAATATAGATGAGTCATAAATTATGAAATGGATAACAAAAAATGAATATCAATATCATATGAAATAGATCATGTTAAAAGTATGCACTGATTAATTTTGATAGTATTTACATATTTAATTAATTCATCCATTTAGAATATAATTATATTTGATGAACAAATAATGTATTTGATAATTAAATGTTTTTATTTATAATTTTATATATATCTGTAGGGAAAGATAGCCATTATTTGGGATCGATAAAACATACACTTTAACCTAATTAAACATTTGAGCACTAATTCTTTGATGTAAATCAAATTAGATCTCTTGATTTGTACTTCCCTGATCCTCCATATAGAATAATTAATGATGAGGATATGAATTGTTATTGGTCGAATTAAGCTATTGGACTTAAACCAGTATAAACAATAGAGATGAGCATATCAAATTCATTAGATTCAGATATTGTATGTTTTGATGAATGCTTTATAAGATAAGGATAGATAATCTATACAACAAAAAATTAAACAATTGAACTTTAATATTAGAATTTAAAGTAATTAGTATTGGGATCAGAAGGATAAATAATTTATTATAATGAAAAAAGTGTTAGTATATTTGATACTATCAATATGAAAATAATAAATGAAAATTTATTTGCTGATTTTACATCTAAATTAAAATAGAGTTTAATGGGTTATTAACATATTTCTACAAAAATAATTTATTTATGTTTAGACAATGGAGTATTCGCTTATAACGATGAATATTTTATAATACATTAATATGGAAATGGATGCAAATAAATTATATTATAAGATGATAATTTATTTATTATCGATGAAGGAATAGCAATTTATGATATAAATGATCCTTTTGAACCTATTGATATGTATTCATTTAATATAAGTGGTCATTATTTTGATATTTATTAAGATTATTTGGCAGTCTTGGAATTATTGAATTAATAAAGAGGGAAATTGAGTTTATTTAAATTTAATTTTCAATTTGGATAAAATGAGGTAGTAAATATAACTTAGGAATCAGAAGGTATAATCTAATTAGATTCTTAAGATATTAGATTTGGATTATTAAATAAAGATATTGCTATTATAATAAATAAGGAGTAAGTTAATATGATTACTTTGCAAACTAATTTCCATTAAAAATATAGACATAATAGTGGTTTAGGATAAGCATAACACTTTTTAGATCCAGAGAATAAGATATTCATTAGAGATACATAAATAATATAAGTTAGTAATAATAGTCTAATCTTTTATAATACAACAAGTCAAAGTTATAATTTAGTATGTAATGCTCCTGTTGAGAATAAATTGAGAAAACATTTATTTTTTGGAATTATTAGAAGTGAAGAGAAATGCAAAAGTTCAAAAAAAATAGATGATAGATTTAAAGAGATTTTATCTAGAGAAAAGTCTGATCCTAAAATACAATGCTATTATACTTTTTAATTAAGTCTTAATATAATACCATTATAAACACATTGGTCCTTATAATCAAAAATTCTTTTGTGTATATTCTTATTTCTACTTATCTTATTAATACTCCAACAATTCAGGAATCAATAGGAAAAATAAACTTTAAATAATTTACAAAAGTTTGAATAATTGAACAATATCAATCTATAAAAACAAAAAATACGAATAACTCATGATGATGATGAATAGAACAATAATAAAATTGATTTGTATTGATAATATCATATAATTAATTAAATAAATAAATATATATATATATATAATATTCTCATAATATGTATTATTTCAATCTAAATGATTAAATATTTAACAACTTAATTATAAAAGTCAGATTCTTCAAGAAAATAAAGTTTTAATAATTATTTAACAGGATGGCTTACGAATTCGCAAAGTTATTCTCAAAGTATACCTTTTTTGTAATATTAAAGAGTTGTAACTCATACTTTTTTTAGAGATATCCAAGTGATTGGATAAGAAAATATTCCAAAAGTAATTCCATCAATTTTATTTATTAGGATGGTCCTATCCTACTCTATGGAAATCATAACAATCAATTTATTGATCCATTAGTATTAATTTATCACATCTTTAGCTAATTATATCTAATATGACTAGAAAGATCAACTTTATTGCAGCTGCAAAAGTATCATTCATATTCTATCATTAGAGCATGAGAAAACCAATTATAGGAAATATAGGAAGAGCTCTAGGTGGAATTCCAGTTGAAAGACCATAAGATTTAGCTAAAGTTGGAAGTGGTATAATAAAGAAGTATGATGGAACTTATTTATTTGGAGAAAATTCTCAATTTACAAAATAATGTCAAATCCATGATTCAATACTTATATAAGGAGTAAATTGAAATATCATCATAGATTGACACAATAATACTAATAGTTGAAATTCTTAGTGACACTAAAATTAAAGTTCAATGTGAGGATTCAAGTTAAGTTCGAGTTAAAGATAATAAATATAAAGTTTAACCAAAAGTAGATCAATCCTAAATGTTTGAATAAGTTTGGTTAGCATTGAAATAAGGAAAATGTATAGGAATATTCCCAGAAGGAGGATCACATGATAATACTACCTTATTACCTTTAAAACCAGGAATATGTATTATGGCTTTAGGAGCTAGTTAAAAATATTAAACAAAAGTTAAATTATAACCAGTTGGATTAAATTATTTCAAAGGACATAAATTCAGATCAAAAGTTATTGTAGAATTTGGAGTTCCTTATGAAATAAACTAATAATTAATAGATACTTATGCTATCAATAAGAGATAAGCAATAAGTAAATTATTACTAGAAATAGAATAAGTATGTAATCTAAAATATAATAGCAACTTAAATCTGTAACTATTTAAGCTCCTAGTTATTCCCATTTATCTGCAGTTATGATAGGAAGATCTTTATATTTACCCGATAGAACAAGACTTTCTCCTCAAGATCTTCTTTAGCTTACAAAAAGGTTTAATATTCTGTAAATTTATTTAGATTTCTATAAGCATTTTATAAGTTAAAGGATCATCCTGAAGTAAATTAAGTGTTGACTGAAATCAAACTATATAATTATAAACTTAAAGCTTTGGGTGTAAGAGATTGGGAAGTTATGAGAATGTAAAAGAGAATATATTTGGATCTCCAAATAATTGGATTTAATATTTTTATGACATTACTTTGTTTGTTCTTTGCTTTTCCTGGATATATTATGACTATTCCAATAACTATAATGTTGAATATGTATGCAGAGAAAGAAAGGAAAACTGCCTTAGCTGGATCTAAAGTTAAGATATCTGGTAAGGATGTAGTTGCATCATTTAAAGTATTGGCATCAATAATTATTGTTCCTATTTCAGTTATAATTTATACAATTCTATTTTATTTATGGTTGACTGCTTATAATATAGTTGATGAAGAGTATACTTTTAGATATACAATAATATTTTTATTGATGTGGCCAATTTATATTACTGCCATGATTAGATCAAATGATGGATTAATTAGACATGCTAGAAAAGTGAATAGTTAAATCCTATTCTATTTATATGAGAATAAATATAGAAAATTAAAGATACAAAGAGAAGAATTATAAAATAAAGTAATAGATAAAATTTAAATTATTTTAGATAAGAAAGTTAGTTGATACTTTTGGAGAAGAAGTAGTATAAGATTTTAATCAAAATAGAATTATTCAAAAAAATTAATTATAATCACCAAAATCAGTTGCTGAATTAGATATTTAGAATGTATTTGAATCTCTTTTAGAGTTGGGAATTTGATGCTTATAATATTTATACATTTAAAATCAATTCTTTTTAATATTATTTTATAAATAATTTAGAACATATAATATCATTAATTTTTAGATTAAGTATTTTTATTTTTATTTATTTAATATATATTTAACTTAACTTAAATTTTAATAAGGTTTTTCAATAATTTCTTTAAATATACTTTAATTGGTTAATATTTTTACATATAATATATATATATATATATAAATATATAATATATATATATATATAAATAATATTGTTTTCAGAGATCTAATGTAGATTTATGGCGTCCAAGATTTGGTATAATATTGGAAAATACAATCTTAACTTCTTCACTAGCTATCTAATCAATATGATCATAATCTCTATAATCATTATCAATTTCGAAAAATGCCATTTTCCTCTCTGTTTTAGTTGTAGTTTGTTTGATAAATATCTTTTAATTTGGACTTGTTTCTCTTTCTTTTTTCTAAGTATCTACTGTATTATTTCTTTATTCTTTTCTTTCAGTTGGAAATCTCTTAAATTTATCTATTTAACTTATTTAATAATTATTAATTTAACTAGTTCCAAAACTAGATATATTTTAACTTATATTCTAATTATTAAATATATAAATACTCTGCTTTATTTATTTTTAATATCAGGTGATAATGAATCTAATTATTATTATTAATCTTTTATTGGTAAATTTAAGAATGAACTTCCTTTATGTTCTTAACCTTTATCTTCACTACTCTTACGGAGATCAGAATCTACACCTTATTGAACAAGTTTTTCTTAATATTATGAATAATACCCATTTTTTATTTTAATTGATTAATCTATAATCTAGTCTTTCTTTTCTTTATCTCTGGAAATCGTTCCCATTCGTATTCTAATGTATTCAAGGCTTATAATGATGACAATTCTTATTGTAATTATTTCTAGAACAGTTCCTTCAGGAATGCATAATCTGGTTCACCCTAAAAGTCGAGTCCACGTGCATAGATGAATAAATTCAAGAAACACTTAAAAGATGATAATTAGGTTAAACTTTTGGCAATCCTTCGCAAAGCTTTTCTAATGTCAATTATTGTTTGAACTCCTTAATTTTCTAATACTTTTCAGACTTTGTAGTTGTATTCAAATTCATCCATGGTAATTTCCCTTTTGCTAAATAGACTAATACATATCCCAAACTCTCAATATCATCTTTACGTGATTATTCTTTAGCTTAGATTTAATATTCATAATGTATTACCTAAATGAGCTGTCAAACTAGCATATCTTGCTGTTCCTATAATTCCCTTTTTTTCTGTCTACGGTATATGATTACCATTCTAATCTCTATAATATTTTGCTAATCCAAAATCAATTAAATAAATTTAATCTACATCCTCATAACCTATACACATATTATCTGGTTTCAAATCTCTATGAATTAAGTTTTTAGAATGTAATAATTTTAATCTATCTATCAAATTCATTCCTATCCTACATACAGTTGTCAAACTAAGTTTATAATTATTTCTCTTTAGAAGATGTTCCAAATTCTAACCCAAATATGTTTGCATAAAATAATTATAATGTTCATCCCTCCCATAAAATACGATCTATGGAAAACCTTTATCGATTAGTATATTACCTTCAAATTCTTATACCTCTATCAAAACTTTTATTTCTCTAACTAACAAACTCATTCCATTTGAATTCTCTTCTCTCTTCTCAAATTTTGTTGCAAAGATATCACCTGTCTCCAAATTCTCTGTTTTATATATCATACCAAAACTCCCTTATCCAACTTTATCTAATAATTTAAATTTCTAAGCTATTATCTATCCAACTGACAATTTAAATTGATTCTCTCCTTGTGTAGTAGCATGTTTCTTAGTGGATCTCATATTTATTTTTTCAATCAATATTATATATTTATAAATAAACATCATTAAATTAAGATATTCCAAACTTTTTATTATCACTATTGCATTCATACATAATTCCTTACTAACACTACTTTCCTTTCTATTTAATATACTACAAACATGCAAATTACTATATCAAATTAATGCCTTATTAATCAAGTATAGTCATTAATCAATTAGAAGATTGGGTTAAATCTATTAAAGTAGCTAACAAAATTTTAATTATAATATAAATCTATCATCTTACAATTAGTTAATTAGTTGATATTATGAATCATAGATATTAATATACATTTTTATTAATAAATTCTGAATTCTTATATAAAATTTGACATGATTTTTCTATTCTTTATAGAACAACGACTTTAATATAATTAAAATGTTAATATATAGAATTAATAATGAAAGTGAGAAATAATAAATGAAGATCTTTGAATAATAATTATGTGTCAATTTAAATACATAAAAAATCTAAATTATGTATCATACTATATTAATATAAATATCAGAAAAATTTATTATTTAATTTTAAAATTAGGATCATTATTAGTAATCATTTTATAAAGCTAATCTAAATCACATACTAATATACTTCTCTTAAACTATTAAATTAAATTTATCATTTAATTGAATTTGATCCAATTTCCTTGTATTTTGGCAATTTTATTTAAAAAGTGATAGATATTCTTCAAAACAAAATTAAATTGATATTCTTTTATGATTGTTATTTTTAATTATGTAATAAGTAATTTAATTATACACACTATGATGTCTATAATATTTATTGTTAGATAGTAATTAACATATGGAATAGATATTATAAATAATAAGAAAATTATGAAGAATTGAAAAATTAGAAAAAATTTGATTATATTATTAATACTACTACTATAATCAATTCAGTATAGCATTTAAAATGAATGTTTTATCTATTAATAAAATATATATAATCTGTTATATATGATATATATCTTAGAATAATAAATCATTCTTAATTAGTTATTATAACATGAAACTGTAAACATATGTACACATAAAGCCTTAATAGAGAACTTAATCTATAATTCAGAAGTTAGAATAGGATATTAAAAATTTAGAGAAAATAAAGCAAAGAAATGCAATAAGAGTTGAAAGACTGTTATCAATTAATCTTAAGGATTTAGGATATGTGTGCAATTATAGTATGACAATTGAAAACAAGGTTTAAAGTCGTCGATGTTTTCGAAGCCGGAAAAAAGATCTACAACTTAAACTGGATTCAAATGAAGATTACTTCAAGTATCGAAATGAATCTACACTGTCTCCAAATAAGAATTATTGGTAAATACAATTGAAAATATGAATAGGGCAAAACTTGCATATAGATAAAGTCATTTAGGTAGTGATAGATAACATAGAGTCATTTGAAAGATGATTTTTGATTACTATGGTTATTATTATATATATTTATAAATATATATATAAAAATGAAAAAATGGGATGATGAATACCGTATGAAGAGTTATGTAAATAAAATTTAGAATGCAAAGTCTACAGTACCTAGTAATCAAAAAAAATCAATGAAAAGTAATAAATGGAAAATATATAATAGAACAAATAAATAGAGATACAGATTTCAGTAGTCATGTATCATATAGATCTAATTTAACTGATATTAAGGAAAGTTTTTTATTTAAGTAAGTGAGAGATATATTAATATTAGATAATTGATTGAATACAATTTATAATAATACACAAATAAATTATTATTAAGAGGCTATATAGGTGGATTATAAACATTAGCTTAATAAACTACAGATTCATAAAATCTAGTATTGTAAGAGATTAAATTATTACCTGGACATAAATAAAAATTTTTAGATTTGTTTAAATATTTAAACGAACATTATGATCCTCATAATTTTAATAGCTAAAATTCATAAACTCCTTATAAAAATTAATAGAATAGAAATGGATTACCTGGATAATTTAATTCTCATGGTAAAATAGAATAAACAAGAGAAACTTTTATTGAAATTCTAAAGCCACCTAATAGAAGAGCATCTCTTAAACAATTCTCTCCTCTCTAAGAAATAGGAGTAATAAAACCAAGAGTTTTACCAAAATTAGAAAGAAGTTCTATTAATGGTAATAATGATAAAAGTCCTTAATTTATAGATAGTTTAACATAATAATTAATTTTCAATTAAGAAATTATTAATGGGAATTCTTTATCAATAACTAAAGAAATTCCAAAATCATCATTATCAAAAACAATTAATCATCCTTTAATAAAGATTAAATAAACAAAAAAGAAAAAGTCAATTATTAAGTAAAATTCTGATAAAGATAATAAATTATTGAAGAAATTATTATAAATTAATACAAAAAATAGTATTGGAACAGATATTGATTTATAGTAAGATTAGATTTAATTGATGTATTAATCATTTGATAATGGAAAATTAGCTTCCACCTTGATCAATATTGATATTGAAGAAATTAGTTATTGTGTAGGTATTACTCTATAAAAAATGATTTCGATTGTTGATTTAGAGTAATAGAGATATCTCGAAAATGAAATCTAAGAAATTCAACAAGCAATCTTCAAAGAGTCTGAATAATATGAAGAATTCGAATCCAGATGTATATTAACATAATTATAATAGCAAATAAAGAAAGATATAGTGATTATTAAGTAAATAATGATTAGACAGTTAATATATCAAAGGCAGATGAAATAAATTGTTAAGATTACTTAAGTGAAGGTATAGTAGAGCATGAAATTACAGATTAATATTATGGGAATGAAGATGTTGCTACTGAATAGATATAAAATATTGATTAAAGTGAATAATCAAAATTATAAACTGAATAAGAATAAGAGAATTATTCATAAGTATAAGATAATAAGTATAATAAATAAATATATATGATAGAGAATAAGTTTCTTAATCATATTTTTCAGTTGATACTACTTATAATTTAGATGATTTTCTATTGTTTAATAAAGTTTTTGTTGATAAAACTATGTCTAATTATATTCCTAATGTTGATATTATATAAAACTATTGTAAAAATATAATGACAACTACTAAAATGGAAAGAGAAGTTGCAATTATATCTATGATTTACATAAACAGATTATTAACATATAATTAAGGATTAGAATTAAATTGTTTTAATTGGCAAAAGATTTTATTTACATCATTGATTATGGCATCAAAAATATGGGATGATGAATCTTTTGAAAATAATAATTTTGCAAAAGTGTTACCATAATTTTCAACTTTATAAATAAATGAGATGGAAAAGGTTTTCTTGAAATTAATAGAATATCATCTTTATGTTAATTCAGGTGAATATGCAAAATAATATTTCATATTAAGAACTTATGCTGATAAAAAACAAAGAAGTTATGCTCTAAAATAATTAGATATTTCTACTGTTTTAAGATTATAAAGAGGAGGTTAATAACAAATTTCAAAACAGTAATATATTAATACTTAAAACAAAAGCTTTTGAAGATTACTCTATATTATAATTCTATATTTATATTTATAATAAATAAAAATTGCAGAAATTTTTTTAGTCTATTGAAACAAATATTTATTCATTTCTTTTTCTATTTTTAATCTTTTATCTTTAATTAACTATTAAATCATGAATTGAATTATGAAATCTTTCTTATTCTCTTTGATCTTTTATTATTATTTATTCTTACTCTAATCTTTATTTACCTTTTTTATTAGATTAGTTTTTATGAATCTCTCCATCCTATAATAATTCCTAAAATTTATATTCTAAGATTTTTCTTAGTTCATTATTTATATTTTTATTATCATTTTATTTTTGTTAAGTATAATCATCTATTCCTCTTATAAATTTAATTTAGTAAATATTTATAGATAATAAATATTAATGAATAACTAGGATTAAGTAAGATTTACCTAATAAGATTTTAGTCCATATTAGTTGATGAAGAATTTAATGATAAGAATCTATTTAGTCACTATCAAAAAACAAGAAGAACTAATGCTAAATTTAATCCTAACATTAATCTTTAGGATTATTAAATTAATACTATCAATAGATATCATATAGGATACTTAGACCATCCTCACATTAAATCTAGTAAAATTATAATCTCTAATTAATACGAGCCCAAAACATAACAATCAATAAACTACAATTACAGAAGTATAACTTATAGAAACCACTCAGTAAAGAACTCGAGAAACCTAAAGAGCTTCTCAACAGAAATTCAACAGTCTTAGATTTATAATCCAAAAACATGTTTTTATAAAGGCAATCTGGCATAGGAAAGCTTAAACCAATTATGCAAAAGGAAATATTAGTAAATCCAATCTCTAAGACTTAAAGATTGATAACTAAAAAAACCAATGAAACCCCTGTTATTGAAGTATGCAATAGCAATTACACTGAACAAAAACCAGCATCTTTTCGTTATAATGATATGCAATTAAGTCAATATTTGGAAGAATTTAAATTACTAAAGTAAGAAACACTAACAACAGTAATTTAACCTCATGTTTCATGTAAAATAAATAGAAATACAAACAATTATACTTAAACATCAAACAGATAATAAACTACTAATCATTATTATCATAGTATTATTCCAAAAAGTAAAGTTAAATAAAGATTAACTAATATTGAATCTTAAAAATAGAATCTAACTCTTAGTGGATGGAGTGATTATTCAAATAAATGATTTATATTATTTATTTTAAATTACATAATTTATTATTTATTATAATTATTCTTAATTGAATATTATTATTATAATTAACATTTGTGTTATGATAAGATATTAATTAATAATCAATTAATAAAATATTATTTTTATTATAAAATATTTTTATATTATTAGTCATAGATAATTAATATTTAATAATTATTCAATCGATTAAATGAGTTTATTGATTTATTAATAATAATAAAATTATTAAAAATGGGATTTGAAGATTAGATTCCACCTATTCCAAATAGAGATCAAGAAAAGAGATATATTGCTACAGTTGAAAAGTCTTTCTATGATTAACCTCTTTATAAATTTTATATGAATGAAGCATTAAGAGAAAGAAAGATGGATTATGCTGATAAATTGAATACATTTAAATATGAATGGATTCTTAATTTTGCTGCATCTGGTATAGTGTTTAGTTTATTATATGTAACAATCATAATATTATGATTAGTTTATTCCTGTTTCCTATTATTATAGACAAACTACTACAGGAGTTCCAACATACTATCAGTATTATTTAGATGTTATCTCCTTAGACCTAAGAATAAGGCTGTTTTCAAATAAGGATATTTATAAAATCAAAATTGGAAAAGATTCAAGTTATACTCATTCTTGGTTTTTGGATCAGCATTTATTTTTGCACATACTTATACAGATAGATCATAAATTCATGATGAATATTATAATAATGTAGGTGTCATTAAACCAAAATTTGAATGAGATAAATAAGAATAACAAAATTATAATATTATTGTCTAATTATATCTATTAATTAACATACATTTATATTAAATGGACATAATTACAATTAATAAAGAGTTATACTATATTAAATTATTAAATATTTATAATAAATAATATTATTTCTAATGTTTACCTAGTCAGTATGGAAAATTTCTAATGGAAAATCAACACCGCAGATCAAATTAGTTAGAACTGTACCAGATTTATCTACTCCTTAAAATAAAATTAGAAGTACACCAAAAATAAGAACAAGCAGAATAAATTGGAAAGTAGAGTAGAAACTTTAAGAATTCATGCCATCTGATTCAGATTAAAGAATTCATGATTTAATACTAAACTCTTTACAATATATGCCAAAAGAAATCATCAACTCTATAAATTTACAGCATTATTAGAATAGTTACTAATTTCATCATCATATCACATAACAAGAATTAGAATATTAATTAATTAGTTCACTTGAATAAATAAGTTAAGAAATTATAGAACCTTTGTTTTAGAAAGATGATTCAAATATATTAGGAGTAGCTGATGATTTGAATCCATATAAGAAATATAATATCACAGCAATTCCAAAATTGATATAAATTGTTAATGGAGACATAGAGAGCATAATTAAATTCTTAATTCCTTAGAATAAGAAATTATCTTAATGTATTGAATATATTTGGAAATATTGTGTTTTTATGCTAGATTTAACAATGTAGTTTAGTTTGGATAGAAGTAATAAATATATTATTGAATAAGTGACAAAATTATAAAAAAAATTATCAAATGCAAAAACTTAAGTACATAATTTTGAAAATAGAGTAGTAAAAATGACATAAGAGTTTGAAACAGCAATTTTAAAAGAAAAATAAAGGTATTATGAATTGTAAGCTAATTATGAAAAAATATTGGCTAAGGCAACTGAATTAGAAAGATTGATTAATGAAGATATTAAAACAGAAGGTAGAGATGACTCTTATAAATTAAAAAAAAATGTAAAGGAATTAGAAGCAAATCTAAAAATACTTGAATCTTAATTTAGTAAACATGAAGAAGAATTTGTTTCTCAATTAACTAATGTAGCTTATGTTGCAAAAAGCAAGAGAGAAACATGTTAAGCATAAATTAGAAATAGATTATCAATGAATGTGATAGCCTAATAACCAGGAGATATGGCATTTAGTTTAATGTTTTCAGATCATCCATGGGTACCAATATTTTGTGTTCGATAATTAATGTAATATTATGATGAACCTCCATATATTGTTGAGGAAGATAATAAATTAGAATTATTACATAAGATTTTAATGATGGAATAATCTAGAGTAAGTCCATGTCAACAATTGATAGATTATTATTAAAAGTTTCCTGAACTCTATAAAAATATCATAACTATTCTTGAACCATTTGAAGAGGCAACATAAGCTGCAGTCCAATTAAATAATTTATGTTCTATTTTTTTTAATATTTAAGGATTAGAAACAATGGAGATCTATTATATAAATCAAATAAAAAGAATTTATTAAGAATTCTATGCTTATATATTGAATGTACAATAACATTCAAAAAATCCAGAATAAATTAAATTATAAATTGAAATGGATGATGAAAATTTGAAACATAAAATTGTTAAATTAAATTTAAATTATGGAAAATCCACTTTGATGTTTACTATAAATAAATAATTTTTAGAAACATATTTCTCTTAATTTCAAATTTAAGCTCAATTATAATAAGTCTTTGATACTAGAAAGGATATAACAATGTTACATTTATTATCTATTTATGCAACTGAATTGTCAAAATAATCTAAAACTTTATTTGAAAATAAAATACAGAATTTTAATGTACCTGATGTAGATTCACTAGGTAAATACATAGCTTATGAGATATTTCCAGAATTTAAATTAGATCCTAATCTTGTATAATCTTACATAATTCATAGGTATTATTATTTATAAGAATAATAAATCAAATTTAACAAAGAGTATTTATATAGAAACTAATCATCAACTTCAAATTAAATATTAGATAGAGAATCAATAATAAATGGGGTCAAATAGCTTAGATAATCACTCTTATTTAATCCTTTGCTAATGATTTCACAAAATATAGTGGCACCTTAATAGTCATCAAAGCAACCTAGAAGATAATCTTCTGTTTAATAATGAATTATAAATATTATAATTTCTTTTAATAATTTAAATATTCCGATTATATTATGTCATCTATGATCCAAGGTAGAAATGGATTGAATTAAATATAGAAATCATAATGTTTATAATAAATTTAGTAGGAAATTAATAATGTATTAAATAATGAAAATGAGTAATAATAATAGAAAGAAGAAGTTGATAAACAAATTTAAGAATTTAATAAGCAAAATTAGGAATAATAGAATGGCTGATATTTGTATATATTTATTATATCAAAACTTATATGTATAATAATTTACATAATATATTAAATTATTTAAAAATGTCTGTCACTTTACATACTAGTCATGGAGATATAAAATTAGAATTATTTTGTGAATTAACACCAAAAACCTGTAAAAACTTTTTAGCTTTGTGTGCAAAGAAATTTTATGATAATACAATATTTCATAGAAACATCCCAGGATTTATCATTTAAGGAGGTGATCCAACAGGTATTTAAAATTATGTATTATATATTTTAGGTACTGGTAAGGGAGGGGAATGTATTTATGGAAAATATTTTGAAGATGAAATCGTTCCAGAAATTAAACATGATAGACGCGGAATAGTTTCTATGGCAAATGCAGGAAAAGATACAAACTAATCACAATTTTTTATTACCTATTCAAAGTAGAATCACTTGAATGGTCTATATACAGCTTTTGGAAAAGTAATTTATGGATGGGAGGCTCTGGATTTGATGGAGAAAGAAACTGTAGATAATAATTACAAAGCATTAAATGAAATCAAAATTTTCAAAACAACCATACATGCAAATCCAATAGCAGACATCGAATAATTTTGAACAAATTTAGATATATCATTATTGGTAATCTGAAACAGATGGACATTAACATATAAGATTTCTATCTCCAAAAGCATTATTAATTCTGCTTACTGTTGGCCATACTTTGCCTCTTTGCATCACAAAAGGTAATGGAAAAGCAGCTTCTTCTCTAGAGTATTTATGATTCCAACCACTATTAATTACTTAATCTTAAGTATGAGGAGCATTTTTTAAGGGATTATCATTTTTATCATATTATCCATTTTTGACTTTCTCAATTTCTAATTTAATATTTTTCATTGCTTCAATGAATCTATCTAATTCAGATCTAATAATTAATAAATATTATATATATACTTAGATTCACTTTCAGTTGGTTCAATCATAAGTGTTCCTGGTACTGGGAAAGACATAGTAGGAGCATGGAATCCATAATCCATAAGTCTTTTTGCAATATCTTCTTCAGTAATTCCACTTTCTTATTTAATAGGTCTAATGTCAATAATGAATTCATGAGCACACATTCCATTTTATCCAGTAAACAAAACTTTGTAATCATTTTTTAAATTCTTCATTAAATAATTAGCATTTAACATAGCCATTGCTGTGCATTTCTTTGCACCTTGTCTTCCAAGTTATCCAAAATAACTATAAGGTATTGGGATTATAGATGCAGAACTATATAAGGATGAAGCAACACTTCCTAATGAATGTTCTCTACCTGGAAGATATGGTGCCAATTTCTTATTAACAGCAATAGGTCCTAATCCAGGACCACCTCCTCCATGTGGAATAGAGAATGTCTTATGAAGATTCAAGTGACAAACATCAGCTCCTAAATATCCAGGAGATGTATATCCAACCTATGCATTCATATTTGCACCATCCATATATACTAAACCTCCATGATCATGAATCAATTGAATAATCTTTTTTGTTTAATCCTCATAAACTCCATATGTTGATGGATAAGTAATCATCATACATGCCAAAGACTTCTCATTTTCTTTTATTTTCTTATTCAAATCATTCAAATCAACATAACCATCTATTACATTAACTGCTACAACATTTAATCCAGCAAGAACAGCTGAAGCAGGATTAGTACCATGTGCAGATATTGGAATTAAACAAATATTTCTATCTTTTTGTCCATTCATGATATGATATTTTCTAATGCATAATAAACCTGTATATTCTCCTTAAGCACCACTATTTGGCATTAATGATACAGCTTCCATTTATGTGATATCACATAACCATTTTTCAACATTATCTGTCAATTCTTAATATCCTTAAGTACAAGACAAAGGAGAAAATGGATGTAATTGAGAGAATCCTTAAAATGAGACAGGCAACATGAAAGAAGTAGGATTCAATTTCATGGTACAACTACCTAATGAAATCATAGACTTAGCTAAAGAGATATCCTTCTATCTTAAATAGTTGATGTATCTCAACATTTCTGTTTCACTATGTAATGAATTGAAGACCTTCTATTACATATAAGGTGCTCTTTCAGATTTATAGGGAATAACTTTCTGAATCACTGACATAAAATCTGCTTTTTTCTTAGTGAAATGTTGAAGATGGTTGAATAGATCTTCTACATCTTAGAGTGTGTGAGTCTCATCAAAACTAAAAATGGTGTCTTATCCAATTTTTCTAACATTAATTTATGCATTATAATGTAAATACTCTTATAAATTTTCTGTATTATGTAAAACTACTGTATCAAAGATTCTTCCTTCTTTAACAACTATTCCTAAACTTTTTGCTAATTTAGCAAAGCTTCTAGCCAAACAATTTACTCTATTAGCTATCTTCTATAATCCCTAAGGACCATGATAAGTTGCATACAATCCAGCCATATTTGCTAATAATGCTTAGGCTGTGCAAATATTGGAGGTAGCTTTTTCTCTTCTAATATGTTATTCTCTTGTTTGCAATGACATTCTATAAGCTGATCTTCCATTAGCATCTTTGGATATTCCAATAATACGTCCTGGCATTTTTCTTTTGAATTCATCTTCAACAGCAAAGAAAGCAGCATGTGGTCCACCAAAACCCATAGGTACACCAAATCTTTATGAATTTCCATATGCAACATTTGCTCCTTAATCTTTAGGTGTTTTATTGATTGTTAAACTCAATAAGTCTGTTCCAATAACTTTTAAGAGTTTAGCGTCTTTGAGAGTATGTTTAAATAGATCACTCCAGTCATGGACTTCTCCCATATTATCTGGTGATTGTACCAAAACACCACAATATTAATCGGCATCTTTGAAATCATAAGTTTTGGCATCACCAACAATTATATCAATTCCTAAATAATATGCTTTAGTCTTGATGTGCTCAATGCTCTATGGAAATACATGGTTATCTACAAAGAATTTCTTTTTCTCAAACCAAGAATTTGCCAAGAACATTGCTTCTCCTGCAGCTGTTGCTTCATCCAATAATGAGGCATTAGATACATCCATACCAGTCAATTCAGTGATTACTGTTTAATAATTGAGTAAAGCTTCTAGTCTACCCTAAGAAATTTCAGCTTAATAGGGAGTATAGGATGTATACCATCCTGGGTCTTCAAGTACATTTCTCAAGATAACATATGGTGTGTGAGTACCATAAAAGCCTTAACCTATATAGTTTTTGTATATCTTGTTTTTATTGGCCAATGATTGGAGATGTTAGACCATTGCCGATTCTGTGATTGCATCAGGAAAATTGTCTGGACTTTGAAAGGCTGCTTCGCTGCGAATTTCTTTTGGGATAATTTTGTCTACAAGCTCATCTAGTGAATTGGCTTCTACTGATTTCAACATCTCTTTCACTTATTAAGGCTCAGAGCCTATAAAACGTGGTTCCTATATTTAGAAATTATCAATACAATATAGTCACTTGACTTGAACCAGTCAGGGACTTTGGGATTCACTTCATGAGGATTGGCCAACCTGCTGAAATTAGCCACACGTTGTATTAATCTTATAGATCTAAGCATTAAATATTTAAAAATGACGCAGTACTCTTCTCTGTATTTATTTATATATATATTCAAAAACTGTTATAATGCATTAAAGAGTACAAACAAATGAAAGTCCATATCACAGATAAATTTACATGCGACCTCGTCTTTAATCTCAAGACCCAGGTCGAAGGGTCTTGACAGAAAATGATACTAAGACTAACATATCAAGAAAACTTACAAAATTTGACTTTGATTCTGTGCTAACTATTAGAACAAGTAAGGGGAGCAAAAAGTTTAAGCCATAACGTTTTGAAGTTAAACCGATAGTAAAGTATTTTAGCATAGTTTAGAAAACTGAAGTAGACTCAGAGTTAGAGACTTATCAAAGAATGGTTTTGGCAAAAATGAAAGAGAAGAATATTCTACCAAAACAACGTTCATTAAGCAATGCTACTCCATAATAAAAGAGTTAGGATCGTTATGCTTCCTTGGATTCACAAAATAGAATAAACAATAATAAATAAAATTAGAATTAGAATGTACATCCTAAGATTTTGTGGGATATGTCAGAAGAAGAATGGTAATAATTTGGGGATCGATTTCCTTAACATTTTGAAAAGAAGAAGCTACTTGGAAGAGGTGGATTTTCATTAGTATGGTTAGGAGAACATAAAAGAACCAAAGAAAAATTTGCTATTAAATAAATACTTTCTACAAATACTCATTAATCTCACATGAAAGAAATTTGGTTTGGAATTCATTTCTTTTAAGATGGGCAACCAAAAAAGTAATTTGCCAATTTTCCAGGTTGCAAGAATTTAGTTCGCTTTCTAACCTATGACATTAAACCTTAAGACACTTGGATATTTTAAGAAATATGTGGAGAGAGTCTTGGAAATCATCTTTATGATCTTAAAGGAAAAAATGTTAATAATGAACGCATGTATAGGGTAGATACACTTAATTCTATTTTAGTTAACACTTAAACCTCTTTATAATACTTTTAGAAAAGATTTAACAGAATTTAAAAAACTCATAAGAGAATTAGCATAGGCCTTGGATTTAATATAAGATTAAAGAATTGTACATTCTGATCTTAAAACAGAAAATATTCTAATTAAGAAAATAAAAAATGAAAATGATTTACATGAACTTACATAAATTAAATTGATTGATTATGGTAGTAGTTTCCCTTTTGATGATTTGAAATAATTTTCGATGGCCACACCAGAGTAATATATTAATTATATTTTAGATATATGTGTCCAGAAATACTAAACTATATATTATATGAAAATTAAATGAATTATCGTCCTTGTTTAATGAAATATTTAAGAAATTATAAGAAACCTTGGGTAATAGATGTTTGGTCTCTTGGTTGTGTAATCCTTGAGATTATATCAGGAATTCCTCTTTGGATGAGTCTTAAAACTATAGTAACCAAAAATGGAAAGGAAATTATTGATTATGGATTATTTGCTGTTAAGGGTCGAGTTTTTGATAAAATTATAGATCGTTAAATGGAAGTTATTTAAAATTTAGATAGTTATATTGATAAAAATTATTCTGGTATTAATAATAATTTAATAATCAATTAGGTATTAAGGTAGATAATTAAATAAGATTTATATTAAAAGAAATGTTAAATTTAGATCCTGAGAAAAGATTATCCCCAAAATAAATAGTTGAATATTTATCCACAAGAAAAGATTACCTTATAACTTAATGATTTATACTATTAATAATTCAAAAACCTTCATCTCATTGAATTAAATTTGAATATAATTTTAGTTGTCTTAAATTTTTTAATTATTTTTTAATGAACTCAATATCCACAAATCCATCCTTTACAGATATTCGAGTTGTTAAAATATACCTTAAAATTCATTACAATACTTAATATGGATAAGCAATTTACTTATGTGGAGACGATGAACGATTAGGAATTTGGGATTCTACTAAGGCAATTAGACTCTAATGGAATCAGGTATAGTATTGAAGCTCAAAAAGAATAATGAATGGACAACCTGTTTAAAATTGCCAAGAATTTGTAAAAACTTTGAGTATAAATTCCTTGTGAATGATTATAATAATCCATCTACTTAAAAAGAATTATGGGAACCAGGAGAAAATCGTTTAATTACAAAGCATTTATTATTAAATGGAAAGAAAGGGGAGTACTTTAATTGTATTAGTTTTTAAATTATTATAGAGGAATATTGGGGATACAGAACAATTAAATTGAAACTTAATCACAATTTATAACCAGGAGAAAGAATGATGATTATTGGTTCAATTCCAGAAATTGGTTCTTGGAAAACACCTGTTTTAATGAAATAACAATAGAAGATTGATATATGTATTATTCAATCCATAATTCTGAAATAGTAACATAAGAGCCTATTCAACAATGGTCGATTTCATTTATTGTAAATCCTCTAAATTTTTATTTCCGATATTATTATGTGATTCGAAATGATGAAACTGGAAATATGATTTGGGAAAGAGGGAATGGTCGTTACCTTAAAACAGCTGATCTCTCTTCAATTAGATAGGTTCTTGATCAATATGCATTACATCCAATTAAAGTCAAAACTCAAATCTATTAAGCTTTTTAATCAAGAACAGAAAAGAGAAATGGATCATTTTAAGCAACTAAGATTCCAAAATCAAAGTTAAAACTTAATAGTTAAGGTTATTAATTTGCAGATAAAGAGCCTTCTTTCTTTTATTATGAAGAATTTGGGAGGTTGAATAAATTGGATTGGAATTTTGTAGTGTAATTTTAAACATATGAGATAAATGAAAATATAATTATTGGTCCATATCCTTAAAATGAATAGGATATTCTATTATTGAAATAAAAATAAGTGAAGGCAGTTCTTAATTTATAAACTCGTTTAGATATTTTTCATAGAGGAGTTAATTGGGAATAGATTGTAGATGCTTATTAGCGATAGAATATAGTGATGAAAAATTATTAGATTTATGATATGGATGCAGAAGATTTTGAAAAGAAATCAAATAAGGCAGTATAAATATTAAAGAAATTAATTAATGAATATGAATATGTTTATGTACATTGTACTGCTGGAATAGGTAGAGCTCCTTCAATAGTTGTATTATATTTAAGTTCAATATTAAAATATGATCTAAAAGAAGCAATAGAATTAGTTAAATTAAAAAGATAATAATTTTATGTCAATTATTGTATATATGAGTAATATTAATAGCCATGTTAAAGAAATCATTGTAGAAGACACTTGTATTTAATCATGGATTAGGTTATTAAAATTTGGCTTAAACTTTATGAGGGATGGAATAATCATTTATATATATAATTAGTTATAATTTTACATAATTTCAAACTTAACTTTTCAGTCAAGTGATATTTCAATAATTGTCTAAGAAATTTATTATTCAATGATAGCTTGCAAAAATTTATAAATCTGAATTTATTTAAATTTCATTTAATTAATAATGATAGATATGGAGATAATATATTCTTTTTAATGTTTAATCTCTTTCCAACAATCAGATCATTACTCACATTAAGCAAAGTTGTAATTCACATCAAATAAAATAAATCTACTTTTGAATACTTAATGTTATGAAATAGAAATATCATACAAACTAATGTTAAAATGGAAATGTTAAGAGAACAAATTGATTTCATTGAATTTTTAATAAATTACAATTTAGGCTGGAAATGAAGATCTTCTTATATTAAAGAAACATTTAGATTGTAAAACAACATATGTTGGTATTAGAGATATTTATGATAATGTTATATTAATATAAGAATTAGGAATTGCAAAAGTAATAAGTTAATTTAATATTTTAGACATGTAAAGTTAAGAGTAAATTAGATGGGAAAATGTATATTTGTAAATGTTATAAAAAATAAGAGGTTGAAAAGTATAAAATATATGAGTAATTGGTTATTCTGCGTAAATTAATTGATTTCAAGAATGTTGCTCAATTAAATGATTTCTATGAATCATCTAATTCATATTATTTGATTTTTGAATAGATGAATAAGATACATTATCATAGTTTTTGTCATGAAGATATATAATCAATGATGTTTGTATATTAAATTTTAAATTAGGATATTTTATGTTGTATTAAAATGTTGATATCAAATCGTATTTTTCACTCACAAATTACTTTATAGAATATATTGATTGATAAGAATATGAATTACAAACTTTCTGGTTTTGAACATGCAGAATTATTAAGTGAAGATAATCCTATTTTCAATTCTTTAATGTTAAATATGGCAGGAAAAATGATGATCAAATTGTATCATATAATTATTTAATTAGATATTAATACAACTCTATAAATAAAGAATTAATATCTATACCTGATTATGGTAATTCTCTAATTTAAGGATTATTAGAAATTAAATTAGATTAATAAATTAATATAGAGTAAGCATTAAGTCATTAATACTTTGAATATTTTGATTACAATTCCAGTCCTATGAAGTAATAATAGATTATACCAAAATTGAAATCTTTTATCACTTAATAATCTCTATCATCCCCTATTGATAGTAACATTTGATTTTTATATTTACTTTTTATAATTTAATTTTACTTAAAAAATGGAATGGAATAATAATAAAAGAATTGAAACACCAATAGAAGGAATAGGTACTTAAGCTATAAGATTATTTGTAACAATAAGAAAAGATTCTGAGTCAAATGTAGAATATAAAAAAATGACAGTAATGGCACCATGTATATTATTATCAATTATCAGTGAGCATTAAGATTTCGATGTTAAAGAGACATATTGAAAGAGAATTTGCAGATCTCTTTCCACATGAACCTACATTTGTATGTGCAAAATTAGAAGATGAATTCGGTTATAGTTTATCAAATGCTTCTATAGTTAGTGAATTGTTAAAAAATTCTGATAGATTATTTGCAATTCCAGAATCATTTACTAAAGATTTAATTGGTAAAATGCATGTTACTCATGACTTGAATGAATTAACATTCATGTTAAAAAGTATCACCTAAACAATCATAGCAAAACTAGCTGGTATTTTATATCATTATATCTATAGAGGCTGAATTAGGATCTCCTGAAACTTAAATGGATATTATGTAATTAATAGTACCTGTTGGTTTCTCATTATAACAAAAAGCAATAAATCACAATACAGCTTTGACATTAAAAAGAATATTTGAAAATGAGAGATTATAATTCTTAGATGATCAATCATATGCACTTATTTCTTAATTATTGATTAAGTTACTCTAATTTTGGACTAATGATTTAATCTTTTAAGATTAGTTTCTTCTCAATTTAACAGTAGATCTATTAGAAATACTCACTAAAAGTGGTATATATATTTTAAATCTCTAATTTAGCTGCATTCTCCACTTCCTTTAAAACTCCACAAATAGTAAATAGTCTAATGTCTGTCTCCAAATTAGATTTCGTTAGTGCCTAAACAAGATCTAGAATAATTAAACTTATCTCATTTCTATCCAGACCATAATTTACCAATTGTTTTCAACCCAGATCCTATGATGGTCCTTTAACACTTAATTTACCTCCATAACCAAGAAGAAGAAATGAAGAATATGTTCCTACTATACTTGAATAACCAAATAGAAATTCTAATAGAAGATAAGGAAGTGCTGGATCTAGAAATTAGAATGGCTATGAATAATAATAATAAGATTTTAATCAATATCCTTATAAATAGAATGACTCAAATTAATATCCTTTTAAATAAAATGATTCAAACTAATTTGGATTCAAATAAAATGATTAAAATTAATATTAACACCCTAATATGATAAAATAACCTCCTACTCCTTAATAATTTGGATATTAGTCTTAACCTTTATAATCAAATTATCCACCTCCTCCATAAAATCCAGTATATTCCAAACCTCAATTAAATTTAAATAATAGACCTCAAAGTAATAGAAATCTAAATCAATATGGTGGTAATATGCAATAATAAGTCTTTGATGGATTAGTATAAGATTATTTAAATTTAATTTCTACAGAATCAAATGAAGAAATGTTACAATTTGCTATTTAAAATTTAAGTGATGGAATTGATACAACTATACATCAAATTATGGATAGTCCAGAAGCATTTTAAAAGATTGTCAATTTATTAGAAATTGCAATGAGTCCAAATTATTTAGGAATGTAATTAAGAATATTAGAAGCATTATCTAAAAATATGAATCAAGAAAGAGCTAAAGAAGCACTTAAATTAAAATTAATACCAAGAATCATGAAAGCCTTTACTTATTAACCTAAAGAATTTTAACCAATATTGTATGATATGTTATCAGCTACGCTTAAATTATCTGATTTTTAAGTTGATGTTCTTACAGTTATCAGCATGATTGAATCAGCCTATCCTAGAATTTAAATGTTGGGAATTAAGATACTTTCATTAATGTCTGACCCATAGAGACTCTAAAATACTAATAATGTATCAATTTAATTTGAAAACTATATCAAAAGTCTAATGGATTGGACCTTAGATGGATAGAAGGGAGAAGAGTTTTAATATAATGCTCTTTAAACATTATCAAATTTGGCTATTAATGATTATATTAGACCCCAGATATTACATTTAAAGGGAATTGAATTCTTCTTAAAGGTCTTAAGAGAAAGCTATAGAGTTGATGCTTAAAGGTTGGCTGCAAAAGGATTGTTGAACTTATCCATAAAATCAAGAGAAACTAAATTATCTATTGTTTCTTAAATGGAAGAGGAGATCTAACGATTACAAAGAGGAGAGATGGATACTGTAGTTTAAGGATACTTAACTACCTTATTAACAACAAGAGAGAGAGGATAGTTGTTATGATTTATATTCACACAATAACTAAATATTTTTTTGGTATTCCAAGATCAAATAAATTGCTTTGTATTTCTTCTTCAAATTGAGGACTTCCACAAACGTATACTTTTGTTGGTTTGAATTTTAAGTGTTCTTTCATATATTTAAGATTGAAGTATGATTCAACCATATAATTTGTCAATTCCTCTGGAATATTATTACGATCCTTGATCATAATTTTAATATCAAAAAAGTCTAAATGAAAGGTTTTACAAATAAACAACAAATCTTAAATAATTGGTAGTCCATAAAAGTGAGCAATATCACTAAAAGTAGCATGAATTATTAACTAGAAATCTGGACCTAGAGTTGTTAAGTATTCCTCATTATTATCATTTATGCAATCAGCTATTTCTTTACTTCTTTAATCATGTAGAATAGTATAGATAGCTTTTTTAAGAAGGTAATCAATAAAATCAAGAAATGGTAAAATTCCAGTGCCTTAAACAAAAGCATAATGAATTCCATCAGATAGAGCATCTAATTCTAATCCAAAACCATAGGGTCCTGTAATTTCATATGGTTTATGACCTGTACAATGAAGGAAGCGACTCATGTTATTTGAGAAATCACATCTCTTTATAACAAAATTAATTTCATCAGATAAGATGGCTTGTTGTTAAGGTGAATAGGGTTAGTAATCTTATTCAATGACTTATGATTTAAAAAAGTCAAGTATTTATTATCTCTTTAGAATAGCAGATTGAGTGTATGACATAACAATTGAATATGGTCTTTCTGCTAGATTGATACCAGTTCCAAAGGGTTTTATGTAGAAGTAACGACCAAACCATTAAACACCTTTTAAGAATTGACGAACTTAAAAGAAATGACTTTTGAATATGAATAAGCCAACATCTGAAGCAAATGGAATATATTGTTCAAATTTCCATACGTATTTATCACTTTAGGATGTATTTTCTTCATAATATAATAATGGACAATTATCATTTCTATAATCTCCTAAGTATCTAGTTTCAATATAATTGATAGCAAATTAAGTATGAATATGCATTTTGATATTTAAGTTTTAAATTGGGAATCCTCCATAAAAGTACCTACCAATTTCTCTTCCAGTAATCCTTTCTAGAATATACTAACCTCCTGGATGATTAAAATCACTAACATCATAAATTGCTTCTCTAAGGATTATGTAATTTAATTTTTAATATTCTTTAACTAATTGATTTCTAGGAACTAATTCATAAACTAAAAAAATATTTTACCATTTTAATTTATTTTATCTATCAAATTCTCATAAATTTGATTTTTGTCTAATTCTACATATTGATATGTGATTCTTTGTCTTGGTATAATGGATACTTCATAATAATAGAGTATTTCAATAGACATTTTTGTAAAAAAAAGAAACACATAGAAATAATAAAAGGGAATTCTATATTGAATAATTATATTTTTTACAATAAATCTGGTCTTTGAATATGAACTCCCATTGCTACCTAAGCTTTAGTAACTAGATAGATGAAATAGCCAAGATAAAAATGAATCCTCTTAACTTTATAGATTTTATTGGAACCATTCAATGATTCTAGATTATTTTTGACAATCATGCCCATCATCAATTGAAGTAACAAAAAACTTAATATAGAAACTCCAACAACAAAATGAGCTATAATCAATCCATCATAATAATAAATTTCTTGGATCTTTAATTTATCTATATTATTATATATAAAATACTGTATTCGATTTTACTGAAAACAAAGATATATGTTACAATACTCTAGAATAAGAATATCATTCCATGAACTTTAGCATACTTTGGATAACTTTTTAATTATCTTCCAAAGAAAATTCCAATATCTGATAGAAAACTCCAAAAAATAAATAGAAAAATTGAATGTCCTTCATCTGTAAATTATTCATATTTCTCCACTTTACTATCCAAATTATATAAATCCACAGAAATTACTCCTCTATTATAATTCCTATAAACCATTCCTTCTTTATTATATACTATAAGATATCCTATATTAACGTATTGTTAATTGAATTGATAATCATCATTATCATCTGTAAGCAATTTTCTAGTAATTTTTATTCTAATTGTTTCATTAATGATAGCATATCCCAAAATGTACCAACTTTAAAATCCTCCTTATTATTCATCCCATATAAATGCAGTTGCAGATGCTCCAATGTTATCATTTACATATAAATCATCATAAGTTTCTGCCCAACTAAAGAAAATAATGTCTTTGCCGGTAATGTCATATTCATCATATGTTTTATTCATATCATTCATTTTAGTATAATTAAACACAATAGCAAATCTCTAACATAATTGTAATTCGAATAGCATAGTAATATTATTGGTATCTAATTCATAGTACATGGAAAGATTATTTGTAAATTTCACAAAGTTATCAAGTTCTGTTAGATTTCCTGCACATGGTTCCCCATTACAAGTAAATCTGGAACTCTCTGTAAAACAATCAAATGAGTCTATGCATGCATATACAATTGGTAGAATGAAAATCACAATATTCATTAAATTATTATTTAAACAATATTATAATTCATTTCATTTTCAATAAGTTTCTTATTGCCTCTGAATTTATTGAATTATTATATCCACTCTTATTCACACTACTATTATGTTTTGTCTGACTTCTACTTGGTTGAATATTAACAATTTCTGCTAAAGTTTATCTACCTTTCATCATATACTAACTAATCTAGATATTATTTGATCGTTGACTTATAGAAGCCTACTATTATTATAACAATTTATTGTATCTCTTAAAGAGTTCATCACATGAACTTCTATGAGAAGTGTAACCTCCATGTTATGAGAAGGAGGATTATTTCTTTGGAGAACCCTATCTATAAGAAGTAGATCCATCATGACTCTAATCCTTTTTCTTAGATTCTGATTAACAACTATCATACTTTATACATACTTAGATTTCTTTAATTTATAGATTTCCTATTATAATCTCTTGACTTCTTAATTAGCCTCCTCTAATTTTGATTAAAGTCCATCTTAATATAACTTCATCTACTACTCTAACTAAAATTAACAATCTCTTCATACACTTATATGATTTCGAATATCTGCTTCCTATTATTACAATACTGATTCCAACTTTTTATATTCTAAATTGCTGTTTTTCAGTTATCTAAACTATTTGCTTATTCTCTGTATTAGATCTTGACAATTACAGTGCTCAATCCCAGAAATCTTATCATTACTAAATATCATCATCTGATTTTATATTATAAACTCTCAATACTTCCTCTAAAAGATTACGTAATCCTTATTCAACTTCCTATTTCTCTTGTCTGTTCATTTAACGAAATTAATTAAACTAAATCCAATTAATTTTTAAAATGGACGAAGAAGACTGTACTATTTTCATTGAAGAACTCAAAAGTGATGATCCCAATCTCAAACTCAATGCTGTATCCAAAATTGTATCAATTGCACAAATCCTTGGACCTTCAAGAACTTGTTAAGAACTCATTCCTTATTTAATTGATATCATAGAAGAATAAGACAATGAAGATGAATTTCTTATCAAATTAGCTAAAGAATTAGTCAATCTTAAACCATTTACAGGTGCTAATGTTCATTTACTTAATGCACCACTAGAAATTCTAAGTTCCATGGAAGAGCCATTAGTAAGAGATAAAGCAGTTGAATCCTTAATCTTGCTTGCAGAAGGAATGCCAAACAGTAATTTCTATCTGATATATAATTTTTAGGTTTTTTTGAAAATCACTTTTTTTAAATTGTCCAATAATTAGGTCAATGGGACAACTTTCCATCCAGAATATCTGCAGCCAGTCTCCTTCCACTTACTTACAAACATGTCTCATTAGAAAAATAAAATACTCTTTGGGACTTATTCAAATAATTATGTGGAGATGATACTCCAATGGTCAGAAGAGTTTGTGCAGGAGTTTTGTCTGATCTTGCAAAAATGAAATGCTAACCATAATAATTATTATAATTATGGGAGGCACTTCTCAAAGATCCTATTGATAGTGTTAAAATTAAAGCAATAGAAGGCTCATAATATATGCTTAAATTAATTGATGATGAACATGATTTAGAAACTTAACTTCAAGGATACTTTGCACTAGCTGATCCTAAAGAAAAAAGCTGGCGTGTTAGATACACTGTTCCAGAATGTCTAGAAAGCATAATTGACATCATTGTTAAACTAAGTAATNCACTTATATGATTTCGAATATCTGCTTCCTATTATTACAATACTGATTCCAACTTTTTATATTCTAAATTGCTGTTTTTCAGTTATCTAAACTATTTGCTTATTCTCTGTATTAGATCTTGACAATTACAGTGCTCAATCCCAGAAATCTTATCATTACTAAATATCATCATCTGATTTTATATTATAAACTCTCAATACTTCCTCTAAAAGATTACGTAATCCTTATTCAACTTCCTATTTCTCTTGTCTGTTCATTTAACGAAATTAATTAAACTAAATCCAATTAATTTTTAAAATGGACGAAGAAGACTGTACTATTTTCATTGAAGAACTCAAAAGTGATGATCCCAATCTCAAACTCAATGCTGTATCCAAAATTGTATCAATTGCACAAATCCTTGGACCTTCAAGAACTTGTTAAGAACTCATTCCTTATTTAATTGATATCATAGAAGAATAAGACAATGAAGATGAATTTCTTATCAAATTAGCTAAAGAATTAGTCAATCTTAAACCATTTACAGGTGCTAATGTTCATTTACTTAATGCACCACTAGAAATTCTAAGTTCCATGGAAGAGCCATTAGTAAGAGATAAAGCAGTTGAATCCTTAATCTTGCTTGCAGAAGGAATGCCAAACAGTAATTTCTATCTGATATATAATTTTTAGGTTTTTTTGAAAATCACTTTTTTTAAATTGTCCAATAATTAGGTCAATGGGACAACTTTCCATCCAGAATATCTGCAGCCAGTCTCCTTCCACTTACTTACAAACATGTCTCATTAGAAAAATAAAATACTCTTTGGGACTTATTCAAATAATTATGTGGAGATGATACTCCAATGGTCAGAAGAGTTTGTGCAGGAGTTTTGTCTGATCTTGCAAAAATGAAATGCTAACCATAATAATTATTATAATTATGGGAGGCACTTCTCAAAGATCCTATTGATAGTGTTAAAATTAAAGCAATAGAAGGCTCATAATATATGCTTAAATTAATTGATGATGAACATGATTTAGAAACTTAACTTCAAGGATACTTTGCACTAGCTGATCCTAAAGAAAAAAGCTGGCGTGTTAGATACACTGTTCCAGAATGTCTAGAAAGCATAATTGACATCATTGTTAAACTAAGTAATTGTAATTTTCAAATTTTTAGATAAAAATAAAACCATTCTAAAAAATTAAGCAGTACCTGTATTCTAACAATTACTCAAAGACACAGAACCTGAAGTTAGATCTATGGCACTTATATCCATATATCATTTATTAAAAGAATTACCCTCTTCTAGCAAAGATTTATTCTTACCATTATTTTAAACTCTATCTACAGACACTTCATAACATGTTCGAATGTCTTTAGCTGAACAAATTTGTAAGATTTCTAAATAATATACTGTTTAAATTGTTTTACAAAGTTTTATACCCTTAATTACAACATTAATTAAAGATGATGTTGTTGAAATCAAAATCAAACTAGCTCATAATTTAGATCAATTATCATAAGCAATAGGATAAGATAACTCAAAAAAACACTTAGTACCTCTTATTTAGACTTTTGCATCAGAAAAGTAATGGAGATACAGATTAGAAATGATGTCAATCATACCAAAACTTCTCAAAGTGGCAGGTTATGATAGTTTCTTAGAATTATAAGAAGTTTATCTTGAAAAAGGAGTTTTAAATCACTATTAAGCAATTAGAGATTAGGCTATAGATAATCTGATTTAATTGAGTGAAATCTTTGGATATGATAAGATCAGAGAATTTATTTTAAAATGTATCAATCTACAATTTGAATAACCAAATTATATTTATAGAGTATCAGCAATGCATAGTATAGCAAAATTAAAAAATACATTATCAAAAGATGATTTAGTAAATTAGTTTAAAGTATTCAATATATAATATTTAAAAAGGAAATTACACAGAAGTCTTTGAATGATAAAGTTCCTAATGTTAGATTGAATATTTTTAAGTTATTCACAACAATCCAAAATAAATTAGACAATAAGACACAAAATGAGTTCAAAAATAAAGCAAGAATTCTATAATAAGATCAGGATATTGACGTAAAATATTTTGCATAAAAAATTTGATTATTTATATATGTTTCCATATCATAAATTTTGATATATAGATCATTTCTATTAAATTTCAGTTTTTGATTCACTTTCAAATGTATATTAAAATGCAATAGGATTTGTAGCAGTAGATATTTTTTTCATATACCCTAAAGTAGTATTTTGAAGAAAGTTATCACCTTTTTATCCAATAAATGAAGTTGATTTTCTATAGACTCTATCTGTACTTTGACACACTCTCAAGACTTAAGAAGCAGATTTTTCAATTTTCTATCTTTTGGTTCTACTTGTTAAATAAATTTTAACATTCTAAAAATATAATTGTAATTCATCCTACTCCCTTTTTGTTGGTATATACCATCTAAAATGAAATATGAGATTACTTAGGTTGGGAAATATTGCAATTTTTGAAACTGTTGCTGATGGATCCAAATTATCTCACAGAAGATGTTAATTTGTTATATTCATTAAACAGTTCATAGACTTATAATGCTTATTTTTGATCAAGCTATGTATAGCACTCCATAAATTGTCGTATGAACCTACAATACTTAAAAAGAGAATTCATAAACCGTACCTTTCAAGCATTAAATACATGGCTATTAGATCGTTCCAGATTAACAAGTAAATTTCCATTACAACTGTTCTATTGTGTAGTTTTGAAATACTGAGGAATAACTAAATTTAATAAGAACTCATACATCATATTAAGCTAGAATAAAGTTAAGACAATTAATAGCTTTGTAGAATTGAATTACTGATGTATCAATATCTTTGAAAAAAATCTCAATGCTAGTTTTGAGTTTGCTTCTAGTACATATATCTTATATGCTAGCAAGTTTATGTATTATCATAGTTTGAATTCCTATGAATTTATTTAAGATGTCCTCTTTATTAGTTGGTACCCAACCATTAAAGTAATTTAATTACTATACAAATAATCTACCATGTTTGACATCTCCCATTAGTACATGCATTGTGAGAAGAACTTTAAGCTTTTTATGATTGTCTAGTGTTTATGGGATAAGTCTCAGAAATTCACGACACACTTAAACTAAAGTCATACTTTAAACTAATTAGTCAATTTCTGATAAACAAGGAAATCCTATATTAATTTAATCAAATTTACCTTGTAACATTTATTTTACATCTTCTAGATCAACAGTTTCTTGATTATCAAATATTGATGATTCGAATAGTTTTCTCTCAAATCTTGATTGTTTCTTAAAGAAGTTTTTTATAAACATTTTTAATATTTATATATATATATATATATATATATTTATTTATTGTAATGATGGAATAAAGAACTGTTACAGAAGCCAGTCAAGATGAAGAAGAACAGAATAAAAAGAAATTTATCTATTAAACTGAAAAACTCAAACTGCTTTTATAAGTACCGATTGAGCAAAGAACTCAACCAATCTGTAAGGATATTGCTGAGATTGCTTAAGTAAATCTCCTTAAATATATATTTACTTTAGTAAATTAAATTCCTTTCCCAATACAAATAAAAACCAGACTTCTTAGAATTATGTAAAAATCTCTATCTCAAAACATATGAAAAACGATAATATATCTTTAAATAAGGTGATTAAGGGGATGCATTCTATGTTATACTGAATGGAAGTGTTAAAGTTTATATTGATGAACCAACAGAATTTAAGAATTTCATGCAACTTGTAAGAATAGTTTATTTTATATAGAAAGAAATAGCTTAATTGGGTAAAGGTGATGCTTTTGGAGAAATATCTTTGCTCTATAATTCAAAGAGAACAGCAACTGTAATTTCAAATGAGAGAAGTGACTTAATAGTTTTAGAAAAAGATGCATTTTAAGAATATATGAAAACTATGGATAATACAAATGAAATGAAAACAGTTGCATTAAATAAACTACTATAATTTTTAGAATCTCTTCCAGTATTTCAAATGTTTAACAAAGATTTACTTGTTTAATTATGTACAAAATGTTAAATATAAATGTATCCTTCTTAATAAATACTATTGAAATAAGGGGTAGAACCAACATAAATGTATATAATTAAAAGTGGAAGAGTAAAAGCAATTAAAAAAATTAAATGGAATTTAGAAGATTATCCATCTTCATTAATAAGAGGTTAAACTACAAGCAGCACTGATTTATTTAATTAAGATGTCTATTTTGAAATTGATGAATTGGGAGATGGTGAAATCTTTGGTGATTTTGCTTTATTAAATGAAGAAGAATCATAATGTTCTTATATTACATCTATTCCATCTGAGATTGTTTCAATTAGTTCATTTAATTTAAAAATGATTATACCTTCTGATAGATTGGAGGCATATTAAAAATAAATTAAATAATATCCTGAAGATGATGATCTAAAATTATTATATGAAGAGAAGAGAAATTGGAATTAATATAAAAGAAAATTGATAAAAAATATTTATGTTGATAAGTAAAATAAAAAGGGATTTGATAATAGATTAAGACTACCAGAATTAAAAGGTAAATAAGCTTTACCTCCAATTAATATTATTGATATAAAAACAAGTGATAATAGAACATATTTCAAATATTTAGAATCTAAAATATCTCCTATGGCTGAATGTAAAAAAAAAGTTTAATCATTAACTCAAGTTGGATTGAGTATGCAAGGTTTAGTGAAATAATTAGAATAAAATACTAATCAATTAAGTATAGCTAATTCCTTTTAGAGAAAATTAAAGAAACTCAACATTAATAGATCTTAATGAAATTAATCAATGTTATAAATCATAAAATGAAAAAGAACTTCCTGGTTATGTTGAATTAATTCTCCTATGGTTTTATTATTACTATTTTGGCTAAGATATTTTACGAACAAAGTCCTTAGTCCTTTGAGAATATATTTTATTCTGTGATTACACATTCTCTTAATCTAAATGTGAGGATTATTATTATTATGCTTTCTTCTTAGGCTATTAAGTGCTATCTATAGTAATCTAAAATCTTACCATCTTTATGAATGATATTGATACAAAGATTCATTCTCTAATAGAAAAGATTAATTTATTGTATGAGCAGTAATTGGAGATAAGGATTATCCTTTATGAGCATTTGGTGTATGAATTTTCATTTAATGCACATCCCATAAAACAGATTATTCTAATTCCTCTTGACTTCTTCGTGTTTATTCTCTTGTATGATAACTCCTTTTTGTATTCTTTAAATTTGGACTTGTTGGTATTATAACATTAGGTTAAGTGTAAGAGAATGCAATTTCTCTAAATGCCTTATCTAATTAACATTATTCAATTTTATAAATTGCTGATTCCAATAAAAATAATCCTGTTTCAACTCTCTACTCAAAATGTCTTCTATTACTATTTCTACTTCTCCATAACTTAAAGAAAGTTTCCTTTAATGAAAGTTCATTCTCTCTCTTTGATAATGTATTTTCTAACATTGCACTACTTAAACATTTTGATTTCAATGCATTTTATATTTACATATTCTATAATTCTAATTCATATTAATAAATTAATCTTTATTATTAATCTTATTCTTATTTAGAACAACCAAGTTCATTTCTTAATTTATCTACAAATACACTTTAATTATTTCTCCATCTATTAAAAAACTTAGACTTCATCTTCTATTAATGTGATTCTGCTCTCATTCTAATGAATTTAAAAAATTCTAAATATTTTTATCTTAAACTATTAATTCCATTTGTTAAAATTAGAGCTATTTTACTCAAATAATGAGTTTACATATTAGATGAAGTTATTAAAAATATTTCATTATTCACTTTCCAAATATGTCGATTTTCAAATTCAATATTCTGATTATTTATTAATTCAGTATTTATATTTAAAGTTAATTAATAAAGAGTATTAAATTAAGAGATATCATCAATATCTTCAAAATATTCTTATATTAATCCATATTCAGGTAAATAGGAAGTCAATGATTATATCTCAATATTTAGAATTGATACTGCTAACTTTTCACCCATCAATTAAGCTACTTATTACAGATACATCTCTATTGAATTCTCTGATTATAATGCTTATAACATTATAATTAAATCATCATTTCCAATTAATTGTGTTATTGCATTACTTTTTAATCTACATTAATACTTTTGTAATACCATAAACAATTAAGTTGCGTAATTCTTTTGATCTTTTTTCACTTGTTTTGCTGCTTAAAGTAATAACTTACAAAGATTATTATTTGTACTTTTCAAAAATTTTGTTTAATAGTAATTTTATTTCAATTTTTTAAATCCTAATTATTGAATCAATCTTTTTAGACTCCTTATTTGATTCATAAATTAGTTCAATCTAGAAAAAACCTATTATCTTTTTTGTCTTTATTACAGTAAAACAATTTTATTCAGTTTATTCATTCCCAATTCCATTTTGTATTGATGATTACTTATATTCAATGAGATATATTGTTAAATTTATTTACAATACTAAGAGGGATAATTTAAAGCATAAATCACCTTTCTTTAATATTAAATCACTGGTACAAGAGAAAACTAGTCATCAATACTAAATATCTACTATTATATTAAGGACTATTTAATTTATCTATAATCCACTTATATGTTAGATTATTAAGTCTTTAATATACATGACTAAGATTTTGAGATGTTAAAATTATTTAAAGATTCTCCTGTTACAATTTTATTATTAATACAATATTCATAATATCCACAATCATTGTTCTTTATTTAAGTATAAAATTAAAAGGGGTTTTTATATTACAATTCAAAAACATTCTTATAATTAATAGATTACTCAATAGATTTAGGTATTTATTAATGAGATGGCAATTACTTAATAAAATTTGATGATTGTGTTTATAAGTAACTACGTTTTGAATTCTATTAAGGTGGAGTTTATTATTCTAAAGTAGGAATAACAAATTCTTTAACTAATTATTCAACTAATTAAAACATTTATTCAGGTTCATTGTTCTTTTTAATGGATTCTTAATCAATTGAATCAAATAAAGTTACTAATCTTTATCTATCATATTCTTTAGTATTTGAGTTCTCAATTAATGAATTTAATTTTGCAAAAATGGGTTTGAATGTTTAATAGTAATTAAATTATGGTGCTTCTTCTTTTTATTTTTTAGTATCTTCTTTTATATTTTATTAGGGTATTGATATCGAAAGTTTAAGATTCTATTGTCTTTACTATTTTTCAATTTCATCACGTCTTTTCTAAATAAGAGTCTTCAATTAGCCAAATTCATTTTACATTCTTGAACTGACTTTTTCTGTTTCTTACATAGATTTCTCAAAAGAACGATTATGTATAGATTTATCACAATCATTTGAACTAGTATGGAATGAGTGATTGCGTTTTGGACAAATTTCTTTAGGTCTAAGCATTTCAATTTCTCTTTTCTTATTCATTATATCCCAATCATAATTAAATGATGCATTAAAATTATGCTTTGGAGGTAATTGAGTATTAAGTCTCATTTGAATTTTAAATTATTATTTATAACAAATAAATAATCATTTCTTGTTTGAAAGAAATTAAAATAGATTATATAAATACAATAACTATAAAATATTATGAATTTATGGAATTCATTTAGAAAAGTAAATTAAATTTATTGTTAATTTACTATTCTTTAAGACTAATATCTTAAAAAGTTATATTAATAAATAAATAAATTATAATCATTTTAGTGTTTTTGGTTTACAATTTGTATTTATAATATTTTATTCATCAGAAATACAAATTTTAATATTTTTAGCTTTATTTAATAAATTTGTAATATCTATATTTTTTTATTTTTTAGTCTATAAACTAAAAAATTCTGATAGTTAATTGATATCATAATCAATTAAAACATTTTCAATATCACTTAAAAATACTAATCCTATTTTGAGAATTGAATATATATTAGTAGCTAAAATGAAATCCCAAAAGAATAACACAATTTAAATTGGAAATGAATACAAAAATTGAGTTAGTATCCATTACCAAACATATTAAAATGAAAAAATGCCATTCTTTTAGAAATGATTAAATAAATTTGGTGATAACCTTTAAAGATTATCTTAAAATATTTAGCATAGATTTTAAGCAAATATAAACTCTACTCTATATATTTCCCACCAATTAAATCTTTCATTTTAATTAATAAAATTGATAAACCAAAATACTTCTTCCTCATTACCTCCACTAATAATTAAACAAAATCCAATTAATAAATTCATGCCTTAAGCATATCCAATATCTGGATATTAAATGGATAAAGCATGTAATACAGAAACTAGTTATTACTATCCTTTATTAGGTTCCTTAAAATATGAATGACGAGGGAATGTTCTATTTTAATCTTTTTTAATATCATCTGAAACTTTTTCAGGTAATGTCTAACTTTTTAAATAAGAATATAGATTTGCATCATAGAAACTATTTTAATAAACTTAAGCCATCCAACAATTCCATCTAAATTTTGGAATAGCTCCATCCATTAGATAACTGTTGAATTAAATAGGATTTAATTCTTTCAATATATAAGCATCAAATAAATCTAAATTTAAATGTTTAAATGGTTCCTTTAATGCTATGGCAATAGCTTAAATATGTGATGAGACTTTTTATTCTTATAGTTTTTGATTATTATCTACTTATAAAAGTGCTTATGGAGATCTCAAAAGTGTTATATATTATTCATCATTTATGAAATCTTAACGTTTTTGATAATACTCTTCCCATATTTACTTTTTGTTATGATAATTGGGTTGATTTTATTGAATCAAATATTAAAACTCAATTCCAATGTGATTTTAGAATTCATTATTATCATCCATAGGAATTACTGTAGCAAATTTAATCCTTTTTTATGGATTTGTTATGTTAGACATATTTTATTTAGAACAAATAGCTCCCATGATTTTGTATATAAATATTTATATATATATATATAATAATGTCAGTTTTTATAGATTCTTATAATATCCTATATTTTAGTTCTGCAAATAGGACAATCCTTTAAGTTTTTACTGCATTTCAAACAAGCAGTATTATGTTTGCAAGGCATATACAATGCATCTCGATCATTTTCAATACAAATGATACAACTATTTTCATGACTTCTATCAGCGACCAATTATGTATTTCGTTTACATAAATAAGTTGATGTAGTTCCAATTTTAAAAACTGTTTAGTTTTATAATGGATATAACTAGGAAGGTTAACTTTCTCTTGATAATCTTAACCAAGATCTAAATATTAATAAAATGAGATACCCATTTGTAGATCCCATATCTTCTAAATACACTCTGCCATCAATCAAACAAATTTTAGCATGAATATTAGAAAGATGATGATCTTCACTAAAAGTAAGGTCAGCAGTTTATTTTCTACCAACAGTTGTTACACTTTTTTAAGGTGTCAAATTAATCACATGTTTTTCAGGTGTATTTGGTCCTTCAATAATTGTCATAACAACCTAATTTGATATGTAATATATACATCAATATTAGTACCATTTATATTCACTTATTAAATTTCAAATTAATTACTACCTAATTCAACAACCATTCCAATTTCCAATTATTATTTTGTTTCAACTTTAATAAAAGTTCCTGTAGTTGATCCAATATCTTTGATATAAAACTAAGTTAAATAATATAAATACTTCTTCATTTTGAAATATCACTTCTGCATGAAATCTACTAATGCTCTCTTCCAATATTAATATTTAATTGCTAGAGTGTCTCCCAATTTTACCTCCTTATTCTTTAATACAATAGAAATTAGTTTATGGTCCTTCTGTTGGTTGGATGATTAATTCATTTTATACTTTTGAAACAAATTTTTCAAGGTCTTATTCAATTAAAATGCCGGTCTATTGTTTTTTTTAAAACTATGGTTTATTTTCACTAAAATTTATATATTATCATTACATTTCACATAATGGTTACTAAAATTATTGCGAATACATTTCATTATTCTTAATATAATTAGTCATCATATCATGAGAGATATTAATCTATCCATATTGAGGTTATGCAGATTCAGTATTTTCAAGAGTAGTATTTTCTTATTCCATCTTTTCATAACGTCTGTCTTCGAATGTTGTTGATTTTATATGTGATGCATATTCTTTTAGACCTGTTTTAAGCCCTTTCATTATTAAATAGTATTTACAATGCATTAGCTTTTTTCTAACTATCTTATTTGTAATTCCTAGATCTTCTATCAAGTCATTTTCTTCTATTAACTCCAAACATGATCCATCAATTGAATTTTTAGCTACAATATAAGTTCACTAATTTACTGAAGGTTGTTTGAAGTTATTGTAACCCAACAAAATTGAGCCATTGAGATACATCCTCCAAAGACCATTTCTTAGGTTCTTTGGGAAGAATTATAAAGAGGGTTTCATAATCCATATTTTAAATTTAAAAGCACTAACTGAAAATAATTATTCACACATATAATTATATCATTTTACTATACGACAAGTAGACTGATTCTGATATTACCATTGTATAATAATAAGCACCAATAATTATATACATATATTCTAAATCTTTATCAATCTTCATCATCCTCACTTAAAAACCTAGTTTAAAGATTTATGAAACTTTCCAATTAGTATTCTCTTATCATTACTTTTAGATATAAGATATTAATTACTCAATAGTTTATCAATATTTGGAAATATGTATCATCTATCAAAGCTCTAAACTTGATATTATGAAAAGACTTGTTGAATCTTTAAGTTATTAGAAATTGTATTAATTCTTCCAATATTATTTAAGAATATTATTTACATTCTTTACTTTATATGTATTACAGCTGAATTTCTTTATCATAGATGTTACTATTACTTATAATATGTTTTAATTTAATAACTATTCTATTTCTTAATTTTTTAATTTCCTAATTTTTTGACATTCAATTAATTTTCATTTTATACCACTTTCTATTTGATTGCATCTTTGAATACTCTCGCTTTTTTATATCATTTAGTGTTAATCATGAAATATAATAAAATCTATTTAAATAATAGTTAACAACATATTCTTTAATAAATGATGATGATGTTCAGATCCATAAACAATGTTTATATGAACCTATATAGGATTTGAATAATTTTGTATATATTTAAGTATTCAAAATTTCATAGATGTTATAGTTTAATCTAATAATTACAAAATATTATTTGTTCTACTTATGTATCTCTTTTATTAATCTGTAATTATTAATATTCATATTCATATTCATAATTTGATATTTCCATTATATATCTATATATTATTATGGTAATAATTTGAAGTAATCAATCCTATAGATCTCAAATATTTAAGGTTTTGAGTGGTGTCTAATTGTCTGAAATTTAAAATGAAAAATTTATAAATTCATTATTTATTTAATGTGGTTTTTTGTAATCTTTGCAATAGGGTATTGTTAGGATTGTCCGAGTGTTTTTTACCTTGGAAATCTGTATAATTAAGCGAATCTATTTGTATATTCAAGTGGTTACAAATAAATCATTACTTCTGTTTAGGATGCAATAGTTTATCTATAAGCAGAATCAGGAACATTACGATAGATTAAGTTAAGTAAGTAAATATTAGTAAACAGCTGACGGATAGAGTGTTACATATTTGGAGACAGAGAATTCAAATATATTTGTAGGCTAGAATAACGAATTGCTTGTATATAGTTTAGATGAAGATAATCCAATAAAGGCTTCTTTAAATTTTGTAGGAAGTGTGCTATCTACATATACAATGAATTCTTTGATAGGTGTTGGAACAAATCAGAATGAAGTTATACTCTGGGATTACTAAAGCAATAGAGTTTTGGGAAAAGCAAAATGTATGATATTCTATATATTAGAACTTTAGCTTTGGAATTATAGAATATATTAATGAATTATCAGATTCTTATTATTCAAACATATGATACTCTAATTGCAGGTACTACTGTTGGAGGATAGACTTACTTAGAATACTATACATAAAATATGTAATTTCTGTTGAAAAGCTTTGCAATAGATTAATTTTCTCTTTATTAAATTTCAACAAAGACTATTAGTAATACAGAGTTCATTATCAATATATATACAGTATTTGGTTAAATTTTGACTATCAATTTAGTGGATAATTAATCTTCAACAATTACATTGAATTCTTAATAAATCAATTTATAGTTAACTCCAATATAGATGTATTTGATTGAAGATTATATTATCTTTTTTTCAAGTACTTGCTAATATTAGAAATATGATATTAAATCAAATAGTCTTGGAAATTTAAATTCATGGACTTCTACTTGTCCAAATAATATTAAATAACTATAATTTAGTGTAGAAGATCAACTCATTATACTACTATTAAATAATCCTTAAGATAGAAATGAGATGATCTAAATTTATCAATTAGATTCTAATTTAATTGGTACAAAAATTAGATCATTTTACTATATATCTGATAGTATTAGTTAATCT